TAAAGCACATTGAAAAGACAGGTGCAAAAATAAACTGCAACAAATATCGGTCATACATTCTAAATACATTATATAAAGATAATTGAATAGTTGAATAAGCCTTTTTTGTTGATGTAAATTTAATTTTTTCACCTTGACACAATCTGCAGGTAGCCTGAATTACAAATGAATCAAGGTAGCTAAGAAATTTATAAGCACATGATGTTACATATTTTGTAAACTACACAATGAAACTTCACTTGGATTAGAAACACTTGTCTTACAAAGAAAAAAAAATCAACAGAAAAAATCTTGTTTACATCATTATTATTTTATTTTTTTACGATTTTTACCTGATTCCTCAATGTCATATATAGGACAAAAGTTAACATTTTTGTTGTGATTCATGCCAAAATTAGCATTTCATATTCTTTCCCGCTTTCCATATCAAGTAACCGTATTTTCTTTAATAAAAATGTAAACTGATAACTTCATTCAAGTTTGTCATATTTCTTACTCTCTCTACTGTACTGACGACTACAATAGTGGTGCGTAACACGACACTATCTAACTGTTAAAAAGCGGGAAAATTGACCCATTATAAGTACTTTATTCATACTTAGCGAAAAAAGAAACTGTTATCAGGTTTCCCCTGCGAGTTTTATTTATTTACTTCCTATGGTGCTCTTGTTAAAGTTATTACAAACAATAAACAATAACAAATCAATACACTATTGATCTTAAGGAAATACGATATATTTCCGCCTTTTTTAAAAAATTCATTTTCCTTTCAAGATCAATTAATTTTTTATAAAGCGCCCTTTGAAAAATACTACAAGTATCGATATATCAAAAGAAAGCATAACCTTGCCTTTGAAAAAAAAAGAATAAATAAACAACTCGGTACACGCGCGTAACCTATACAATACAGGGGAGGAAAGATAAATGTAATTTTTAAACACTAAAAAAATACCCTAGACTTTGATAATTAAATTCTCAAAACTACCCCCAGGATTGATTAATAATAAAAGATACTTTTCCACATACAAATGCAATAACTTTTCTTTGACTGGAAAGTAATACTTTTAAAATTTTTCATTAACTCTAATACATTGTTGATATATTTTGCATACCACGAGAAAAAACACATGCCACTAAAATGTTACTTAATTTTGCATTTTAATGAATTTAATGGCTGTTTTACTGTTGTTTCATTCAAGCAGTATGGCTTACGAGGGCGGAAAGGCAATTTGTTTAATAAACCACTGTTATGTACATATCTCATGAAATTCTCACATGAGTTTTGTTCTAAGAATGACTCTCACATGAACTTGGATGTTACAGCAAGATAATGAATTCCAGGTCTACCAACTTGTCATAATCTTGATTGAAATGACCACAGAATTTCTCCCAGAAAACAACAAAAAACCACAGTGTGTTGTATTCAGTTACACACAGTTCAAGTAAAAGTATGTCCATATACATGTATTACTTACTAATCAAATTAGAAAATGAGTAATATTGTTTGTTTGACTAGCCTAACAGGGGCAAAGAAGAGCAGTTCTACTATATGCCATCATGAGGGTCAGTCAGGCAATCCTGTAATACTCTGCTGCCTTACTGGACTAAATTCTGTGGCTGTACTTTCAAAAATAATTCCTTTATTACTGATATTGGAAACTTCTAAATTCAATGCATTACAAATGCAGACTAGAAATGTGTCATCATGCCACGGATGCCCCCGCATGCAGCCAAAATTTCAGATGGTGCATTAATTTTTTTTTTTCATTTTAAGTTCAAAGCCCTTAAAACTTTTCAATGTTAACACAAACCATTTTCATACACTGTTCAGTCTTAACCTTTTAAAAATAGCATATTGCATATTTGTAAACAATTAAATGGCTAAAAGTATGAGTGCTGAAACTGAAAGTTCAAAATTTTTCCAACATTCAGGAAAGATAAGTTTGTCTAAAATCATTGAACCACAAATAAATTCAAACTTAAACTGCTTATTCCTTAGATGTATCTATATTATTTTCAAAGTGAAAGGGACATAACTCTGCCAAAAAATCATCAAACCATGACCAAATTCCAAACTGACCTGCCCATTCCTTTGACATATCTATAAGTCAAATTTAAGTTGAATATGTAACACTGTTGGGTAGATAATGAACAGAAACTGTAAATTTCATATTATTTTCAAAGTGTAAGGGGCATTAGTCTGCCAAAAATCATTGAACCATGACCAAATTCAAACTTGGCCTGAGCATTCCAAAAACATATCCATATGTCAAATTTGAGTTGAATGTGTTGTACCATTGGGGAGATAATAAACGGAAACTGAAAATTTCATATTACTTTCAAAGTGAAAGGGGCATAACTCTGCCAAAAATCATTGAACCATGACCAAATTTGAACTTGACCTGCGCATTCCTTTGACGCATACGTATGTCAAATTTGAGTTGAATGTGTGGTACCTTTGGAGAGATAATGAACGGAAACTGAAAATTTCATATTATTTTCAAAGTAAAAGGGGCATAACTCTGCCAAAAATCATCAAACCATGACCAAATTCGAACTTGACCTGTATTTTCTCATGACATATCCATATGTCAAGTTTGAGTTGAATGTGTTGTACCGTTGGGTAGATAATGAACGGAAACTGAAAATTTCATATTATTTTCAAAGTAAAAGGGGCATAACTGTGCCAAAAATCATCAAACCATGACCAAATTCGAACTTGACCTGTATTTTCTCATGACATATCCATATGTCAAGTTTGAGTTGAATGTGTTGTACTGTTGGGGAGATAATGAACGGAAACTGAAAATTTCATATTATTTTCAAAGTAAAAGGGGCATAACTCTGCCAAAAATCATCGAACCATGACCAAATTCAAACTTGACCTGTATTTTCTCATGATATATCCATATGTCAAGTTTGAGTTGAATGTGTTGTACCGTTGGGGAGATAATGAACGGAAACTGATATTTCATATTATTTTCAAAGTAAAAGGGGCATAACTCTGCCAAAAATCATTGAACCATGACCAAATTCGAACTTGACCTGTATTTTCTCATGATATATCCATGTGTCAAATTTGAGTTGAATGTGTGCAACCGTTCTTAAGATAATGAACGGAAACTGATGATGACGGAATGACAGAATGACGGAAGGACGGAAGGACGGAAAGGACGGAAGGACGGAAGGATGGAAGGACGGAAGGACGGAATGACGGAACAGGGTAACACTATATGCCCCGGCCATTACATGGCGGGGGCATAAAAATGGTAAGTGCTCACTGCAGAAGTTGAGAAGACACTTAGTTTGAACAGCTGGTGACCAAGCTGGTATCAACAGCTCACAAGTAAAATGATATTCTTGAAAGTTAAAAGCAAAAAACACAATAAACCAATCATCAGTCAACACTGTCATCTTACACTTTAAAAAACATAAATGATTAAATAATATGTCATACATGAAAGACAAACATGCACTTTAAGGCACATCAATACATCTGATCATTACAAGAATGTTACTGAGAATTAACTTGTATAATGCTGGTGATTGACCAGACAATTGTTTTATCTACGTCTAAGTCTGCCACATGATATGATTTACATGTGATCATGATAATTATTATGCTAGTTTCAAATGTGATCCAGAAATTATGCTTGCAGATGATATAGTTTCAAATGTGATCCAGAAATTATGCTTGCAGATGATATAGTTTCAAATGTGAGCATGAAATTTAATTGCAGATGATTTAGTTTCAAATGTGAGCCAGAAATTTAATTGCAGATGATATATTTTCAAATTTGAGCTGGAAATTATGTTTGCAGATGATATTGTTTTAAATGTGAGCCAGAAATTATGCTTGTAGATGATACAGTTTCAAATGTGAGCATGAAATTATGTTTGCAGATGATATAGTTTCAAATGTGAGCTGGAAATTATGCTTGCAGATGATATGGTTTCAAATTTGAGCTGGAAATTATGCTTGTAGATGATATAGTTTCAAATGTGAGCCAGAAATTTGCTTGCAGATGATATAGTTTCAAATGTGAGCCAGAAATTATGCTTGCAGATGATATATTTTCAATTATACTTGCAGATGATATATTTTCAATTATACTTGCAGATGATACAGTTTCAAATGTGAGCTTGAAATTATGTTAGTCTCAAATGTCAGGCAGAAATTATGCTTGTAGATGATATAGTTTCAAATTTGAGCTGGAAATTATGCTTGCAGATGATATAGTTTCAAATGTCAGGCAGAAATTATGCTTGTAGATGATATAGTTTCAAATTTGAGCTGGAAATTATGCTTGCAGATGATATAGTTTCAAATGTCAGGCAGAAATTATGCTTGTAGATGATATAGTTTCAACTTTGAGCTGGAAATTATGCTTGCAGATGATATAGTTTCAAATGTCAGGCAGAAATTATGCTTGTAGATGATATAGTTTCAAATTTGAGCTGGAAATTATGCTTGCAGATGATATAGTTTCAAATGTGAGCCAGAAATTATGCTTGCAGATGATATAGTTTCAAATGTGAGGCAGAAATTATACTTGCAGATCTATGATATAGTTTCAAATTTGAGCCAGAAATTATGCTTGCAGATGATATAGTTTCGAATGTGAGCCAGAAATTATGCTTGCAGATGATATAGTTTCGAATGTTAGCCAGAAATTATGCTTGCAGATGATACAGTTTCAAATATGCTTGCAGATGATATAGTTTCAAATGTGAGTTCGACATTATAGAATAATTTTAGATTTTAAGTATGCATCTGAAATGACGCTACTAAAAGTTGAGTCCTAATTTGCGCAAGAATTTTACATAATGGCAAGGGGATGCTATTTTCTGTCACCAAAAAAGGTGTGTCTAACAAATATTTGTCTTTATCAAACCTGAATAGTTTGTATGCGGACTACCAACAGATGAAAAATGTCATTCAATAAAAATGCCTATACTTCTATATTTATAAATATTATAAAGAGCCAAAGTCTTCTTACCTTTCAGTCCATGAATACAGCTTTCATAATAAATCCAATAAGAATAACACACACTAGAAAAGAAAACACGCATATAGCGAAAAAAAATATTTGCACACTGAATTCGGAATTGCACAAATTCACATAATTCCTAACTTTGACCTTTCACAACACTATTCAAAACACTTTTATCATTACTATATTAGTTATCCAATCTTGTCATAGACCAGGTTTGAAACCAAAACTTTAAGCTTTGAATCTTAAATTATAAAAGAATGTCTGAAGCAAATTTCCCCGTTTGACATCGCACATTACTTGGTGTAACCGATTTTCAGATGTAGGGAAGATTTTCTTTGCAATGATTAACTTTCTGCTTACAAGATTTTTTTCTTAAACCAATGGCTGATTTTCATATCATCCTTTAATTAGAATCGGTATATAATTCTAAGGTACGATGATTAACAATACATGGTTCCTCTGACTTAATAATCCAGTGATTTACATGTATTCAGTGTAATGTGTTATGTAAAGTATTTGATTTTTGGTGCTTGTACCACTGAAGAATTTTGGAACCATGGCTAATTAATGACTTATATTCGTCCCAATGCTGATATTCAGTGCGAGTCTGCTATAAGTTCCATGTTGCATTCAATTATAGGTATCATATATATAAAATATATAAGCTTCTTCCATCCAGTTTACTCCTTGTGCCATGGTAACTCCGACTGACAAGAAATAATCAGATTTTCTACGACACAGTCATAGCTTAAGCCATAACGCTATAACAAAATACCGTAATTTTATTTTTTCAAAATCATATCACTGGCCATAGTTTTGCTATAGTCCATTTTACTTAGGTGACACATATTCAAAAGCATCCAGGACTGTTTGACTGCAGGCTCTGCAGCTCATAGCTGACAATATTTTGTGGCATTTTGAGCTTGCCAAGTCCAGAGTGATGACCTTTACATTCTCTGACAATAGCTAAAACAGTTTCTTATGCTATATCAAACATTTCCAGCATCTTTGTTTGACTCTTTTTCCGGACATAACATTTTTCCATAATGATAGCCCTTTCTTGTGAAGCCATTGTAAGGACCTCTTTTATTTGCATATACTGAAATAGAGGGGAAACAAATCTTTATTAGGTTGCATATATTCAAAAGTCACACAAGCAAAAAGATAGCAAAAGAATGTGTAATGCTGTCTGTTACCTTTCATCTCTAACATTATTCTAGCAGATGACATAATCAACAAGTTATGTTGGGAAAGAAAAATTTGAATACTTTTTAGTCTACGGTAAAACACTATTTTATTTTTGGAAATGCAAGGGCTATCTAGACAAGCAATAACATAGTATATAGAGAACAGGCCTTGAGGTTATAAAACTTTTTCTAACTTCTATCTGAAATCTATGGCTATTCATTGGTCGTTGTACATTCTGTGACAGTTCCTGACCAATCAAATACCTGAGATCTGAGTTGAGCTTACAATCTCCGACCCAGGACTATCCAGTACAGACAATTTCAGTACAAGCAATTATATAGAGAACAGGACTATCCAGTACAGGTAATTATTACAGAGAACAGGCCTTTTGAGTACTAACAATTTCATTGAGAAAAGGCCTCAGGGGTCTCAATTCTGTCTCCAATCTCAGGATTTTTATTGGTAACTGTACTCATTCTGTGGCAGTTTTTGACCAATCATATACCTGAGGTCTGAGTTGGAGCTTAGAGAATTTCTTTATAACCTCGGACCCAGGACTATCCAGTACTTGCAATGCAGTCTTAAAGGAAGGAAGAATATTGATTGTAAGCTTTAATTTGACGCATTTGTTAAATTGCCTTTTCAAAAAACTGACAGCAAACTATGTATACATACAATCTACACTCCTTTCATTTCTGGCTTTATTTTCTTCACTGGAAAAGTTTTTAAATGAGATGTCTTCCAGCAAATTAGAGCATTAGCTTTGTTATATATAGGGATTAAGAAAAATCATATAAAAATCACAGGAATCAGACAGTTTGGATTAGTTAAACCACCCAACATCCTGCCACCTATTACAACACAGTTGCCACAATCTCAGTATGTCATCAAACACTTCACCTTCACTGAACTTCCTATGGTCACTTCCATTGTTAAATATTTTGGATTATCATTTAAGCCGTGCTTGATTCTTTTGCCAGATTTCGACAATGTTTTGTGAAAACGTGTGAGATTTAAGAATAAAGTCAGCCATATTAGGATTAAGCTAAAGTTCTCATTAGCGTTTATAGATAAATACCCGATTAGTAAAAATAAATTTAAGTCTTGATTACGTTGAAAGAGCTTGTAACAAACGACATAGGGGCATTGGTACTTGAAGAATGGCGTCAACAGGTAGAAAAGGCTAACTTAGGATTACTGTGCACATTTTAACATTACTTAATAAAACCAGATCACCGTAGGTTTTCTTTAACACGCGTGACATTATGCGTGACATTTCGGTCTTTCGATACAACAATAAGGGATCATATAATATATATGTTTGTTTGTTTAATTGGGTTTTATGTCACACCGACACACTATAGGTCATATTGCGACGTTCCAGCTTTACTGGTGGAGGAAGACCTCAGGTGCCTTTCCATACATTATTTCAGGCACGAAGGGGAACCCGAGTAGAACCACCGACGTTCCGTAACATATTATATATATAATATATATATATAAACCTGTAATCTTTATAAGAATATTTATCAAATCACTGCAAATTTAAGATCAGCTGTTTAAGGTAGGTTGCACATCGCTGCATGTTAACTTTTTGCCCCCACAGGTGGCACATTAAAAATTCACTAAGGCCAATTTTTTTTTATATTTTGGTTTACTGATTTTTTCCAAAAAAAGGTAGGGTCGGCGGCGGGGAAAAAAAAAAAAGTTTTCATATAAACTATAAATGTGGTGCATACATATACATAGTACTTACTAGAGCAATGAAATTAAATACATCGCCGATTGTCTATTCCAAAGATTGTTTAAATACACAAAAAAAAACTTTTGCTCATATTGCCATTGTTTAAAAACACACATTAAATCTACACACAATGACTTATGACAAGTGGCAAGCGAGCTCTTCAAAAGAATCTGTATTTCTTTGATGTTTACACACTGCTGTGTAATCTGAATCATCAAAAGTGCCGAAAATCAGCTGACTTGCACTCATTTCTTTATAGATCAGATGTTAAAAAAAACTGTCAAGAAAATATTACACAAAGTCATGTTCAATTTTGCCCATTGTGAAAATATTTTTATCGGATAATTAGCGGGTCAATTTTTTACATAAATATCTATAAAAAGTAAGTGCGGGCATTTTTTTATTTTGTTTGTTTGAAACCTGTATTCAATCTGCTTTTAAAGACTAATTTTTTTTGTTAAATCTGAAAATACTGATCTTGTCAATTGCAGCAGATTTCTCTTGCTCTGTCCTTGAATGTAATTGCTTACGTAATTTGGCGTGTTTTTTTTTTTGGTTTGGTTGTTTGGTTGTTTTACATTTTTACGCATTTCGACCTTCAATGCATTGATGAAATATGATCAAAGCCTAATTATAATTCTGTGAGAATGGCTTGACCCCATTTAACAGACATTCTTTCATAATACACCAATAATAAACACTTTGCCCAACTAGCAGACGACAGGCTATTCTCGAGTAAAGATAACCGGTTGCGTATCTCACTGTATAAATCGTAGGTAAAATAGTCTAGCATGTGGTAGGTTTAACAGTTAATTAAAATACTTACCGCGACATTTCTTTGACAAGTCGTATTATTAGCAGCGTATTTCAAGACAACACAGATTTTTTTTGGGGGCAGATTTTTTTTTTTTTTTTCATTTTCCCAAAATACAGAGTCGGCGGGTCTGTAAACCGAAATATTAAAAAATAATGGCCTAATGCGTTTTTATACCTTTTCTTTTTGCTCTATTAAAATCAAAGTCAATAAATTGTGTAAATTCACACTAAATAAACTTAGCAACCTTTTTTTTCAAAAAGTCAAAACACCTCAACATGAACACTGACCGAGCAATATACTTTTGACAATCATCTTATCTTAATTTATTCAAACCAGAAACTTAAAAAAAATATCATCCATCATGGGTAAAGGAGAAGTTTGACTGGTACACTCTACAGAACAAACAAAGTGTACCTAAATATAGTTAATCATAGAACCAGACTACTTTTTCTCCCACAGAGCTCAGTTTTCACTATGAGCCACTAAACTCTCAACAGGAATCCATGTTTATTTTCATTCATAATATATTACACACCTACCATCCCTCTGTATCTAGGTGACTACTCTAAAAAAATGTGAATAGTAGTAAAAGAGCAATTATCTCAGCCCCAAATTTTGCAGTTTCATTCATAAACAGACTAGGGGGTTTAAATAAAATCACAGTAAGAGAATATCTTATAGGATCTACAATTGTAATAGATTCTAATGGTAAATCTCAGGGTGTGATTTAGGTATTTAATTCTAATGTTTTCGCATCTATTCTTATAGGAGTTACTTAGGAAAGCTTTCTTGCCAGTGACAACAGAATCTACCCATGCAACCAGTGCAGACCAATTTTATCACAAGATTCCAACTTAAAATGATACATCTTCAAACTGTGGAAGATGACATTATTCTGCATTTCCTTCAATTACAACAAACTTCAACTGTCAGAGTGATAAAATGATCAGAGATACTGGTTCATTTACTGATAATTAAAATCAAAATTTATTAAAATTAATGTTTCAAAATTTTAAGCAAAAATGAGGCCTGAATTGGTATGGAAAAATATTCAAATTCAAATGAGGAACAAAAAGTGTCCACAACTTTATCTTTGAATCTAAAACAAGCACTTTTGGAAATGGAGTGCTATTCAGGACTGACACAGTGTCTGAACTGGGGATCAAATCAATGCCACAATTTCCCCATTCATACAGTTTTTTATCTGCATGAGTTACTGCCTATGGTCGAGGTAGCCTTATCAAGTATCAATAATTCACAGGTCTCATTCAAAGACTTATCAGGGTAGTTAAAATACGTCAAAATATTTACTATTCATACCCCATCCCAGCATTTACATTTGTATACCCTAGCCAGCACGGTGATTATCTTTTCATTGATACCAGGATACTACGAGAATTTCCCAGATTTTACTATAAAAGGGTTAATGACTTATAACTGCGTAAATTAACATATTAATCGATTATAACCTCTTGGAATAACATGGCTACGATAAGAAATCTTTGCACCCTTATCAATTTCATCAAATATTTTATAGTATTGACCTTAATAAGGTCACATGACACCCTCTTGACAACAAGAAACATTTTACGTTATTTATAAGCTAAGCGTGCCTTTGAAGAATATAGGTGTATATAGGCTGTGAGATAAATCTAAAACTGTCATATGATCAATAAAATCATCGTTACTTCAATGATCTAGTGACATTGCCATGGCCTCTTTCAAATATATCTATCAACAAAATACTAGTAGAGCGTATGCATTCAATAAGAATAATCAAAGACTACCATTCATATTAGTGCACCCATTACAAATTTATGAATAAATATTTTTTAAAGCTAAGTGCCGTTAATGAATGACAGTTAGGAGATACATTATGTTTATCCTAATGAACAAGACAGTGATGTTAAACCAAATTATTGTTCATCGTTTATCAACAACTTACAAAATAATTGTCCACCCTGCTGTTGTCACTTGGGAGAGAGAGAGAAAAAAAGAATTTAACATAACCTTAAACTACAAACGACAAACGGTTTTCACAATCCTAACAAAGTATAACTGATTTTACAACAACTCTGATATGAATAATGAATAATAATGATGAAACTACGTACAGCCTGTCAAACAAGAATGATAGTAAAATATTTCTAGGCTATAAAAAGTCATGCGTATCGTCTAACAAGAATAGACAAAACAGATAGGAATACAAATTACCGAGATATGAAACCTGACTACGCATTTCATTTTCTACAATCATAATATTATGACCTTCCTGATCTCAAATAAACAGTTCATCAACCCATCTTAATACTATTGTACATCAAAGTTCTATGAAAGACCAAAGTATAATGTGACTATTCCACTTGCGTCTTTTTTATGTAGAGTAGTATAGTCTGTGGCCTAGATATAGGCCAGACTGGACTATCATTATATAATGAACTCTGCTTAAGTTCACTAGGCTGCTGTCAATCAAACTTATGCTAATAAGATTGCCATGATTTGAATGTTAAGCTCCGCCTCCAAAAAAAGTAGTCCCGTCTCGCCATGAGAACTAAATATAGCAACAGCGTTGCACAATATCTTTACAACTCTCTTCGCTACACAGAGCTTTTATCTTTACATTCTACTATTATTTAAAATGACAAATAGAAAAAACAAGAATGAAAACTCATCAATGAAATATTGTCACGATCAAATACATAAAAAGATATATAAATGTACAGATTGACAGAATTTCATTCACTGTCAGAATAAAAAAAAAAGATCAAACTTTAAGCATGTTAACATGACAATATAAATAGTTATCAAACATATATGAGCTGGTAACAAAAGAAAAGTATCTACAAGGCTAACATAGTACAAACAAATCATAATCTTAAATTTGTTTGTATATGAAAAACCAAATCGACCGCAAGTATGTTCATATACCTAAGAGCATGGTTAATTTCATTTTATTTCCTGATAAGACATTTAATAACAAGAGGATGCACTATTTTGTTTCCTTACATTACATGAAAAACAACAACATTAGGCAGAAGGTTCAATGTACATGTTCGTGTTCAGGAAATTAAAGTAAAACAATTACGATGTCTTACATGTTAACCTTTAACAAAGATCAAAACTTTATACATACAATAACTGAATTTCAATACAGATTAAACAACTCATTTAAGACCAAGTTTCAGTGTTCAGAATAGGTAATTGTTAATTAATTTAAATAGTAATTTCTATGTCTAAATACAAGTACTAAGGATAAGCAACCTGGAGTACTGTTTGTGCACATTTACAATGGCAATAACCTGATGGCCTGTAAACTTAAAGATAACTATCAAACCTCCCTAAGAATATATGTTTTGATGGACGGTATATCATATTATAATATAGAATAGGTTTTTACTTTCATCTTACTTTTATTTGCGATCACCAACACTACCCCCTGTGTCTGAAAAGGGAAGCTAATGACCTACAGAAGCCACTGACAGCCTACACAAGTCACTGATGGCCTACATAAGTCACTGATGGCCTACACAAGTCACTGAGGACCTACACAAGTTACTGAGGGCCTACACAAGTCACTGAGGACCTACACAAGCCACTGATGGTCTACACAAGTCACTGACGGTCTACACAAGTCATTGATGACCTACAAAAGCCACTGAAGGCCTACACAAGCAACTAAAGGCCTACGTGAGCAACTAAAGGCCTACATGAGCCACTAAAGGCCTACACAAGCAACTGATGGCTACAAAAAGCCTACACAAGTTACTGAGGGCCTACACAAGCCACTGATGGTCTACACAAGTCACTGATGGTCTACACAAGTCACTGATGACCTACAAAAGCCACTGAAGGCCTACATGAGCCACTAAAGGCCTACACAAGCAACTGATGGCCTACAAAATGTCACTTAAGGCCTACACTACAAAGACAAAATAATTTGTTCAGTACAATTAGAATTTAAAGTTTGATTCCAACAATATAAAGGTTAAAAAACTCATGTGTTAGCTTTACATTGTAAGTCTACATAATTGGCTATAGGTTTAAAGAGTAAGCTTCAATGTCATAAAGCAGGGGCTTACTATTGACTGACACTTCCAAGTGTTAAACAATCAGACCACCTTGTTGTCTTGTGTACCTTGGATGCTAAGTCCCGGATAACATGACTTGTGTCTCAACATAATGTTAATTCAATCCATACAGGCTTAAAATCAGTGAGACCATGTTACAGAATTGGCTCAAACAACCATTAAAATACTAGATCAAGTTATGTTAATGTGACAGACAAAATAATGATATGCATTGTGACAATGCCAAGAAAATGTTACAAAATTTATTTCACAACACTGGTGCAAGAGACAAAAATACTTTTAAATAAAATTCTTCAGCCAATAGGACTGCGATCACCAATAAGCTTTATATTTAGGCCTTAATAATATGTCAATACGACAATCAGTAAACACTTATAGACAGAAATAGGTTGTAATACCCATTCCAGACAGACTTAGATCACATTTGACGGCTAGCCAAATGGTGAAACGCCAAATTTCTCAGGCCTCCTATAGAGTACAGTGAATTGCGCAATACAATATCGGATCAATACTGTGTGACATTATCAAACATCGGTAGCCTTAATACTTAACAGATTAACAATCTTTGAATACTATTATCAGCTACTATCAGTTAGATTTACTATCAGTAACTGATAGTAAAACTGGTTTATTTATAGCATCAGATTTATTAATCATTCCAAGAGGCTATTAAAGAAAATTTGTAATACACTTCCATCATACAGGTGTAAATTAGGTCACATTATTCATTGTTACTCATATCTGATTAAAACTCATTAGATCACAGAGCCAGTATCTCTGCACATTAATAGTTAATTAGAAATTTACCAGATGCTGCAAATATTGTTTTATTCCTAAATTCATTAAGAAAACAAACAGGAACATTTGTAATGAAGTATGACAAAAACAGAGATCAAGAAGGGAAAGTGATTGATCAAGGAACAGAAAGAAGCACCGACATCCAACACTATTCCAAATGGTAAGACTTAGTTATGACTGGAGAAGACAAAGTAATCGCTACCCTAAATATATACTGGTCAGAAAAAGGGTTATAAACATGTTAACCTTTAACTTATTTATCAAAGTTCAATAATGTTTTAGAGCTTTATCAAACCACTCTTGGGTGCAGGGAGCAGTAGCATGGTGGTTTAGGTGTCTGCCCCTCAACCCAGGAATAGTGTGTTCATTACCTAATGCAATTTCATATTTCCTCACATGTCATATATACTGGATAGTTCCAGAAGCAGTCAAATAAGTTACAAGCTTTCTTAAATAAATAATGTTTAAACTTAAATTGTTTGGTCAGATTCCACAACTTAACAGAATTGATGGCATTGGATTGAACATGTGCTGAGCATATTTTTAATATCATTTCCACTGAATAATCAAAAAGTCCTCACCTTCCTGAATGCTTTGTTAACTAAATGTCTTTTGTCACATCAAATTATTTAGAAATTAAAATCCCAGCAGATTCAGCCGACCCCTTCCATTTGACCTGAAAAAAAAGGAAAAGAAAATGGATCTAAATTGTACAGCTGGCATAAGTTTATCTTTTATAGTCACTGTGACAAACATGTAAATGACTTAAGGAGTTACCCTGGGACTCAGAGGCAGTCAGAGAATCCAAAGTCTCTGAAATTTGAATCCCAAGCCCCCCCTAAATATTCTTACCCTTTATGCAAGGAAGCCAGATATAGTTAACTGCATATGTCAAAGATTCTACTGGAAGGTAGCCTGGCTACAAAAATAACTTTCATTTTAAAATGTAAAGTTCATTGGCCTTAGATTGTCACCCTTCTAAGCTACAGTGTTATGTAAAAGTTATATGTCAAATTCTGACAGGAGCCATAAATAACTGGTACAGAATTTAGAACAATTGCTGTAATTGCATCAGAAGGTTGTATCAACATTATTACCTGTACAAGTTATTGGTTCAAGGGCAATATGCAGAAAATTCTTGCATAATACAAATACTTCAGGTGTTTAACCTTTTAGCTGTCTTCAAAGACACCCATAGAACACTTGGTGAGTAAATCCCTTCCACCCACTGTACTATATATCTGCTTCTAGGACTTCTCACTTAATTGGGAAGAGGCCTCAGCCTCTTGATTTTGGGAAAAGTTAGCGCTAAAACTTCTGATTTAGGAAGAAGGTGGTGTAAGTTCAGATTTTTGGGAAAACTGCATAATTTTCAAGAAAAATTCAATTTGGTAATAGGCCTTCTATAGGCCTACATTACATAAGGTGAAAAATCAGGAGGCCCCCAACATTCCACCGGTCTGTCAGTCTATAGACAGACAAGGGCAAATCTTTATCCCACCATGTAATGAGGGCATATAAACAGGGCAAAAGCAGGACAAATTTAGAAATTTAGCAGGATGAAGGTATTTCACATTTATTGGCACATCTTAAAAGTTAAAATACAGACAAATCCAGCCTTTAAAAAAAATAATTTATGTCATAGCATGCATTCCTGCTACTAATGATTCACAGCTTTGATATGAGTGGTCTTAAATTACATCTGTGAGTAACATGTAGGTCCAGTATTTCATTCATAACTATTTCATGAGAAAATATTTTTATAATTTCCATCCTAATATGTAGATGACATTTACCAGTAAATGTCACACAAATGGCTTTGTTTAACATATAAAAATGCTCTCAGATAAATGTGCCACGCAGCCTGCCTTTAAACTTTTAACACAATGCCGGTTTAATTATCAAACCAGACTGACTCAAAGACCATGCTGGGAAAAGTTCAATACAATTTAAAAGACCTATTCTAAGGCTATTAATAATCAAACAGACTGTGTTAATTGCGACTCATACAAAAGAATGTTGGATAAAACACATGCACAATTAGATGTATGAATGAAAATTGACAAATTATGCAAAAGACACGATAATATCGAATTATATGTACCGAGAAACTTCTGATATAATAAGATAATTGGTCGCCCGTGAAAACAAGGAGTGTTAGCTTTTTACAAATTAAAGTTCCTTTATGTGCCATGTGCACGAGATATTTTGCAGTTAATTATGTACACTGCACATGAAAATGCACTCGACTAAGTAGGGAAAAAATATCGATGGAATAAGATGAGTAACGCAGATATGCCTCTTACATGTCACTGAACACAGGAACATGGCAGATGTGATCATATTAAAAGAAACCACAAATTTCTCTTCTCTTTTCTTGTCTCTTTTTACATTTCTCATATGTCTAATGCAAAGATCAGGGTAGACCTTTATCCTTACAAATCTTTACCACAGAATTATCTTGGCTTTGGATTTTTAATTTCTTAAATTTCAATTATTTTCAGATTAAAAAACTACTGATTAGTAGCAAACAGTGTAGAAAGTCTCCATGCCGGATGCCATTGGTGTTGAGCCTTATATAAATGCTCCATGGCCAATAGACTATTATGGCATACTCTCTCCCTCCCCCCCTCTGCATGGGCTCAAACTTGATAGTGTATGTACAAATATTCATGTAATACTACATTTCTTAGAATCATTGAGATATTAGAAGTTTCAAATCAAAGAAACACAAGTCATATTAAAATGGGCCAAAAAGGACTTTTGATACATGCCAATATTTTAAATCATTCACAATATAAACTATTATAATAAATAATTTGTTGACAATTAAGTACTGTAAAACTATGCAGAAAAAAAATGGACAAACTTCTTGACAAACTAATCTTCTGATGAGAATTGGACAAAACTGAACAAAAGGAGTAAACAGTACAAAAACAAGAGCTGTCTGAGGAGCAGCGTGCTCCACTTTTCTCAATGCTGGATAGAAAAGTATAGCGTAAATGTCGCCTTGAAAAATAGCTCCGACTGAAAATACTTCAGGAGAAATTATTAAAACTTGTGTATTAAAAGATTTTTCAATATAAGTTATAGAAAGTTTTCATTTATCGATATATCATATTTCAGATCTTATTTTTGTGCAAATAAAGCTTACATTTTCACCATGTTGATTGCACCATATCAGACTGTAATGCATTTTTATGTGCACACTGATTAAAAAATTCAAATATTTTAGCAAACAATGTTTAAACGAATGCATAAGTTACCAGGATATTCAGACACTATTTCAACTGATAAAAAAAACCTCCCACTCAATAAAAGTAAAGAAAATGAAATTAGAACATTGGATGGGACATTTCTTATTTTGAGGGCAAATAGGCTTTTTAATGGAAACCTTTGAATACTTGTAATATAGAGTTCAAATTTGAGGTACATGTACATAGCATGCAGTATATTAAGTGATTAAAAAAGAGACTTTATTTCATAAATAATATTACTAAATACTGTAACCTTGGTGTGCTGACCTCAAAAAATTGCTTTGTAATAAATCAAAGTTTAATATATTTTTCCTAATCTTTTAGTGTTCTTGATTCTTTAATGTTCTTGATTCCAAAAGATTTCAAATAAAGATTGGGGCATAAGTTTGGTGAAATGTAAACCAACACATTTAATAACATTTCATTTACACTAGTCAGTACCTTTAAGGGATCTTCTAATTAATTAAGTCACGCTGGTACTGTGATGGTCGTATGACTTCTAAGGCCTCAGTTATCCCACTTTAATAAATCCTCTAAAAAAATAAAAAAAGAAGTGCCTTACCATCGGCTTTCTTTGATCAGCAAGCTGCCTTACTTTCTTCAAACGTTTTTGGCAGAATTTGAAATTTAACCAAATGAGGAATAATACCCCCCTCAGTGTTGGCCTCAAAAAATCAAACAACTCATACATGTAAGTAAACTGCTGAATTATAAGCTTATGTGCAAGATACATTTTTATGACCCTAACTTTATGGCACTTATGATTCACATCTTTCACAGAGCAAAATTAAAACATTTTAGTTTTAATAATCATGCACAGAGGTGTGATGGATGTATCTCAAAGGAAAATGCAAACTATGTGTTTAATGTAATATCTCACATACTTAAAGTGCAAGATTTTATATTCTCCTCACCTACTACCTGTCAACATAAAGTTGTCGTTTCAGAGGTGAAGATCATTTGAAATTTATAAATCTGCTACTGAGCTTGTACACTGGTGTTTTTTTTAATTAAATATTTCATCAATTTATAAAAAGCTTATTTGTCTAAGAGGATTTTAGTTCTCTACTGGAAGTGAATTACCATACTGGTGTGCCCCTCAAAGCATTACTTAGATTTAAGACAAAGGTACAGCCATGTACCTTGGACCAACTTGCTTTTCCTCTGATCAAAAGAACTTAAGACACTAGCACAAGAAAGATTCTGACACACAGTTTTCAAACCCATTATCCCTGGGTTGAGAGGCAGACACCCTAACCACATAGCCACTGCTCCCGTATGGTTTATGGAATGGTTTATACTGTTAACATAGGTTTGTTATCAGCTTCAGCAAAACTTAACAAAATTTTAATCATTACTTTAGATCATACATGTTGAAAATATTTAAACAATCTGAAATTTTAATAACAATGTCAAATTAAAGCAGTGGTGGCTAGCCAACTAGAAAATTATCACTTTAATCTCTAGTAATTTGTGATACATATTAGATTCAACACCATAAAAACCACATGGATTTTCTTAAGGCTACAATTATCTACATTTCTACCTCTTTGTCTAGTGTCAAACAAAGAAAATTGACTCATTTTACCCTGTACAAGGTATGTAGATACAAACTCTATCGAAGACAACAAAGACGTTTTCAATACACAAAGACTGCCGGCACATGTCAAAGTTTATAATGTTTATAATTTAAGCTCTGATTATTTGATACACAAACTGTGAGGGCAAATAGAAACCACAGTTGAATAGTTGCACCTGCTTTAATATGGACTTTGTAACAAACATAGAAAAAAATCTCATTTGATTCAACAAGTAAGACGCATATTTTTTCAGGTTTTAACATTTCTGAAAACATCTGTCACTTTTCAACCAATGAAAAGGCAACTATTCACTACAATATTAAGAAAAGATGTAAAATAAGATCTAAAATGAGATGAAATAAATGTTTATCAAAGCATATTAAAAAAAGTATTTATAGGCGTAACACAAGCACAGGGATAATCTCAAGATTATCATGGTCAACAAGTTTGTCCATTTATGGTATAAGGGAGGCAACTAGTACTGTTCTACATACTGCCTAACTTTACTAACCTCTCAAACTATTTTTGCCTAACTGTAAACATTTTGCACTTGTCTCCCTTTGCACATCTCTCAGAAATATGATGAAAATATCAGGGATAAATAAATATTTCAGAACTATTTCTAACCTTGCAGAGAATTGTTTTGAACAAGATATAAAGAGTGACACGATGGCCCTTTTATTCTTACAGTTTTTAAGGTTAAGAGCATAAAAAGCAGATAATTACAGAAATCTTCAGGTCTTACCGATAATAGGTGTTCAGAGTCAAAAAAGGCATAAAACAAAACATTTGAACAGACGATGATAATGGATTAGCAGGGTGGTCTTAATTGTAGGTCACATGACTACTGAAATAAAGATCAGAAAATTCTATTCTTTAAATTGTCTTACTAGCAGGTTGGTCTTAATTTCAGGGTGGTCTCAGTGGCCAATAGGACATGGCCAATTTGATCCAAAGGGAAAAATTTTGACAACTTGGTAAAGAAACAACTAAACAATGCTTCACCAAAGTTTCAAACCTCTAGACTATATTGTTTGAACCCAACATTTGAACAAACTTGGTTAAGAACAATTTACAAATACAATTTTTCAAATATCAAGCCCCTAGGCCTTAAAGTATCTGACAAGGACATTTCTATTTTAAGGAAGTGAGTATATTTGCCTATTTTATAACTAAGCCAGAATATCCCTGGAACTTCATAGATTATTCAGATGATATATCTAAGCTAATTTAACGCCTAGGGTTTTCAATTTTATCTGAGGCAATAATAATAAATTATAATAACAATAATAATAATGGTCTGATTCCACGTCTTAACAGAATTGATGGCATTGGATTGAACATGTTCGTTTAATTGGGTTTTACCTTACACCGACACAGTATAGGTCATATGATGACGTTCCAGCTTTACTGGTGGAGGAAGACCTCAGATGCCTTTCCATACATTATTTCAGGCAAAGATGGGCACCTGAATAGAACCACTAACATTCCCTAAGCTAGCTGGATAGCTTCCTCACATGAAAGAATTCAAAGTCCCTGTCGGGATTTTAATCCACAGTGGTGAGGGGCAAGTGGATTGAACATGTACTGAGCAAACTCTTAATATCACTTCCAATGAGTACTCACCTTCCTAAATGCTTTGTTAACTAAATGCCTTTTGGTCACATCAAATGATTTAGAAATTGAAAATCCAAGCAGATCTCAGCCTACCCCTTCCATTTGACCTGAAAATAGAAGCAATTGTATCTATATTGTACAGTTGGCAGATATTATTTACTGTCACTGTGACTAACATGTAAACAACTAAGCAGTTTCCCTGAGGTCTCACAGGCAGTCAGAGAATCTAGTCCAACTAATTGTACTGCAGGACGAGATATTGTGCTATTTTGTATCTTGACAATATCTTGCCTCTATGGTATAAAATAGATTTGGACTGGACTTTCATTGGCGAGTGTCATAGATAGTTTAGTTTTAAACTTTTTACAGATGCAATGGTATTTCTTACACAACATTGCCTCTTTTAAGTGATTCAGTCGAGGGAATTTCAATATTTACGTGAATCAGATCTTGTCAGATTTCATGTTACCAGCTGTTTCGGTGTTCATAAAAACAAAATACTTAATACTGCTAAATATGGAAGATGTCATTGCATACATATATATATGTATACTCTACTGATCAAGACAAAGTTTTTAAAAATATATAGAGATTTGACCGAGTTATGACATTGAATGTTAACTTGGGTAGAATCAAAGCACTAGAAGGACGAATGAGTTCCAACCCTTGTATAACTAATACTAAAGAGGTATAATGAAAATTGTGTAATAGTGTCATATTATTGTTGTTATGAATACTAAATGTGGAAATTGACTAGATAATATTTTTGGGGGTTATAACAGGGACTGGGTGTCAGGAAGGGGATAATATCAGACCAAAGCGTCTTATCCCTGTGAATTGACACTAAGGAAGAAATAGCCTATGATAACATGAATACTTTAAATTCATGCAAGTGATGTTTTAATGCAAAAGCTTGGTATCTTCAGTTCAGAAAATTAAAGGGATGGTAAAAAAATGACTTTTAAAACATAATGAAATTCCGCTCAAACTTGTTTCTGTGTTAGACACTAATGACTGTGCCTTACTTATGTCACAGGGTGAGAAAAATGTGCTGCCTGACCGAGACTCGAACCCGGGACCCTAGGAATACCGTATTGCGGCTCTACCAACTGAGCTATCCGGCCGCTTACACATCTTCTTTCCTAAATAGTGAACAGTTCTGAACCGTGACATACTCCCCCGCTATATTGAAATTCGTCCTCGAATTTCTAATGGGTAAAGAGATGAAAATGTGAAATTGAACTCGGAGCATATACCATCACAGTCCCCCGTTGGGTGCCAAATGTCACAGCCTCACAGGGTGAGAAAAATGTGCAGCCTGACCGGGACTAGAACCCGGGACCCTCGAAATACCATACCGCGGCTCTACCGACTGAGCTATCCGGCCTCTTACACATCTTCTTCCCCAAATAGTGAACAGTTCTGAACCGTGACACTTATTTTGGTTAGGTTAGTAACCACCACATATAAAAAATGCTGCACAGCCACAGATGAAAGAAAAAATCTCATGTTAAAAAGGGACATAACATTAACAAGTTTTGGAAACCAGAATTCTATAACATATATAGCATATCCACAATTATTGGTGGACTTCTCCTTGGAACTGTCTTCAGCATACCTGTCCTGTCACAGTATCATAACTGGTACACTGAAGACCTTAGACATGATAGATGGTGTTTGTTACAAGTAGATCTAATTCTCTAAAAATAATCTTATTCAAAGAACAAAATAACATACTCTGTATAACAAAAGTGCAAAGTAACAGTATACTTTCTACATAAAATGAAGAACGAGAAATTCAAAATATGCGGATTATTAAAAAAACGGATCGAAATGCAACCTAATTGACCATGTGCTCGGCAGCCATAACATGCTAACAAAAATATCTGGATCAAGATTACCCACCATAATCGAATATAATTTGATCTTGGATATGATAAAGCATGAACTCAACTAACACATCCATGGTTTTCTTCTGATGCTTTCAATGATTAGCTTGTGAAAAAACTCAATTTCAGCAACTTTTTTTCTGCAGAATTTCTTTCGCTAAGGGAAGTCACTCTTAATAACTTGTAAATTTGGTGGTCTGAATCTTTCTCCGCCAAAACAGTTAGAAAAGAATGATCGATATAAAGTACCTTGTTGAATATATTTTAAAAAAGGAATTAATGGTGTTTTGTTGAAAATTTACAATGAGAACTATTTAAAGAGATTTATGAATATTCAACAAAATTGACGTACAAATAAAATATTAGTGATGGCTGTCCTAAAAAAAGAGTGATGTTCACAAACTGAAAATTGTTTGATCACCGGTCGCTATCTACTTCCTTTTCCGGTTATCTTCAACACATGCAATTTGTAATTTTATGGATTTCGTTGTGAAATAAACAATATGGTACCCAACTTTACATTGATATCACTGTTATTCAATAGTTTGATGCAATATTCAGAATCTTTGCCGTAACATTTACATCATAAACCGATAATGTTCCTTAAAAATGTCTCTGAAAGAAAAAAACAACATGTTTTTGTCTGAATTTTATATTTAACTTAAAAGTTAATGATTTACTTTCTTGTTACTAATATGAAAAAGGCAAAGCCTCAAAGCGAGCTCGATGTACTTTTTACGTGAAATAGTATGAAATAATCGCTCATTTTTATTTCAAATGCAGTAACGAGTGCGTGTGACGTCACACGTACTGTGTTAAATATGGCCCCGCCCCTGTCGTGAAATGAATAACGAGTTTTGAAAACGTTGATAAAACTTTATTTATTTTATTTCACTCTATAATTTTTCAAGCGAAATAAAGATTATTTAAAGTGAAATAAATGTAAAACTTAAAACGTTTGCGACATTAAAATAGCGTACTTGATTTGTTTGTTTTCCACGTGTTGTTTGGCGCTACATTGTGACGTCACGTAAACAATACTTTAAACGTCTGTACAGCGTTAACGACTGAATAAAAGATATTGGTGTTCGGATTCATTTTCTTAGTTAGACCATTTTCATTCATTCTAGATAGTTTTCACAACAAAATTCGACAAAAATTGTTTTTATTTATCAGATTTCAAACAAAATGGCGCCTTCGATTTTCATTTTTTATACACAGCTTCCGTTATTCTGGTTCCCTGTCCAATTATGGTTCCCATAGACGTGCGCGGGTGACCAGTCTACACATCCGTTTTCAGTCAGAATTCCTCAGTTTTTATCGTTATCTTTAAATTCGAAAGGTTGCGATGTGTCCAATTCGGTACTTTGGACGAAAGTTTTCAAAACCATCACTTAGCAGGTACTCGCGTTACCGTAAAGCTCGCTTTGCGAGCAGGCCCTTCGGGCCAGCTCGTCGAGCTCGCTATAATTCTAAAGAATGCAATTTATTGCATGAATTTTATACAGGCCCAATGTAATATGATCAGCATACAGTGTAAAGGAGGACAGACACTGAGCAATGAAATATTGTTGTATTTTAAAGCCAAAATCGCCAAAAAGGAAGTGGCTAGCCTTATGGGCCAGTACGGCTAGCCAAAAGTTGTAGCTGTAAGTGAGTCACATACGGCTAGCCACTTCCATTCATAAAATATAATAACATGCTTAAATTTCATTGTATTTTTTTTATTCAGAAACCTATTTTACTGCATGGCCATGAAAGGGCAATAACCCAGATAAAGTACAACAGGGAGGGAGATTTGATATTTACCGCTGCCAAAGATAACCAGCCAAATGTTTGGTACTCATTAAATGGTGAAAGACTTGGATCCTTCAAAGGCCACAATGGAGCTGTGTGGTGTATAGATGTCAATTGTATCCTTCTCATTTATGATTTTAACTATATTTTAATTTGTGTAGTGGACAGTTCTGATCTTACATGATTTCAGCAGTCGGGAGTGACAAAAGACCATTAGACTCATTCAGTCAGTGTCCAAGATTAATTGTCATTATGGAAGCATGGCTAAGTGATTATCACGTATTTGACTAGAAGTCTAACTCTAAGGATTGCTGAGGCCATCCTTAATAATATATATGTTTGCTATTGCCGACCCAGAGTTATCAGGAGTGGGGCGGTAGGTAGGCTTTTTTTTTTTTTATATATGATTTTTACGGAACGTAAGTTAATACACTTAGTACGTTGTAGCAGATTGTGGAAATTTGGACTACACTATCATCATCGGCGACGACAAAACTGACATGTAAAAGACAGTCAAAAACAATCAAAAACATGTTCACTTGTAATCATAACATGAAATAAAGACATAAATTCAAGCACGGTCAAATTACCGATGTGATAAACTAATCCTGCGTAAATATTCCCGTACGACCTTGAAAAATTATAGTGGATCACCGGGACATTTCATTCTCTTGGGTGATCATTACTCAATTTATTACACGTCTGTAAAAAATAACACACACAAGGTTTGTCTCCTTTAATTTCTAAATGGGGGATATTTGCACCCCTGTTTTAAAAAAGTTAAAATATTTAATTGTTAGTTACCGAAAATTATCGCCGATTGTTGAAATTCCATAGCGCCAAAAGACACAAAAACACTCGCGCAAAAAGTAGCATCCATAAATAAAAGGAATATAATGTTTCCATTGTTAAATAATAAATACAAAATTTACACACGAAATGACCTCTGACAAATGACTGGTCGGCACTTCTGAAGAATCTGTGAATCTTTGATGTTTACACACCTGTAGTTGTTGCCGAATCATCAAAGAAGTGCCGACAGTCAATTGACTTCCACCTCTTTTTTATATATCAGAAAAAAAACTGTCATTTCTTTTTGTCAAGGAATGATTACACATGTTTAATTATTGCTCAAGTAAATAAAATGTTGGATATTTATTGTGTCAATTATTGACATATTATTAATCGTAAGTGCATTTTGACATGAAGTTTAATTAGACGAATGTATATCTGTGATTTTGATATTTTATTTACATTTTTATGATCTTGAAGTGCAATACTTGTGTCTGCTATCAAAATAATAATGCATATGAAAGGACCACAGCTTCAAAAAATTTATTTTTTCGGTCAATTTTATGACAGAATCCCCGCTGCTACCAGAAATGTTTTATTGCATGGGCTAAGTATTTAATCTGTGTCGGCAGTCATAAACAAACGAACATGTACCCCAAAGCACATTAAAATTACCACATGGTAAACTAGTAACCATATAAATGCTTTACAAATATTCATTAATTGAACAAACATTATTTTGAATCCCGTTTCCACACCTTTATTTGATACGTTCTATTATTAGTTAATTCAACTTCATTGCCGCGCGCATGCAGTACTGCATGACGTAAGGAAAATATCCTTCCCTGATTGGTCGCTATTTATGTAAATACTTCAAATAGTAACACCCAATTTTATGCACAGAATGCCCTCATGAATGATCACTTGTTACTTTACATATTAAATGTGTGATTTTCCTCCGATTTTATTTTTGTTTTTAAGGGAATTTTTTGGGTCGAATGTCCTGGCTGATTTGGCGGAAATAAAAAAAAATCAGATTTTTTTTTAAGCTGAAAAAACTTTTGAGTCAGGGCATTTTCGCCGGGTCGGCCGACAATAGCAAACAGATATTTTTTTAAGAGTTGCCTGACTGTGTGGGTTCTAACCCCATCAGGAGCAAGTCTATGCTTTATTCAGCAAGAAATTTTATACACATTGCTTAGTACTGGTCGGTACCGGGAATAGATTGAGAGTATTTCTATCTATTTCCGGTTGTTAAACATCAGCTTTTCCTGTGAACTTCTGATAAGATGCCTCTTAGTCTTACAAAGAACGAATAATTTTTAAAAAATAATTATCAATCTCAATTATTTAGTATATTTTCTATTAAAAAATTAGAAGTCCCAACAGGACACCTGACTTGGCACTTTAGAAATCCCTTGCAATTTTTGGAGTCCTCGGGGACCACGAGACTATGTTACGTTAGTGTTGAACACTGGTTATAAGGCAGTGTTCATTTGGGAGAAAGTAACAAACTTTGTCTATACCTGATTTTTAAGGGAATTGACTGTTATCATTTTCAAAATGCTGTTTTTCTTGCTTCCGCTATATATAAAAGGAACATATCATCACATGGAGGCTGCCATAAATTTACCATGTGACTGAATGCAGTTCCAATATATTATTAAGATGATAGCCAAGGAAATAAGATTGTGTTGATGTGACTCAATTAAAACACAACAAATTAAGGGAAACTTGGGTAAACTATTTCATTTTATTGTTGTCCTTAACTTATGATTAGGGAATACAACTAAGGTCTTGACAGGAAGTGCTGACAACTCTTGTAAATTATGGGATTGTGAAACAGGTATATTTGTGTTGTTTTTTTTTAGAAAAAAGTTTGTATCCTAGTGGTGAGTGTTGTGGCGTGTATTTCACTAAGTGGCTAAGAAAAGAAAGAAAGTGTTAATTTTGAGTTTTATATCACTAAGTTGATTATACATGTATATATTCAAATTCAACTATGGATTGAAATGGAACTTTAATATTGTATCTGGAAGCTGGCTACAAAATTATAACAAAAATTATAGAAGATCATTCACACATGACTGTGTCTATAAAACTTATGGAAGATCAGTCGTTTTACATATGATTGTGCCTTTATTGATGTTTATATGTATCTTTGATAGACACAAGCTTTTTACTTAGAGTGCAAAGAAAACTAGTCTTAGCACTTGTAACAGTTTGCAAGTTTGCAAAAAACTGGCCATTTTCAGTTTCCATTGCCAGTTTCCAAGTGTTAAATTCTAGTCCTGATACTTATGTAAGGTTGATAATTGAACTTAGAAAAAATTAAATTATGTATTTTGTTGTTGTATGTTTCAGGAAAAAATTTGAATACCCTAGATGTAAAGAATGCTGTGAGATCATGTGGCTTTTCGTTTAGTGGTAATCTTCTCATGTACTCAACAGATAAAACTATGGGACATCCATGTGAAATACACATGTTTGATGTGAGAGATCATACACAAATGAGTGAGTCACTTTTTGTTTACAAGGAAAGGGGCATCCCTGGTCAAGTGGTTAATATGTAGGTCATTGACTTCAAACCATTTACCCCTCACTGCTGTGGGTATGAATCCCACGAGGGATCTTCCATGTAAGGAATCTGTCCAGCCAGCTTATAGAACCTCTATTGCTTAAGGTCTTTGACTTCAAACCACTTGACCCTCCCTGCTCTAGGTATGAATCTTGCCAGGGATCTTTCATGTGAGGAAGCTATTCAGCTAGGGTTATTGAACATTGGCGGTTCTACTCGAGTTCCAATTTGGTCACTTTTTGTTTATGCACATTGTGGGAAAGAGCCATTACCCTCTAATGTGATAAATCATTTATTTTTCCATCCCTTTTAGAATAACTTTTTAGCCTGTTAAAGAAATGGTAAACTATTTAATACAATATGAATTATCTATTCAAAGAGTGTGCTGATCTAATATGATTGAGATTATTTTATTCACCGAGAGTGGTGAATCACTTTATATAGGATAAATTATATTCACAGAGAGGGATGAGCTACTAAATAAAAGATAAATCATTAAATGATGTATTCATTGCAAGATGAAGTGGTGGACCAATTGATATAAGATCCACAAAGTATCCACAGAGGGTAGTTAACTACCATTTAAATAAGATAATTTATCTATTCACGGAGAGTGGTGAATCATTTAAAACAAGCAATTATCATAGTATTGCAAGCAATCCATAAGTCCCCTACCGGATAGAACCCCATCAGCATTCTGAAGGGCCATTGGCCATTCACTAATGTGTAAATTTTTCTCTATTTTAAGTAAATTTGTTGGAAATGTTCTTTAAAAGTGATCACAGGAAAAAGTTTTTATGAACAGACAGACAGACGGACTGAAGGACACTCTAAAGCTAATATTTGAAACATCCCTGTTACCAAAATATAACATTTTAAAAAGCAAAATTCTTAAAGAGGAGATAACTCTGGAATTAAAGATGCAATTTCATAAAAAGTTTCAGCTCTTTTTGACTAATCACAAATATTGTTATATTTGCCATGTTTTAAGCCTATTTGTTGCCAAGGCAACCATTATTTTTTCAAAATAGGAAGAACAGATAAGACATGCATAATCTCAAGACTGCCATCTACCCACATGTCAAGTTTCATAAAAATATTTCCAGTACTTTTTGAGTTATCACTGGATTCAGTTTATGTGTAAAATTTGCCATATTTTCAGTCTATGTGTTGCCATAGCAACCAGAATTTTCAACATAGGAAGAAAAGAAAAAGACTTGTATAATCTCCAGACTGCCATCTACACATATTACAAGTTTCATAAAAATATTTCTATTACTTTTTGCGTTAACACTGGATCCAGTTTATGTGTAAAAATTGCCATATTTTCAGTCTATTTGTTGCCATAGCAACCAGAATTTTCAACATAGGAAGAAAAGAAAAAGACGTGCATAATCTCCATACTGCCATATATCCATATATCAAGTTTCATAAAAATATTTCCAGTACTTTTTGCGTTATCAATGGATCCAGTTTATGTGTAAAATTTGCCATATTTTCAGCCTATTTGTTGCCATAGCAACCAGAATTTTCAACATAGGAAGAAAAGAAAAAGACGTGCATAATCTCCATACTGCCATCTATCCATATATCAAGTTTCATAAAAATATTTTCAGTACTTTTCAAGTTATCACGGGATCCAGTTTTGTGGACGGACGGACTGACGGACAGACAGACGGACGGACGGACAGACGGACGGAGGGTAAACCTAAAGTCCCCTCCGGTAAACCGGTAGGGGACTAATAAGATAATTTATCTATTCACAGAGAGTGGTGAACCATTAAATGTTATACCAGTAACTGGTCCTAAGATAACATCAGCTGTTTGGGGACCTTATGAGGAATATATTGTAGCTGGTCTTGAATCTGGGGAAATTATTCAGTATGATGTTAAGGTATGTTTTTAACAATTTTAATACTCATATTAAAAATCTGATTGGACGGTTCATCATAATAGGAGAACCAGATTGGATGTTTATTGGAGGCTTCTACTTCTAGAAGAAACGGAGAGCGTACTTGTCCCCCAAAAAAATTGTCTATTTCACCAAGCTTTTGAGAAAGTATAAAAAAGATTGTGCATTTCTGTTTTTAATAAAATTAAAAAGCCTTTTTGAGTAGAGTCCAGATTGTTAATTTCTGTTTTAATAAGTAAAAAAATCATTTTAAAGGAGTCAATGCTGTGAAGAAATTAGAAACTACATATGTTATTTCAAACCTTCTTTAATGCTTTTGCTCTTTAATATTTCCGAAAAAAATAATTTTTAGAGTGTTACCAAGACTAAGTGACCTTAAACATTACCTACTATGCTATTAGTTAAGATCCTTTAGGGACAATGGACAATGTTTAGTGGTCTTATTTCATTAAGTAAGCTGTAAAAATGGCATTTGAGCCGCGTCACGACAAAAGCAACATAATACGTTTGCGACCAGCATGGATCTAGACCAGCCTGCGCATCCGCGCAGTCTGATCAGGATCCATGCTGTTCGCTATCAGTTTCTCACCTTGTAAAAGGGTTGGTAAGCGAACAGCATGGATCTTGATCAGACTGCATGGATGCGCAGGCTGGTCTGGATCTATGCTGGTCGCAAACGCATTACGTTGGTTTTGTCATGACGCAGCTCATATGTCTATCTTAGAATGACAAAACAAAATTTGATCACAATTTTTCTCATGGAAAAGATGAGTGGCAGTGTGGCCGAATGGTTAATGCTTTTGACTATCTAAGGATTGCTGACTGCATGGGTTCAAACCCTGTCAGGGGCAAGCCATTGTTTCCTTGGGCAAGAAAATTTACATTAATTGCTTAGTTCTGGTTGGTTCCAGGAACAGATTCGAGAGTTTCAATAAGCTTATAGCTTCCAACACAAACTAAAATAAATTTGGATAACTAAAAGATGTACATGTATTTGATAATTTCAGACTGGTGAGAAAATAAACGCTGTAAAAGAACATTCAAAGCAAATAAATGATTTACAGTTGTCTCTAGATATGTCTATGCTGATCTCTGCATCAAAAGATACTACAGCTAAGGTTAGTACTTTATTTATCACATATACTAGTACATAACATCACATTAGTGTAAGTACATATTGCTTATAGTTCATACTTTCTGTTTATTTGGCTTCTTCATCAAATCCGTCCTCATCACAGCAGGTCAAGGTCAAGTCATCCCAATGAAAATGCAGGTCAGACAGTACCTAAAAAATGTGTCAGAATGCACCAAAATGCAGCGTTAAAAGCAATAATTTCCAGGGGTACTAAGTAGCTGGGATGATAGGTTGACCAGTTGTGACTAACTCGGGATCGTTTGGTCCTGCAAAGAGTTGTTATGAAATATGGATGCCTTGGAAGTATTGTTATCACCAACAAATATAAAAGCAGCATGAAAAATACGTCAGTGATGAGGCTAAAATAGGTAGATTGGCAAGGACAATGTATGTCTGAGACATGGTTAATTGTGGCGCCAAGTATAGTTTAAAAAACAACAAAAAAAACCACAATGGTCTTAGTTAGAAAATTAGGTTGTATTCTGTAGAATCAATACAGTCAATACACAAAAGAATCCATATATGGTGAGGATATTATATAGAAATAAAGATTTCAAATGCATAAATCTTTTATCTTATAACATTGAAAATTTGTTTACAGTAGACCATAAACTTTAAACAGAGTACTAGTATATTGTTGCATAGATAACTTTGCATATTAACCCTTTGCTACCACAACCTGATGGTGTCAGCTGTTTCTACCCATAAGACCAGTGCAGAGCAAGATCAGCTGACACTATTCAGTCAGTACATATTTTAAAAATGATTTTCTCATGATTGAAAGATGGATAAGGCCATTTATACTATAAATTATGGTAAAGGTTATGTTGTAAGAAGTTTTTATCAGTTGAAAAATGATAATTAATGGCCTTAGTTTATTTGATAAAAATGAAGTCTTAATACTTTAAATATAATGATTTTATTTCAGTTATTTGATCTAGCTTCATTAAACCATATGAAAACATACAAGACAGAACGTCCAGTAAATTCAGCGGCTCTCTCGCCTTTACAGGAACATGTAAGTTAATTATTTTAATTTCAAGAGGCTGTTTAAGTATTGTTTCTTAATTGAGTGGAGCAAGACCTCTGATGTCTTGCAGTACATTATTTTATGGATACAAATCATAAATACAAACTTGTGTAAACTAGCTGAATAGCTTCCTCACTTCAGGAAAGTCAATCCATAGCTGTGAGGGGCAGGAACACGATGCCAGATAATGTTGTCACATGATCATTGGGGACTATTTTTATGATCTGGTTAGATGAGTAGGGAGCCAGTTTAGCAGTTGTTACCTCTAATTTGCTACTTTGAAGCATCAGAACAATATTACAATTTCTGTGATATTGACAATATGTTTAAATGCAATTCAAATGTTGATACAATAAATGCTTTGACAATATTAGCAGAACTGTTTGAATAATCTGATCAATACAGAATGATACACATGTAGAGTAGATTTCTGTTGGTAAATGAGTACACAAACTTAAACAAAGTTAAATACAATAAGTGAACTGTCAAAGACATGATTAGAATGTGGTTGAATTAAAACTTGTTCTTTTAGTATATCAAACAATTAACTTAAAATCTTGATGTTGTTTTTTGGTTTATTTTTGACAGGTTGTTCTTGGTGGTGGTCAAGAAGCCATGGAGGTGACAACGACTTCTACCAGGGTTGGCAAGTTTGATGCCCGCTTTTATCATCTCATCTTTGAGGAAGAGTTTGGCAGGGTTAAAGGTCATTTCGGACCAATCAACAGTCTTGCATTTCATCCAGATGGCAAAAGGTTTGTGTTAAAATTAATTTGTTACCAAATGGAAAAATTTTTTAACTGAAGAGTCATGGTTGACCGTTGTGTACCTTGATAAAAAATGCAACTCTATCGAAGTTACTCTTGATCAAACTTTTTTATTGTTTCAATGCAGTATGATATTGATAGTTAAATACCTTTACAAACTATCAATATCCAGATTCAACTTACTTAAAGCTACATTAAATAAATATGTTAAAATATTTTTGCCGTCGGCCTAAAAACCAAGCATACTACAGTTTCATTAACCTTTTTAACAGTATCGTTGTAAATCTCATCAAATATTGTTCATAAATTAGGATTTTAAATGGAAAACCCCACGGTAACACTAAAGTTCGTATACGAATTTTAACATGCAAATGAAGACTATAATCAGCTCGTGTATGCGCTACGTCACGGTGTTATAGTTGCTATCCGGAACACAGCAAATATAAGATTTTCTTGTGCAAACACACTTTTACCGTTTAAGCTTCACGGTGCACTAGGCCTGTGGTTCAGAAAAAATAATCATCTCATAAAAAAGATTAAATTTGTATGAAAATATCCGTTACAATGCGGAAATATACCGTTAAATAAGGACTGCTACTTATAGTCATGTTTGTTGATTTAACATTGATGTATGGATGATCTGAGGCGGAGTTTCTCATGCAAACAGAAATTGTACTTCCGAATTCGCCACAATGAGGTTGCACATTTGTATGCTCATTAAACTCATTTTGGTTGTCTGGACACCAAAATAAGACTTGGAGTCGATATGAAACCCAATTTATTAATGAAATGTCGCTATTTCTTTTTTTATGAAATTTATTTAATGTAACTTTAAGTGATGCTGTATTCCATACCATAATTTTTAATCATTCTAGATAAGTTTGAGGGATGTCCGTGGCCGAGTAGTAAAGATCATTGACTTAAAACCACTTGCCTCTCACTGCTGTAGCTTCAAGCTGTGAAAGCCTAGTTGTAGAAGCTATCCACCTTGCTTATGGAACGTTGGTGGTTCTACTCAGGTGCCAGTTTGTGCAGGAATTAATGTAGAGGAGCACCTGAGGTCTGCCTCTATCAGTCAAGCTGGAAAGTTGCAGTATGACCTTTACTGCGTTGGTGTAACTAAAACCACACTAAAAAAAAGTTTACTTCACTGATAAAAATGTAAAGTTTAAAAAATTACAGAAATTGATAAGATGAAGTTATTTGTTGAATGCTAATAAATCATTCAAATATTTGTCTGTATTTACAGTTATAGCAGCGGGGGAGAAGATGGTTACGTACGAGTGCACTATTTTGATCCTGAATACTTCGACTTCAGATTCGAGTTCTAATTGTAACAAGATTTCGCAATATTTTTATTATTTATTCCAAGATCTGTGCTTCAGTCAAACTTGGTTATTTGTGAAAAGGAAAAAATATTTTTTTCTTGGATTTTATTTGAATTGTTTTTTGGAATTCAAGTGTAAAAAAGGTGAAAGGAATAATAGAAAAAAAAGGAAAAAAGGAAAACAAAGGAAAAAACTAGTACAAACTGTGGATTACAGAAAGTGAATTAAGTGCTTTGTAAAATTGAATCATGTCAAAATCCAGTAATAAAATGTTAGATCGTCGGACATGAGAGTAGTGTTTTTGAGTTTGAAACGGTTTTACCTAGTTGGCGAAACTCGTCAAAAATTCAAAAAGGGGTATGCAGGTGAATCTGCTGCTTGATAAGCTGTCCATTTGACCTGCTTGCAAAATCATATAATTCATTCCTTTCCATTCATTTTAAGACCAGAACTTTACTAGTTCTTTATTTTTTGTATGAAACTTTACAGTAAGTTAGTAAGTATAGGGACTTAAAAATCATTTTATTTTAGTAGTATTACACATACGGTTGTTCAGTCTTCCATGCTGGCATCATTTACATTAAATAATTACATAGTTAACATGAAACAACATCGTATCATTACAAATCAGCTGGAAGATTGGACAGAAATCATGAATCTTTTCATACTAAGAAGCCAAATTTAATTACTTTATTGGAGAATATACTATTTACAAGTAGTTATTAACGTTTGAAAAAAAAGAAGAAATATTTATGGAGGCTTTTTCTATATCAAAACATCTTTTTGGAAACAATATGTAGAAAGTGGTTATCAATTGTTATGAAGTTTCCTCAGGACTATCACAATGTTTTACACCTAAGTTCGAATTTTGTCGTGGTTCAATGATTTTAAGGAGAATTATGCCCCTTTCACTTTGAAAATAATATGAAATTTTCAGTTTCTGTTCATTATCTCCCCAACAGTGTTACATATTCAACTCAAATTTGACATATGGATATGTCAAAGGAATGGGCAGGTCAAGTTTGAATTTGGTCATGGTTTGATGATTTTTGACAGAGTTATGTCCCTTTCACTTTGAAAATAATATGAAATTTTCAGTTTATGTTCATTATCTCCTCTAGGGTATTACACATTCAACTCAAATTTGACATATGGATACGTAAAAAAAATGCGCAGGTCAAAATCTAATTTTGTCATGGTTTGATGATTTTTGGCAGAGTTATGCCCCTTTAACTTTGAAAAAAAAAAGAGTAAATTTTCAGTTCCCATTCATTGTCCCCCGAACAGTTGTACATATTCAACGCAAATTAAAAATATTCATATGTCATAAGAATGCATTGGTCAATTTCGAATTTGGTCATGGTTTGATGATACTGACAGAGTTATCCCTCTTGAATTTTGAAAAAAAAATCAGAAATTTTAAGTTTCTGTTCATTATCTACCCAATAGTTGTACATATTCAACTCAAATTTGACATACAGATACATCTTAGGAATAAGCACTTCAAGTTTGAATTTGGTAGTGGTTCAATGATTTTGGACAAAGTTATCTTTCTTGAATGTTGGAAAAATTTTTAATTTTCAGTTTCAACACTCGTACTTTTGTGGAAATGTATGTAGCCATTATTTTGGCTACAAATATGCAATATGCAATTTACAAAAGGTTAACACTGAATAGTTTCAGTGCCTTGAACTTTGTATAAAAATGGTATGTGTTAACATTGAATAGTTTTAAGGGCTTTGAACTTAAAATGAAAAAAATAATTTGTGCAAACAAATTTGGAACTAAATATTATCACATCTGAAACTTTGGCTTCATGCGGGGGCATTTGCAGGGTGAAAACACATTTCTAGTTGTTTTTTTTGAAACTGTAGCAATGTACCAAACATTTTAAAATTTTGTAAAATAAAAATGGAACGCATTTATGAGGCATATAAATGGGCCTTTAAATTTTTACTACTATAGCCATTCACTACCAGCTGTGCCGTGCCTGACCAAATTAATTTTCGAAATACATAGTAACATACTAATACTTAATAAACTTTAACCTATATAAGGAGTTAACCAGTTACTGCACTAAAGTGACAATATCAGTCCTCAAATAATTCATAGTTTTAATTGGCTACTCATTATTCGATTTCTGCATTGAAGTTTTGACGTCATTGCCATGTGATTTCTATGTTTCAATTAAATTATTAAAGCGCCAATTCTTATAGTTGTAATAGGTGACATCAAAATATCACAACAAAAACTAAAACAAAATATCAACAACTTTATTAATAGTAATAAAGACAAAACATATATATCATAACAGAAGTTAAAAAAGAAAGAAAAAAATCATATATCTTCAAAAATATTTACTGTAGATGATGAACAAGACCAATTATTACCTCATTTATAAATTATCTAACTCTTTTAATTCATACAGTAAGTTAGCTTGGGGTTGATTTTTTCCCCGATAGACCTTTTTGTGTACTAAAAAAAAGTGTGCTATTAAGTATTTGAATTATAGAAATACTTGGTTCATCTTTTTATGCAAATAAAACTCAGAATGGTATACTGTCAACGTTATTTCCCAAGAGATTTATTATAAAGAAAATGGAAGAAAATTGAAATCGCTCGAAAAATTATTTTGGTCACATGATGTGAGCTTGTTGATCCAGTAATAAGCTAACCAATAACCAATAGGGATGGCAATGTTTTTTTTATGTATATATTTCTTCATTGGTTCCACTACTTTTTCTTGCTTCTTCCTGAGGCCCGGGAACCAGGCTTTGGTGATTTAGGCATCTTGGACGATGGAATTTTCGCTGCTTGGACATTGTATCTTGGGGGTGGTCCTACACAAGAAATCAAAGAAGCACTATTATATTTGTACATGAAATACTGATCTTTTGAGAAAGACATGTAGATAGAAACCAGCTAAAATATAAGGATGTTGACTCCTGTTTATAATTCTATATTACATTTGTACAGTACATGAATATTGTACAAGAATGCAGATATAATGCAGGAATTCCACAGGAGTAATTCTATAAAAAAAGCTACAATTCTAATGAATGTTGTTAAGAAAAAAAAATAGCATATCTTTATGTATATTTAAAAATAAAGTATCATCTTTTAAATAATTGCTTTTATAATGTGAATGAATTAATTAAAAATTACATTGTAATAGATGTAAAATGTTTTAACAGAATTAGTAACAGACAATGCTTTTATAGATCTCTACATGTATGTTTACATGATAAATATAGCATTTTACATTCCTATTGTATGTATGTGTACTACCAAAACATCTTATCTTTTACAATAGAGATGCTTGTTACAGCAATTTTTACCTCCCCTGGTCGCCATTTGGGGGTCTTTCCCGATACAATTCATGTACATTGTATATTATATTTTGTGTATATGCTTAAAATAAGATAAAAAGAAATCTCTGATAATTCTATCATTTTCATGAAAACTGACAAAAATCTTTTACATATTGGTACTATAATGATATTTTCCTTCAGCTGTTTATATATTGATATTTTCATATTTTGGCAATTATATTGAATATTGACCCCCAAACTGGCTGCTACTTTTGGCAAGGGAGGTAAATATTGGGAACAACCTATGAAATTGAGTACTTGTATGCAAGAGATTAGTGTTGCTACCCTTTTTTGTTCAAAGATTTTTCAAACATATATATACTAGCTAAAAAGTATCCGGATGAGACGGCCAGGACTACAAACTAATATCAAACAATAAAAACACACACAGGATGTGCTGTTATATTTTTTGCTCACAGATGCACACACACATTTTTTTCAATATTCTAGCATTCTAATGACAAGACTGAGAGATCGCTCCGAGTCTGACATGTCTACAGATTATCCTGTGTAATGTAAAACCTGTTGTTATTGTAGATTGCCTATAATTTAAAAAGAACAGAGTGACAACTTGAAGACAGACTATATATGGACACAAGCAAATGATGATAACAGACTCACAGCTGTGATTAGAAAAAATAAGCTCTCTAGTGAACCATTCATTTCTTCAACAGACTGGTATTAGAAGAATGTAGTGGACCAAGCATTGGGACACAGTCTAGATATGAACAATAGCAAGACACAGTCTAAGCTCAGTCAATTTTGGAAAATATAGCTTTTCATAGAACCATTCTGCTACAGAGTCATGAGACTTTCTGAAGACCAGAAATAAACTGGTGACACAGTCTACCTATAAAGAATAGCCAAATAGCGACACACACACAGTCTAAACACCTTTTTGGTGTTTTTACAACTGGCAAAAAGAGAATCATTCTGCTACAGACTGGGTTTCAGAATCCTGTGATTTTGGAGAAGCAGGTGGAGAGTTTGAGGCACAGTCTACTGGGGAAGTTACAGGAACTGGTTTTGTAGAGACTGATTTTGGAATTATTTTATACTTGTATCGTATTGGGGGACCTGAATAAATAAAGTTTAGCAGAATTTAAGGCATGAATTTTTTTTGTAATCTACTTGTAAGATATGAAAATGGATTTTATGGAAATCTGTCCAAGCTGGAACTTTAAAATAAAAAGACTATAATAAGTAAAGAATATTATACCTTTCTACTATTTACAAGGGTCCTACATTTTTTACATATAAAAATTTCCTTAATAAATATACTTCATGAACCAGTAACACAAAAATGGTTATAACAAAAGTTATTTCAGATGTTTAATAAACATTCTACAGATGAATCTAAATATGTTCTTATAATCAAAATTTCACTTAAACATGCAAGTTTGTAATAACTGAAAATACCTTTTAAATATAACCAACTTCTTTAAGATGTATCATAAGTACCAATTTTGTGACATCATAATTTGTAAGGTAAGTAAATATACATAATACTATGCTCAGATATATGAAAAGTTTTATTAAAATTGATTTTTGGATACGATTAAGTTCATGTTGGCATCATATAGTTTTGTACTTGTGATGAAATTTTTAGAAATAAGTTAAATGGTCTGAAGAAATAGTCCTATATTTATCATGTATCTATGCCATTTCTTCTTTATCAAGCACATTTATATACATACCTAACACTTGTGGTCTTGGCATACATGTTTTCTCTAGTTTAAACTCGAGGTCATCTCGTAATTTTTCTACTTTAAACTTCAAGTTCTCAGTGGCTGATATTGTATATTGCTTCATTACTTCTTCTATAATGCTACCTACAACCTGAAATACATGTATTTTTTCATTCACTGATTTATACAATCAGCAATTAATTGTCATAACCAGTTTCAATAATATTTTAGGCACTGAAGAGGAAGGCTTTAATACCACTTATAAAGGAAAGTATTGGGCAAGTATTAGGTTCTCCAAATGTGAACTTAATGCTTATTTTGACCAACAATGTAATTCATATTTTCTTTTTATATTATCACCGAATGATTTGGTATCTATGCAAATTATCACTTTTTAATACATGTACATTTGTGTATTTTTTATTTTGACTAAATTATTTAATTTATCCCCAATGATTTGGTATCTATGCATATTCTCATTTTTTAATATTTTATATGTTATGCCTTGTATAAATAGAACCATGTCAGACTGAATTCCGTTTTTTGTTCGTGCACACTGCCAGGGATCTAATAAGTAGGAGTAGCTATAACAGCAGTTGTAATAGTTACTGTACAGTACATTACAGTACAGTACAGTACAGATGTTCTCTATAGTGAAATTATAATGAACTTATAAACAATTTAATTTTACTGTATATAGATCTTATATAAAATAATTCATTATGGTTTCATCAGTTTACTTACTTCTTTGTTTAAAGGTGTTTCAACCTGAACCACTTTTTCTAAAGCATCTTTTGATTCTTTTTGCAGTTCCGATAATTTCTTCTCATTTTCAGCTAGTCTTTCCTTCTCCTTTTGTTCTTCTTTTGCTTCTAAGTCTTGAATTCTTTTTTCATATTCCCAAACTTTGAGAGGTTTAGTTTCTTTCAGAGTCCCAGATTCAAATGGAGGTTTTACAGCAATGGGAAGGTTCGGTATTTGCTCTGCACGAGGGGTTGTAAATACTAGTTTGTATAGTTTGAAATGAGGTAATATTGTCTCAAACACAAATGAAGAGTATATCTTATAGTCTCTTTCTCCCAATGTCTGTATAAGGTCTGTTGATTGGGAATTGTAGAAACCTAGAATATCAGTGATCTTGTCACAGTCTGTAAACAAAAGGTGTAGCATTAATTAAGAACCGAATAACAATGTCTCAATGTAGCATTAATTAAGAACTGAATAACAATGTTTCAATATAGCATTGATTAAGAACCGAATAACAATGCTTCAATGTAGCATTGATTAAGAACTGAATAACAATGTTTCAATGTAGCAATAAATTAAGAACCGAATAACAATGCTTCAATGCAGCATTAATTAAGAACTGAATAACAATGCTTCATTATGTAGCATTGATTAAGAAATGAATAACAATGTTTCAATATAGCATTAATAAAGAACCGAATAACAATGTCTCAATGTAGCATTAATTAAGAACCGGATAACAATGTCTCAATGTAGCATTAATTAAGAACTGAATAACAATGTTTCAATATAGCATTGATTAAGAACCGAATAACAATGCTTCAATGTAGCATTGATTAAGAACTGAATAACAATGTTTCAATGTAGCAATAAATTAAGAACCGAATAACAATGCTTCAATGCAGCATTAATTAAGAACTGAATAACAAAGTTTCAATGTAGCATTAATTAAGAACTGAATAACAATGCTTCATTATGTAGCATTGATTAAGAAATGAATAACAATGTTTCTATATAGCACTGATTAAGAACTGAATAACAATGTTTCAATGTAGCATTAATTAAGAACTGAATAACAATGCTTCATTATGTAGCATTGATTAAGAAATGAATAACAATGTTTCAATATAGCACTGATTAAGAACTGAATAACAATGTTTCAATGTAGCATTAATTAAAAACTGAATCACAATGCTTTAATGCAGCATTAATTAAGAACTGAATAACAAAGTTTCAATGTAGCATTAATTAAGAACTGAATAACAATACTTCATTATGTAGCATTGATTAAGAAATGAATTACAATGCTTCGATATAGCATTGTTTAAGAAATAAATCACAATGTTTCAATGTAGCATTAATTAAGAACTGAATAACAATGCTTAAATGCAGCATTAACTAAGAACTAAATAACAATGTTTCAATATAGCATTGATTAAGAATTGAATAACAATGCCCAAATAAAGCACTGATTAGGAACTGAATAACAGTGCTTCAATGTAGCAATAATTAAGAACTGAATAACTATGCTACAGTGTAGCAATAATTAAGAACTGAATAACAATGTTACAAACAATGCTACAATTAATGTAGCATTATTTAAGAACTGAATAACAATGCATTATGCTTCAATGCAGCTATAAAATAGCTTTCTCGGGAAATCTGAATTATAAAGAAGGCGAAACATATATGGTGGTAATCAGATCTACATGGAAGATATAAGTAGAGCTGAACGTTAGTCAGGTTGTTAGGTTGGTTGTTTGAAATGTAAATGAACCAAAATATTCAATGAAAATATGTATCTAAACAAAAACATTTCAGACTAATTTTTTACTTTTCTTATATAAAAATGAAAATAATTTTTTTTTTATTAAATATAAATTATAAAATATGTGAATTAACCTACTTTGTAATTCTTCAGTAAGTTTGTCAGCAAATTTTACTACAAAAGCAACTTTATTCCATGGAAACCCCTTTTCTACAGCATAATTCATACTATCAAAGAGGAAATCAAGTTTGATTGCCTCCTGCATATCATGGTCCTCGTCGAAGGGTGGCCATTTCAATGTCTTTGCCAAAGCAAGCCTGCTTTGATCTTTCTGAAATGAAAATCAATAGGTGATTGAAGGTACATTATGCATCAGAAAAAATTTTGACTTCTTTAGAAAGGGCAAACATGAATTTTTGTGTCGCCACTGCTCCTTATATAGGGATCACTTCTCCATCGTCTGTCCGTCCGTCTGTCTGTCCGTCACAAAACTTGTCCGGACTACTCCTCATAAACTACTGGTGCAATTTCATCCAAACTTTACAGGAATGATCAGTACCAAGTCTAGTTGTGAATATTGTCAGCATTTTCCGGTTCAATGATTTTTGTCAGAGTTATGGCCCTTTAATAATTTTTATTTTTAAAGTTTGTCCGGACTACTTCTCTTATACCACTAATGCAATTTCAATGAAACTTTACAGGATTGATCTGTAGCTCAAGTCCTTGCGCATATTGCATGGGTTTTCCGATTGAATGATTTTTGGCCGAGTTATGGCCCTTTGATAAAAAGGTGTTTTTTTCTGTGTGTTGCCAGATACACAAAAGCTTGTCCGACTACTTCTCATTAACTACTGGTGCAATTTTATCCAAACTTTACAGGAATGTTCAGTACCAAGTCTAGTTGTGCACTGTCCGTCTGTCATATTAAACTTGTCCCAACATGAAATTGGCCATCATGAGGCGACACATGTGATCACTGATCGCTCTTGTATAATGTTAATATAATGGTTTTAAAGAATGTTAGACGCATGTTACCTGAAGAATGTACATGTAGTGATTAATGTGCAATAATATGTCATAAAAGTAGCAAAATGTAAGTCATAAAAGTAGCAAAATGTAAGCAGAGTTGTATTTTGTCTTCCAAACAAAATACTAATCAACTATAACTGTACTTATTGCCAAAAAGCAACAGATGAAAAAGATGGTTTAGGTAATGGGCCAAGAAAAGTACATAATTGAATGCATCTGATACCTGTGTTTAAGTTATTAATTACAAGTAAGGCTTCCATGTTTACAATTTTTTGTAAACATTTAAATGATTACTAAAAATTTAAATGTTACAATACTATTTAAATGATATGGTCAAAATGATGTAATTGGAAGGATAGGTGTGTCAAAATCTTCAAATTAAGGTGTGAAAATCTTCCAAAAGTTAACTTGCAATAAAATTCAAACTGTATGAACAGAGGATATGAGATTATAACACATTTTATAATAAAGGGAAATAGTAGTCAAATATGAATGTGACGGTTCAGAACTATTCACTATTTAGGGGAGAAAGTGTTTAAGCAGCCGGATAGCTCAGTTGTAGAGCCAAGGTACGGTATTCCGAGGGTCCCGGGTTTGAGTCCCGGTCAGGCTGCACATTTTTAGGCTGCATATTTTTCTCACCCTGTGACATGGCGCTCAACATGGATAGCTCTGAGTCCAGTTTCACATTGTTTTTATGTATCGTGGACTAACCAGTTCTCAAACCTCTAAGCATTCAAGAGGTCTTTTAATGTAAATAAAAATATATCTTTATAAAAATTCTTTACATATGTACACTTTAATCTTTATGTAACATTTTTGTAAAATTTGACTGAAATTCAACTATTAAAAAAGCTCTATTTCCATCTTGGAAAAGCACAACCCTCTGTTTTAAAACTAACATGGCCTCTTAAAATAAAGGACCTAATCTCAAACCCCTTCATGTATCTCTAAAATTCTACTGTTTAGTTAAGCCAACGAAGTGATTGTCATGACAATGAAATACCCTACACGATTCAGTTACCTGCCTTAAGATATTTTTGTCTATTATATTCGTTTTCACAAATAGTTAATGGTGTATTTATGGGACTTACAAAAGTAATAGCAATTTGTATGAAATTACGTTAAGTAATAAAATATGTTATGTAAATATTTGTTCCTATGCACTGTTTTCATTTGACAACAGCAGACATGTATGTCAGAAACTAAACTTTTATGCACACAAGTTCAGGACATCAGTCACTTCTAGTAAAAAAAATAACAGCACATGAATGAAAGGTTTGAAAATAGGTTGGGTGTGAGATTAGGTACTTATACGATACACATTGGAAAATTCGAGGACGAATTTCAATACAGCAGGGGAGTATGTCACAGTTCAGAACTGTTCACTATTTAGGGGTGAAAGTGTGTAAGCGGCTGGAGGGTGAAGTGGGGCCTTTATCCCATCTCTGGCACTAGGACAAAGACTGAGAGAGAAAATTCATTTATGCATTTCCTTTGCTATTCATCTCACTTCCATGTGATTGTGACATGTTTTCACAAGTATTGTGACTGAATTGTGACAATGTGTTTTAAGCAATCATTGCTTAGATATTTATCTGCAAGAGATAAAATCATGGCATAAGATTTCAGCAGAAATGAGGAGAGTAAATTACAAAATTAAGCTAGAAGTACAAGCTGGCAATGGTTTCTTTCAATAAATTTGTCCATATGGAGTGGTAAACTGATATGCAAGGAATGTTCATTTCAAAACTGATGAAAAAACTCACTGGAAGTGAAGCCAAATATTCGACACTTTTCGATGTTATTGTCGCCATTTTGTTGCTACCAAAGCTAACGTTATGAAATCTCGCGGAGTTTCGTTACTGTTAATGGTCTGTGTAAATCTTATGTCACACTCCTGGCATTTTTTAATTTACAGAAAAATAACAAATAAATATTCAGATTTATTCAATCGTTCAAAATAATTAAACAACTATTCTATTTTCTATATGAACCTACTTTCGGTTTGGCAGGTGCGCGTCACGTGACTGGAAACGGGATTTAGATCTTGGCCGGGAAATGTGTATTGAGCTGTCAAAACATTTACCAAACTGTCAGATTATTATTTGACAGTAATTAAACTTTAAATCTGGATGTAAGTAGAGCAATGTGTCGATTAATTGACATTTTGGATATAATAGTGAACCAGGGATGAGGTTATATACAGTGTTGTCTTTAAATAACAAATTATTGGATACTTTTTCAAGTTTCTTCTAAATTGCCAGCCAATGTGTTTCTTCTGTACCCAAGATGATCTGTGCTTACTGAAAGTTTGTCATAAAGTGTAATTAGTTTGGAATGATATTAAAAAAATATATTTAATTTGAACATAGGTCATCATGTCATGATTGTGGTATTCATACCCTTTGTTATTAATATTTATGAAGTGGCATTTTAAAATTTATGCCATGGCACATGGATCCTTAGTCCAAATATTTAGATGTAAACCGCAGATTTGTAGCCATATTTTACATTTGTCAAATCTGCTTTCTCATTTTTCGATAAATGTAAAACTGTAAAAAAAGAAAATGCGAAATCTTTCCACAACGGATCCTATCCCTATGAAAGTGTATTTAATAGATATTGATATATTTTGTTATGTTATCTGAATATATGATTATTCACTGTTTATATGTTATCTGTATGTGTTAAATAATGATTGACACACTTAACTCTTTGTCTCACATTCGTTTAAGCAATGAAAATAATTTATTAGTCATTAACTTATTGAATGAGTAACATTTCAAATCTTCAACTGCACAGGGATTATATAAGATTCTTCTCCATGCTATAATGGTGATTCATAAAAGACCAACCTTATAGAAATCCCTATTAAACATTAGTTAATGAGCCATTTGCAGTTTTGCCATGTAAAGGTGTGTGTACTTAAACAAGTTTAAATTAGAACAAATTCAAAGTTAAGCTGCCAGATACATATATAATGACTACAATTCCACCAATAGTGTATCTAAAATGTTAAATAATCTTAATTGGCAAACTCTAAAGCAGAGGTGAAAGATAAGCACTGTTACCCTTCTCTACCAAATCCAACACAATCTTGTGAGAGTTGACCATTGCCACCTAACACCCACTAGAAACCTGAACTACCTAATACCATACTCAAGGAAACAACTTTACTCCTATTCATTTTTCCCCAGAAGTATTCATCTGTGGAATGGCCTATACCTGTGACCTTACAAGCTAGTCCCAGTCTAGATCTCTTTATTGGGCAGCTGCTTTTTAAGTCAGTTTTGTTTATCTTTTTATCTCAGTCTTGTATTCTTCTTTTAACTTGCTTATTGGGGTTACTTTTGTTGGCGGTGTCGGCATCAGCTAGAGTGTCGGTGTCAGCGTCGCGTCCCTTTAAGCTTATCCCGGAGCATAAGTCAGTCATTATAAGTCGGATGGACTTCAAACTTGGTATGCATGCTTCTTATAATGAGCAGAAATGCAGTGCACAAGAACCGGTACTCAGCACTTCTTAATTTTTGAGTTATTGCCCTTTGTTAATTTTCATATTTTATTTTTGTCCAGGCCATTTCTCCTAATGTATAAAAGCTATGGACTTGAAACTTCATAGGATGATAGATCTCATTAAGAAGAAGTGCAGCACACAAGAACCGGTACTCTGCATTTCTTTTCTTTTTTTTTAGTTATTGCCCTTTGTTAATTTTCATACTTTATTTTTGTCCGGGCCATTTCTCATAAATTATAAAAGCTATAGACTTGAAACTTCATAGGATGATAGATCTTATTGATAAGAAGTGCATTTCACAGAAACTGCTACTCTACACTTCTTATTTTTTGAGTTATTGCCCTTTGTTAATTTTGCAGTACATTTTGTACTGAATTTTTAATGATCTGAAGAAGAAAATGTTTCAATTTGATTTAATCAGTTCTATAATATATATTAAAAATGACAAATTGTGTCAAATTTACTCTCAGACTTTTTATTCATCTTTAAAATAAACAGCCATGCAATCTACTTTAAGGCAACAAGAAAAAAAAAGAAATTTAATAGAAGCAAAATCTCAGTTCTAATTTAACCACTATGCTGCAAAATTAATCTATTGTTATTCATAATTACGTTAGTTGGTTATAAAAAAGGATTTAAAATATCCAAAGAAAGTCACAAAAAAATTCTTACAACCGATAGTAAGTGACAAAGAATTTAGACAGAATGACAACTTTACACATGTATTTGTTTCAGAAAGTAACCGATTTCACTAACAATATAAAATATACTCTTTTTATGCAAACAGTTTCACACCGTATTACCGGCGGCAGTGATGGCAGATCACTGCAGTGATGGCAGATATCTGAAAATTACCGATCGGTACAGGTAGGTTATAAATTTGGTTGGTTTAATTATATTACACAATTACGGCCCATATCATTGCTATAAAACTATTGTCCATTGAATGGAGATACTGTAAGGTAATTTTGGACTCGTTTTTTCCTGTTTTCAGACTATTTTGAGCAGGTTAAAAGTGAAAGCCTTGGAAAAAATCCGTGAAAATGTCTGTTTTCTGTTCAAAATATCTCAAGTTTTAAGTAAATGGCAGGATTTCCTGTTATCAATATAGACGTTCATCCATTGGGGTCACGCAAGCCAAATATCTACCCCGTGAGTCTTTTCTTGAAAGTTTTACAGACGCTCAATCTTGTCCGGTCGAAGAAAAAATGCTGCCGTTGTAGGCAGATACATATTATAAATGCTGCCGTCGATGGCAGAAATACCACGAAAGTGGCTAACATTCTGACAGAAAATCAAGTTCAATCTTTTATCAATTCCTCTTTTCTTTGCGTCCTTTTAGTCAGAATTGAGACGTTAAACTATCATTTCTAATATTTTCTCAAGACAGAAAAGTTATAAATGCGGTGTGTGCATCGAAAAAAGCTTTTTAGCAACATGCAGTTACAATACAAAAAGTGATGATTTAGTACGACAACATTTCACTATAATTAGAGAAATGAACATGAAAAACTTCATTTTTCTATATTCATGCATGTGTGCTTGATCTGTTCATATGAATTGAAAGGTCAAAAAAGAGAAAAAGAATATAACAAATCAAAGAATTCTAGTTTTTTTCCTATAAATACAGGATTTATTTTCATCTTGTGATATGAATCATCAAAAGGTTCATCTTTATAAGTTGTCATGGTTACAACTAAAATGAATGAAAAAATATATAGTTAAATGGGAGCACGTGAACTGTTAATAATTTAGCATAGTAAATGTAATTCAAAGGCAAACTACAACGCTATTACAAACATGAAAATTTAAAGAAATGAATCCACGTTGTCGTGTTTTTCAAGAACTTGATAATATAGGAAAATATTTGAACTGTCAATAATATTATCTTTCCATTTTACATTAACATACATTGTTTTATGATACACTGATGCCAGTTGCGAGGTTAATAGTCTCCCCTTTATTACATCAATTTAATAATTTATAATCTGCGCCGATTAAGTTTTCAACCTTTATTTGTCATAAAGCGATGAACATTATTACCTCGAGAAAATAATGTCATATGCTAGCAAATGAATATCCACTTACAGAAGTTACTTGCTGTAATATGCAATTGGCGTTATGTCTTAAAAAGGGAGTGCGCTGCTAAACTTAAGATACATATAGTATTGTATGCATGTAACTGACAGACACAACAGATCAAGCACACATGCATGAATATAGAAAAATGAAGTTTTTCATGTTCATTTCTGTATTTATAGTGAAATTTTGTGGTACTAAATCATAACTTTTTGTATTGTAACTGCATGTTGCTAATAAGCTTTTTTTCGATGCACATACCGCATTAATGAAAAAAAATAAAAAAATCTACAAAACAGCAATTTTTCTTCAAAATTATATGTGAGGCCATGTTTTAACATGGAAAAACGCGTTTTTGGGTATACGTAATTTCGTTTTTTTAATCATTTTCTGTTAACCCTTTACCAGATATATACGCCTTTCTACGCCTTTTTCATCCCCCCCCCCCCTCCTTTTTTGCTTTCTCAAATGGTGAAAAAATGCCTTATTTAGGCCCCCAAACACTTGTTTTTGTTTGATAAATGTTGTTTAAAAAATTGACCACTTTTTCGGCGCGGCCCCCCCCCACCCCCATCCAAAAGATACATCAGGGGGTTGCTAGAAGGGGGATGTCCCCCTTCTGTTTGGGGGGTTTGAAGGGGGACTGAGTCCCCCTCATCGCCAAGAAAACTTTGGACTTGTGGGAGGCTAAAAATGGCCCCAGGTCGATCATAAGGTAACGTGTAACCAATGCTGAAAAGCCTTTGACTCTATCTCAATCCATTGAGAAGTGGCAGCACTTTGAAATCAATTTTGATGGAAAAAATCAACGCAAAACAGTGATTTTTGGCAATTTTGAGATGTCCCCTAGTTGCTATGGTAACAGGAAATTTCAGACTGAACATGTTGTTACAAAGGCAATGGTCCAGTCAACATTTGAGCCAAGTTTGATTAGTATTGAAGCAGTTTTTATAGTTTTATAGCAACTTGAACTTGTAACGGGAGACCTTTCAATGAAAACAGCCATTTTTCACAAGATGCTCATGGGGTAATGGGTTAATAACTTTTCTATCTTGAGAAAATATTAGAAATGATAGTTTAACGTCTCAATTCTGACTAAAAGGACGCAAGGAAAAGAGGAATTGATAAAAGATTGAACTTGATTTTCTGTCAGAATGTTAGCCACTTTCATGGTATTTCTGCCATCGACAGCAGCATTTATAATATGTATCTGCCTACAATGGCAGCATTTTTTCTTCGACCGGACAAGATTGAGCGTCTGTAAAACTTTCAAGAAAAGACTCACGGGGTAGATATTTGGCTTGCGTGACCCCAATGGATGAACGTCTATATTGATAACAGGAAATCCTGCCATTTACTTAAAACTTGAGATATTTTGAACAGAAAACAGACATTTGCACGGATTTTTCTAAGGCTTTCACTTTTAACCTGCTCAAAATAGTCTGAAAACAGGAAAAAACGAGTCCAAAATTACCTTACAGTATCTCCATTCAATGGACAATAGTTTTATAGCAATGAAATGGGCCGTATTTGTGTAATACAATTAAACCAACCAAATTTATAACCTACCTGTATCGATCGGTAATTTTCAGATATCTGCCATCACTGCAGTGATCTGCCATCACTGCCGCCGGTAATACGGTGTGAGTTTGGTCAAGAAAAACAATTGATAATTTATTTTTGTCATTTTTGTATCGGGTTAAGTTATGGTATGTTACAATCTATTTATCTACTACTCTGTACTTATTATTTCTTTGGCAATGATTAGCTTGGCATTGGATCTATTTTAACAAATCATTAAGCATGGCTAAGGCATTGTTTTAAACTTCAAGATAAGACTTTGTAAGGTTGCCTTTGGTTGTATATTTTTGTATCTTGTTATTGAAATTTGATAGGCTAAACAATTGTTTCACACTTTTCCTTCTTTCTACCCAGATGACTATCAGATTTGTCATTGATTTAATAATACTTAAAAAAACTCCACAGTATTGTTTATTTACTTCACAGTACTGTTTATTTGAACTGTTATAGGATTAATTTTGATTTTTTTTTCAATTGATATGTTTCAACTTTGTATGAGCATACTTGAGAATAGATAAGAAATCTGTGTAAAATAGTTTGATTAATGACTTTTTGATATAGTTTTAATGGAGGCAGTGTTATATTTTCTATAACTGGTAGGACAAATTGTTGGCAAAGGTATGGCATAATTGGCATTGAGTTACTGTTGTGATCTATTTTTAAGAAATTTGTGTTCATGTATTAATTTTTATTTGATTTACTATTATATACTAGTTACACTAACTCTGAATGAAATGATACTGCTGTAAGTTTACAATTGGATTTTTTAGTTGTTATAAATGTGACAAAGGGAATGGTTTGTACAATTAATGTATGACTACCTTTTTTTGACAACTACCTTTTTTTGACAGAAACACATATTTTTCATGTTTGCCTGTTTTCATTGTTACCTTGCTAAGATTGTGAAATGTAATACTATGTGTCATGGTTTGAAGTTTTTAACTGTTCATTGTAATTTAAAGGATATAAAATGTAGTAATACTATTTTATAAGCAGACAGCAAAAAAGATTCTGGTCATTTTAAGTATTATTTTTATAATCCTTAGTTTATATGAATTTATTTTAGTTCTGTTGTGTTGGAAGCAATAATCTTATTGAAACACCCTTGAATCCGTTCCCGGAACCAACCAGTACTAAGGAATGAGTGTAAAATTTTTTGTTCATCGAAACAATTTCTCCTTTTTGGGGTTTGAACCCATGCGGCCAGCAAAACTTGTACTTAGATAAAAAATCTCACATGTTAATTGGTCTCGGGGTACCTTAAATTAAACATTGGACTGTTCCAATTTTAATGCAGGACAATTCCATTACATGAGATCAGGGGGAAAAGCTTGATGTTAGTAAATAAAGTTAGTTAAATGATAGTAAATGCCAGACAAGATTCATGCTATTTTCAATTGAAATCATTTTATTGACTGTACATTTTTATCATCTATATTTAGAAATCAAACTTGTTACCAGCCTGGCAACTTCATGCAAGCACCTACTAGTTAAACTTAATTTTATACTTGTTGAATGTAAATTGCGCATGAGTAAATACGATATAAATGGAGTGAATGGCTTTTATTTGCTGCGTAAAAGTATTTCAATTTTAAGCTACAGAATGTCTGTCATAGATATTGATGTTTTCATTGATGGAAAAATATATATACTGCCATTATGTATAGTAATTTAATGATTTATTATTTGGTTATTGGAAAGAGTGTTTTTACCCATTGCTAGGATTCACAGTTCTATCACACATAAAAGATTTTTTTTTCTTTTTGCATTCAAGAAATCGTTTTATATAAAATACCATAGTTTAGTGAATAGAGTGAAAAATCTGAATGATAGCAAATGATTAATATTTAAAAAAGATTTTGGTGGGGGTGGGGTGCATGAAGGATAATCGTTAAAAATTCATTATCTTTGTACATCCATGTAATCTTGTCAAACTTGTAAACTGTTAACTGCTCTGCCATAGCTGAAATTTAAAAAAAGGCAACTAAATGAGTTTGAATTACTGAAGTCTATACATCTCTAAACTCAATCAGGTGAGATGGTTTTGACCCCAAGTGTTGTTTTAAAATTAAACACCTGAGGTTGCCCAAAATCATCTTTCCTGTTTCGGCACCATATGACCTAGATTTTGTTGATGCCCCATAAAACCTAACAAAAAAATATTTTCAGATGGAATTATATCAAATAAAAAAGCAATAAACAAGCAGTGAGTAACATTTTATTCTTTCTGTTACAGAGAGATGTATAGTTAAATAAAACAATGGCAACAGTACAGAAGAAACCCCGGAAACTACCTAAAATTAATAAAGATATAAAAGATGAAGAAGATGATGCTGGTAACAAGCCAGCTAAAGGTGCCACACGGGAGAAGAAAGTCCCAAACCCTCCACCTGGAAAAAAGAGAGAATTACCTCCCTTGCGAAGGGGCGGTAAACGTCGCGATATGGACACAAAGAGTATGGTAGAAATGGGACAAAATTCTCCGCCAGAAGCCGGAAATAGGGCGTCTCTAACGGCAACAAATAATGCTAAATCATGCTTCTTTTATGTAGATGATGACTATACTTTTAATCCAATAAAAGTTGTGATACACCCTAGGCGCTATAAGAAATTAGATACTGTGGCAAGGGATCTCTCGGTCAGAATGAAAAGACTTCCATTTGGTGTTCGTAGCATACATACTCCAAGAGGTCAACATAGAATTTATAATTTAGAGGACTTAACAAATGACGGCCATTATGTTTGTTCATCAAATCGTAAACATGCAAAAGGAATGGATGTTCAACGTGTAAATGCTAGAAAAGTGTGGCACAATATAAGGCCGGACAGTGGGCGTAGAAATTTAGCAGGTTTATTGAGGGATACGGACATGTCAAGTGCAAAGTTTAGAGGTGTAGGATTCAGACCGGGATATGATTTGTCCAGAGTTTATACACGTGTTACGCCAAAAACCACAACTGTGATGAAAAATGGTGACCCAGACACTAAACATTCTGTGTTGTTGAATAGAAGAACTGCTCAAACATTTGAACAAGTGTTAGGAGATTTAAGTGAAACATTTAAGTTTGCTGTTAGGAAATTATACACAATTGATGGCGAGCCTGTGAGTATTAACATATTCCTATTACAATAAAAAGTATTGCTTAAAATAATACTATCAATCGTTACTACAAAAAAAGGTCTTAGAATTACAATTTTAATGATTTTGAATTCACTTGACGTAAAGTGGCGTCACTAAATGCTGTAATTTACAAGCCTTTTTCAGCTACATTGTTTTTTACTTTCATTACAAATTGTGTTTGTGAAGGAAGACATTTTGTAATGATTTATTATATGAATTAATATGACCAGACTTTTTAAATGTTTTAATAATGCATTTTTGAAATTTTTAACAGATTGATGGCCTCCAGAAACTTTTTGCTGGGCCAGATGTTGTTGTTGCTGCTGGGTATGAAAGGTTTGATCCTTTGGGTAAAGAAGGCCACGCCCCCAGTAGGACTCGTACCCGCATGAGTATGGGTAGTCGTATCAATCTGCAAAGCCGTTTACAAAATAAACGAGAACGACTTTCAAAAACAAGTACGTATAATTTGCAATAACCAGTATATAACTGGTATATAAACCACTGATAGAGGGGCAATGGGTTAGCATGACATGGTGCCATATAGCAATTGTTCAGGTCATTTGTTTTGCTTTTTATAACTGAGTTCCTCCTTGTGATTAAAACAATGCCCATTGGCTAGGTATGGGGTATGTCTTAAACAGTATAGCTGACAGTGCCATATGATTGTAATTATAGTAATTATACGCTTTCACAACATTTTTTTTATTTCAAACAATGACAAGAGAGATGTAGCTTACGCTTAAAGGTGAAGGTGCTGCTTGTTAAGCCAGAAATCTTGAGTCTGAACCCTACAATAGTCACAGCCATTATAATTTTATGACACCTGACCATTAGTCTAGTACTAGTCACATGTAGTCCAAGGAAGCCAAGTCATGATTGGTTAAAAAAACACTAAAGCTTTCAGTACCATTAAGCTTAAATATGTATGTTTAAACTTAAATAGGAAAATCATTTGTTAAGTTATGAAAATGTAAGTTTTTAGATAAATATTTTTGTACTATAACAAAAAAAAGTTAGTACTTAATCTTTCATATAAATAAAGGACATAAAAGATTTTATTTTTGTGTTTCAATATTGTTTTGAAATAGTTTGAAAGCATATTCTGGGGGTTAACCTGTAAGTGTTAGGTGGAATTTAAATAGTTGTGAATAGTTCACTTTTTTTTCACCAATTCATCTTCATATATTTATTGTTTACAAATTTATAAAATAAGTCCCCACTTGGTGTAACTATCCCATTTAGTTCCTTTATTGATTTTGAAAACATCCATTGAAAAGAGTGACACAAATGTGATTCCCTTTATTGAAGTACAATTATTACATAATTTGTAGAAGTCAGATTGGAATACCGTATGTATTAATTAAACAAGATTTTAAGGACCTGGGCCTTGTTTTGAATTGTAAGTAATGAATAAAAAAACATATTTTTTTCTCTGTAACAGAAGGTAGATGGAGGGTGACAACTCGGACAAATGCCTTGCCATCTGCCGGTACACAGGCTCAGGTGACTATAACTGTATACGGTAACAAAGGAAATTCTGGGCCACTCACCCTCGGCCATGGAGATGGTTCCAACTTCCAGCCAGGACAGGTGGATGATTTCACTGTAAGTTATCATCTAATCTTTGTTTATTATATGTAATACTAAATATTTGCATGACTGATTGTTGATTAAATAATTTGCCATTGATTGGATCTCTTTTAAGTTTGAAACCAGCAATTGTTGTCAAATTATATCTGAGGAGATTTTTGGTTCTACTGTCTTGCCAGCTTGTGTCTGAAGTAACTCAGTAACGACATTTTTAACCATTATTATATCATAGTGATATAATATATTTTTCATCTGTTTCCAATTACATTTACAGGAACGTATTTAACAATTACAAGACTGTATCTAACAATTACAGGTCTGTTTTTAACAATTACATGACTGTTTTTGACAATTACATGACTGTTTTTGATAATTACATGACTGTTTTTGATAATTACAGGACTGTTTTTGACAATGTTTTTTAACAATTACAGGCCTGTTTTTGACAATTACATGACTGTTTTTGATAATTACATGACTGTTTTTGATAATTACAGGACTGTTTTTGACAATGTTTTTAACAATTACAGGCCTGTTTTTGACAATTCAGGACCATTTTTCATTCATACATTCATGCACATTTGTGTCTGTATTCAGATATCTATTTACTGTTTCTTGAATGTCCTGACAAAGTTTATGCATACATAAATGTTATTATTTCTTAATATGGCTGTTTACAGATTTCTGTAGGTAATGTAGGGGAAGTGTACAAAATACGGCTGGCTCATGACAACTCAGGAGACTTCCCAGGCTGGCTGTGTGATGAGGTAATGAATCTAATTTATTGTGTTCAAACTTGCCAGCATCTGTTGTATCAGATGTTTACAGGGTTCAGTGATCAAAATATTGTAACTTAATTATCAAAAATAACCCCTCACCGCTATAGACTCATATCTGGTGATGGACTTTGGATTCTGTCATATGAGGTAGATATCCAGTTAGCATGTGGAACACCAGTGATTCTAATCAGGTGCTGGTTAGTGCCTGATATAATGAACGGAGGGGCACCTTTGGTCTTCCCCAGTAAAACTGGAAAGTTGCAATATGATCATCTCTATTGTTTTGGTGTGACATAAAACCCAACCAAAAAAAACCCATTATATAACATGTAATATTTTAACATAGCAAAAGAAATACTGTAAAATCATTATTATTCGTGGGGCACAAATTTTCGTGGTTTTCGTGGGTAGGTCAATCCACGAATTTAAGATCCGACGAAATTTTATCCCAACAAATACTTCTTACCCTGTCTCTGTTCTATATATTACAAACATGCGTCGGCTCTTTTCCGGCCGATTTTCGTGAAATAAATGTATATACATACTGTATAGATCAGGTTAGTGACCGATTAAATCCGTTTGCAATATTTAAGAAACTTGAAAAAAAACTCGATTATAATTATGTCCAATTTACTGTCACAAATGCCGGTCGCATATACACACTTGATCGTTGTTAGAATACTTGACATAATCGAGTAAATATGGGAACCCAATTAGCGCTTATAAAAAATGTCAGTTTGCACTTCTTAATTAAAAAAGTCTTTGATACTAATGTCGTAAGTACACAAAACGATAAAAAATACAATCGAATTGTACTTTCTTTTGTCGTTTTTAAATGATCCAGTTTTTAAATGAATTTTAATCTGTATTTGTGCGAATGCTTTTACATAAACATCAAAGAGGCCACCGACTTTTACTAGATTCACAAATACTTGTGTTATTTACTCAGATTAATTTATATGCATGTAAATTTACACAGTCGCTGTGATGTTGCGTGTAGTTACTGTCAAATATGGTAAGACCAATTCAGGGTGTAAACTATTTAAACTCGCTGGTTAAAACGTGTTAGGTGTCGTATAAATTATGCGATGTTTACATCGGCGAATTACAGGGGCAGTGTGTGTAAAAGAGGTGCATGTCATGTCACATAAATGTGTTAATTGCAGCCAATTATTGGTAGTAACTGTTCTATATTAGAGTTATGCCCAGAGGCAAGGATTAAATTTATTGACAAGCGCTATGTGACACGTAAAGATATGTACATGCTGTAAGTAAAAATGTTTGGCGATTAAGTGAAACAGAAAGATAACTTTGCATTAGGTTACTAAATTTTTTACAAGAAAATGAAAATCCATGAATTTAAGAACCCACAAAAATACCCGTTTTGATAAAACCACGAAATTTCATGCCCCGGATATAAGTGAATTCGCAGTACCCAGCTGCTATGGCTAATTTGAAATCTATCTCTCTAAAACAAGATTTAATCAGAAATTTGGTTATATCCAGCAAAACTATGTACTGCAAAACTATAGGAGGACATGGAAAATGGTTCTAAACTAGTTATTTTTGCTTTAAATAAGTTGATGCTGATTTAATGTACTTTATTTGTGGCAGAACTATGTCACTTGCATCAAATGAATATAGCATGGAAATTTTTGGTTGGAAAGGGCACACATTATTTAGCGGTCTTTGTCTTTGTTTGCTGTACAATGTACAGTATAACCTCCAAATAAACAGTAGTTGTCTATGGAGTAGTAATTGTCTCCCTTGGATGGCCATTGTTAACAGGTTAAACTGTATAAAGAATTATGTAACAGGTCAAAGGAGAATAATTTACTATATATGAAAGTCTATGTAAGAGTGATAAATATTTTGAAAAAATCATACAAACAATGTTTATTTTGATATCTTCTGTTTCTCTAATATAGGTATATATGAGAGATTTAGACTCTGGTGAGGAGTTGACATTCAGCTGCAGACGCTGGCTGGCTAGAGATGAAGATGATCAAGAAATTACGAGAGAGTTGGCCGTGAAACGACCTGGAGATCCTATACTGCCATGTATGTCAAAATGATTACTTGTCATTTGAATAAGTGAAAGAAATACAATTTACATACAATGTTGTGTGATTGTTTCCATTAGAAATTTAAAATATAGATAGAGCAATAAAGCTGAAAGTTTCAAAATACTGTCAGCAATGTATTTTCAATTTAGATTAACTTTAAACAAAAACTTAATTCTTATAATGCCATGAAAAGGGTTGTTTTAGCAATAAAATGTTTTGACAAAAGATTATAATAGGGCCAATAAATGCATGAAACTGACAGAAAAATAATCCAGCCCAGCTTAAAAACATATCTTTGGGCTTAGCTTGGGAAGGAAGTGGAAATGATGCAGCCCAGGCCTGAATCAGTGGCTAGCTGTTTCAATAGTGCTCTGTCTACCTGTAGGTTTATCATTTCAGTTTGTTGATTGTGATTGTATTTTATGTTGTTTTGTATATACTGAGGCCCGCATGGAAGATCGGGAAACTGAATGTGTTAGCCTCATTAAATAAAGTTGTTACTTACTTAGTTACTTACTTAGCCAATGTCTTTAACACATCCCTCTTGTAGACCAAAATTTGCTTTGAATCTTTATGGGATCATTTATGGATTTATGGTTAACATTGTATCATTGTACATTTTTTTACGTCAGGTGACAGCTTGCGCCAGAAATAATGCATGTAGAGTGTGTTTTAGGTATTCCTGCACTAAGAAAGCTGGAAAATCACAATATGACCTTTTATAACATCAGTATAATTTAAATCTAAATAAAAACTATTTCTTGAAGAACTGTAGTAAATATTGTTATGATATTACATTGAATGTACATGGTTTATTATATTTGCCTTTAGTGATAAAGTACCAGGTTGATGTGATCACTGGAGATGTTTGGGGCGGAGGCACAGATGCTAATGTATATATTACCATATATGGTGACCGAGGTGACACAGGGGTCAGACAACTTTATGCTGAAACCAAAGGGGTCTACTTCAAACAAGGACAGGTACAGTAGCTTATGTTTTTTAATTATCTATTTTGATGAAACTGATTTGTTAAAGATATTAAAAGTCTAATCCATAATGCTGAAATATACGTGGAATGGGTTCAAGTTTGATAAACTGACTTCGGGGAACAATACTTGTAAAATGATTGGTCAATTTCAAATAAAAACTTGGAATCAACCAATCAGGTCAAAGGTCAATAAGACTTAATTTCTAGGAAAATATATGTGATACTTTGGATTATTATTTTTAGAAAAAGAAATATTTTTTTTATGTCTTTCTCCCGAAAAAAAATAAAAACTTCTAAATGGTCATAAACTTTAAAAATTTCAAAACTGTATTTTTCCAGTTTTGTTTTCGTTTGAATTTGGAGGCGTTTTTCACTGGGTAAATTTAAAGAGATTAAATGGGGCTTTAAAAGGGGGAACAGGGGGCGGGGTTTCTGGCGGGTTCCTAGAAAGATTGTGATCCGGGAACCACCTTTCAGAACCAATCAGGAATATGTTTTCCATTGTGGAAAGTAAGTATTTGAATCAAATATATGTCGTCACTCTCTTTATGTTGTAAAGCATAAAGAAGGCATGTAGGGAAAAAATGATTGTGGGTGTCATTTTTGGAAATAGAAATGCAATTAAGACCTCAAAAAGGCAATATGGAAGTACATGTACAGATATACAAAAGAAAGTCTTTAGTGCAAATAATATATGCAAAAAAGATTGGATTAATTTTTATAGGGAAAGAGTTTGTTAGAGGAATGCAAATCAAATGTATAAAATGAAGGCAATACATAATTATGTAGAAATAGCTTTTAACTTAGATTTGTGTAAAGAGACATACATGTACTTTGTCTTTTAGCAACTCAACAAAATGTGTGTTTGTTCATATTTTTCCAATACTAGAAAAAGAAAGAAAGGAGCTATTATAGGTGTTGTTTATGCATATTTTGGGCGTCTGAGGATTAGGAAGTATAGAAATAATGTTTCTAGTTCTGTTTTGTTTTTATACTTAATTGTTTCATTGTCATCTTGTAACATTTAGTGGAGTTTTTTTTAAAAATGTTTTCAGTTTTATTTATTGTTGAAATTAAATTATAAGACCTGTATAAAGCCTGTGCGATGAGATATATTCAGTAGATAAGTTTATATGTATGGAATGATAATATTATTAGTTTGATAACACTGATACCAAAATTTGCAAATATGCTTTGCAATGTTGCTGTACAATTAGGAAAGCGGGAGACACTGACGGAAATAAGAAATATTACATGTATTAATATATCAAAGCATTAAGAGAACTGTTTAAATAAATTTTTATAAGATGTAGAGATTGTTAAAACATCAATGATTTAAATTTTAAAACATCAATGATTTAAATTTTTATGCTAGAATTTGTTAAAACATCTATGATTTAAGTTTTCATGCCAAAACTTGTAGAAATTATCAGGATAGAAATAATGAAAGCTACAAATATAAGGGTATCACTTTATCATCAAGAGAAATTATATCTTTTTTTAAGGCAGTAAAATTTTCAAAATGTTTGATTTTTTGATTGACTACTTTTGAAAGTTTTAAGGTCTTAACATAGTATTTCAAAGACTTATTTCTATCTTTCTCTTTATTTCTCCCAGAATGACTTTATTTTAAAGGAACAGTAGATAGTAGCAAATATTTTGGAATAAACCAATAGAAACGTGTAATGTTTGACGATATGTTATCACATTTCTCTTTTCAAATCTGACAATTGAATTAATTTAATTTGATCACATGACATCTGTGTTTGTACATAGGTGGCTGGACGAGGGCGAGGATGATGGGAAGATTGTGCGAGAGTTACGTGTTCAGGATGAATACATGGATGATATACTAGAGAAACGAAATGTGAGTTAATTTATATTTCTATATATATAGTAATCAATGCTGATACCACAATGTCTATTATACATTTTATATGTCTTGTTTGTATCACTAGGGTTGTATGTATTTCTGGAATATGATTTTCATGTTCTGTATGTGACAAGTAATGTCTCATAGTAACGTAAAATTGCATGTGTCATTTTAATGTGATTGTCATGTTTTGAATTTAACATTTGATATGATTTTCATGTTTTGTATGTATCATTCTGATGTGATTTTCATATTCTGTATGTATCATTCTGATATGATTTTCGTGTTTTGTATGTGACATTTGATACAATTTTCATGTTTTGTATGTGTCTTTTTGATATGATTGTCATGTATAATGTCTATTAATTTTGATACAATTTTCATGTTTTGTGTGTATCAATTCTGATATGATTTTCATGTTTTGTATGTATCATTCTGATATGATTTTCATGTTATGTATGTGTCATTTGATATGATTTTCATGTTTAATGTGTATCATTCTGATATGATTTTCATGTTTTGTATGTATCATTCTGATATGATTTTCATGTTTTGTATTTATCATTCTGATATGATTTTCATGTTTTGTATGTATCATTCTGATACGATTTTCATGTTTTTGTATTTATCATTCTGATATGATTTTCTTGTTTTGTATTTATCATTCTGATATGATTTTCATGTTTTATTTTATTTCAGTGGGAGTATGAGAAATGGAAATATCAGTCTGATGTTCAAATTATTCTGTTCTCTGTAATGACTGGGAAAGCTGTAAGAATGAACCGTGACATGTCTGTAGATGGGGTTGGCGAGGAGAAGGATAAAAATGGTTAGTATTTTCTTTTCTTGTATAGTGGTTTAATTTTCTCTTACATGTTTTTATGCCCCCACAAAGTGGGAGCATATAGCGTTGCACTTGTCCGTACGTCTGTCCGTACGTCTCGAAATCTTGTGAACGCAACTCCTCTTAAAGCGGATGGCAGATTTTACGTAAACTTCCAGGGATGAACAACCTTAATGTGTAGATGGTAGTAAAGGAAGGAATTTTCGCTGCAACCAAATTTAACAGAATTATGGCCCTTTGTTGATTTTTTCACTATATACTATGTAGAAATTTTGTGAACGCAACTTCTCTTAAACCAGATGTCAGATTTTGCTTAAACTTCCAGGGATGAACAACCTTAATGTGTAGATGGTAGTAAAGGAAGGAATTTTTGCTGCGGCCAAATTTAACAGAATTATGGCCCTTTGTTGATTTTTTCACTATATATACTCAACATCACAAATTCCGCGTCATCACTTATCTCACGGTAATGGTATATTTTCATGTGACCATTGACATAATTGGTCAGAATTGACATATTTTATTCAAACACCTTAACAACAAAGTTTTTGTGCAAAATAATTTAAATCTATAGATTTTTACGTAAAACTGAACAACATTTTACAAACTTCTGCAAAAAACAACAATAGTCCATTAAATTTGTGTATACGTCTGAAACAATCATCATTTTCTAAATGTTCTTGTTTGTTGAAAAAATAAATTTTGAGTTACAATATAAAGATACTTTTAATATTTAAATCTATGCAAAATAACTTAAAGAAATTTTAACTGAAACATGAAAAAACTGAAATAAAACACCATTACCGCGAGGTAAATGATGACATACTGTTTTCAAAATGGCCGACACACGGTTTACATCTGACAAATTAAAACTAATTTTGATTTAATATATTGTTGTTTCCTTGTGTCATATAGCAGAAAAATGACTAAATGATACAGTTTATGACAGTTTTTGTAGTGTAAGTTTATTGTTTGTGTTCTTTACTGTTTTAAAGTGTTAAGTACCGTGAACTAAGAGGAGCACAGTATACTATGTAGAAATTTTGTGAACGCAACTCCTCTTAAACCGGATGGCAGATTTTGCTTAAACTTCAAGGGATGAACAACCTTAATGTGTAGATAGTAGTAAAGGAAGGAATTTTTGCTGCCACCAAATTTAACAGAGTTATGGCCCTTTGTTGATTTTTTCACTATATACTATGTAGAAATTTTGTGAACGCAACTCCTCTTAAACTGGATGGCAGATTTTGCTTAAACATCCAGGGATGAACAACCTTAATGTGTAGATGGTAGTAAAGGAAGGAATTTTCGCTGCAACCAAATTTAACAGAATTATGGCCCTTTGTTGATTTTTTCACTATATACTATGTAGAAATTATGTGAATGCAACTCCTCTTAAACCGGATGGCAGATTTTACTTAAACTTCCAGGGATGAACAACCTTAATGTGTAGATGGAAGTAAAGGAAGGAATTTTTGCTGCGACCAAATTTAACAGAATTATGGCCCTTTGTTGATTTATAGTTTTCAACTTGTGGCACATGTAGTCCAAAAAATATTTGACCTAGAGTCATAAGATTGACAGAACAGTGGGGTGTGGGGGCACCGTGTCCTATGGACACATTTCTAGTGTTTATTTAATTTTACAGCTAAAAACTATAATAATGAAAGACTTATGGTATTATTTTCTTAAGCAGCATGAGCATTGTCTGATAAAATATACCAGTAGTAGCAGTTAAATTAGTTAACCTCTAAGTTGCTGAAATGAAAAATAATTGCCTGTGCAGTCTAACCAGGGTAGCTCAATTTTTGTGTTCTGTTACTGAAATCCCTTTAACTTTGAATGGACTGTTCCAAATTAAAAAAGGACAAATCCGCGGGTTTCGGGTAATGTTAATGTTGTGTTTTCTCACATGACTTTTATTGACCTTTCAGCCGATGCTTACCCTATATTCAAACATGATATGCCTTTTTAATTGATAATACAGAGTAAGAGTTCCATAGTGCATTAATTATTCCCCTTTTAATTACAACATTAATCCTAACACGACACAAGTTGTTTAATAAACCAGTCCTTTTTTGACTTTAGAACAGTCCATTAGCAGTTTTCAGGGGATTTCATTATCAAAATAATAAAATTGTTCAGCCAGTGGTATATACAGTAGAGTCTTGCCTTATTTCACACATATTAAGCTGACCTTGCTCTATACTAATAGAAAACACTATGTAGTCTTGATTTCGGCATTGTAAAGGTCAAGGACATTTTATTTTGATGTTATATAATGACGGCAAATATGACACCAGTAAATAAATAATGTTTAGTAGCATATTTAACCATTTTATATTGCTGAACAAATTTCCACTAATTTTTAGCTCAAAATATTCCAAGAAGAAAACGGAGAGCTATTGTCCTTACCAATGTGCTGGCATCACTCTTTGGTTAAGTTTTAGTGTGCAAATATGAGCCGCGTCACGATAAAACCAACATAATGGGTTTGCGACCAACATGGATCAAGACCAGCCTGCGCATCCGCGCAGTCTGATCAGGATCCATGTTGTTCGCTATCAGTTTCTCTACTTGTAATAGGGTTTGTAAGCGAACAGCATGAATCCTGATCAGACTGCGCCGATATGCAGGCTGGTCTGGATCCATGCTGGTAGCAAAGCCACTATGTTGGTTTTGTTGTGAAGCGGCTCATATATGAATGGAATAGGTTGAAACTTCACACACTTGCTTAAAAGCATAATAGGAAGTCACTGTCTAAGGCCCATAACTCTTAACATGGATTTTGACAAATTATGACCATTTTTGAACTTAAAAAATTCTATATTATCCAGGCTCTTCTTTTACTATCAAGCACTAAGAATAGTCCAGCATGCTGCCTTCACACCATCCGTTTGTCTCTTGTTGCATTTTTTAAAATTTATTCTGCTTCTTGTTTTGTTTACTCTACCATTAAAATTGTTAAATTTTCAGGTGTATATAATGTGATGATCAAAAAGCAAATGAAACCAATGTTGGCCAGTGCTACAAATCCAAACCATTTTCTTGCTATTGACAATGGTAAAATCACCGGTCATGTAAGTGTTATGAATTAATGTGTCTTTATGTTCAAAGATGGGACACAGTAGGGTAGTTTATAGCTTGAATATCACTTTATTATCATGATGATTGACATTTAGCCCATTGAATTATTTAATGTAAATATTACTCTGAAATTTTTAGATATGTATATAGAAAACCTTTCTAATGAACAGAAAAACTGAACATGTTCAATATTGGTTAAATTACAAGTTCACGTTCCATTTCTTAACAGAAGAAAAAATTATATTCAGAATTTTTTTTTTAATAATTGTACAGGGTAAAGGTGGACCATATTGTGAGTTACGGGTACGAGTTCAACCAGATCGCACAACACTGTTTGAATCGGTGAAAAACGCACTACAGTTCTTAACGATAGGTGCTGATGGATCTACAGCTGACCCGAGGGGTATTCTTGATAAGGAACCATCAAGAAGGTTCTATGTCTACGCAAAGGTTTGTGTTTTTAGTTAATTGGACTCCATTTAAAATTTTTGACATGATAGGACGGAAAATATCTTTGCAAGATTTATGTACCATATGTTCTAAGTCTATAACTTCTGTTCAAAATTTCTGGTCATTCACTCGCTACATGTTTCCAAAATGATTATTTTAATTGTGAAAAATGCGCAAGAATAAAAAGCTGACTGGTCTGCACTGGTTGCATGGATATATTCAGTCAAGGAATTTTACCACCTGTATGACTATAATTAAATGTTTTACAGGGAATGTTTCGACACAAGGGTGTTATCATGTTTGGGACATCGTTGTTTCAAGCTGTTAATGTTGTAAAGGAGGACAACACGCTTACTGGACGCGGTAAACGAGGCGGACCTCAATCCCAGTTCAGAGTTCACAAAGTCAGTGCAGGAGGTATCCGAATGTTTGAAAGTCTTGCAAATCCTGGAAAATATGTGCGACTCAAGGATGGAAAAATAGATTGCTTGGTTAGTGTTTATTATGATATGTGTAATTACATGATCAGCTCCCCTGCCATGTTCAATTCTGAAATTTTTACAAACTTTGTAGATTTTCTTAGCTTTTATTCATACCAGGACTTCAACATCTAGTTTAATAATGATAATGAAACAAGATCAAAATATAAATTCTTTGATAAGAGATTTTTGTAAGATCAGTAAAACTGATTATTGTTTACATTTTTGTCAAACTTGTTTAAGTTGTTTTTAGGATTGATGGAATTAGCTGATGCAGATTTAGTACTATGATTAAAAAAAGACACCACCCAAACATTATGTTTATTGAACACTTACCATACATTAACGACACATGTCTATTTTTGGTTCAGAAATCATTTTGATTCAAAAAATTATCACACATAATTCAATGCATAAACAATTTTTGGGGGTGGGGGGCAACTCATCTCATTCCTTTACTCATTATTCAAAAATAAATTTAAAAAAAAATCATTTTGTATGTCATTTTAGGGTGACAGAGGTGAAGAATCTCATTTCCTGATCTTGCGTCACAAAGACAAAGGTTATGTCACGATCCAGTCAGCTTCTCAGAGGGGTCTCTTTATTGGCATGACAACAGACGGACGTATACACACAACAATAGATACAGGAGTTAGAAATATCTGGCTATATCCGGAGGTCGTTGAATGTAAGTACATTTATTTCATATTGATAACCTTCCAAATGGTCCAATGGAATTTTGGAAACTGTTAAGCTAGCTTTTAGATGTATAAGAGTTACTCATTCAAGGTGAATATATATATAAAATGTATTTGAGCCGCGTCACGACAAAACCAACATAGTGCGTTTGCGACCAGAATGGATCCAGACCAGCCTGCGCGCAGTCTGATCAGGATCCATGCTGTTCGCTTACAAACCCTATAGCAAGTAGAGAAACTGATAGCGAACAGCATTGATCCTGATCAGACTGCGCGGATGCGCAGGCTTGTCTATATCCATGCTGGTCGTTAACGCACTATGTTGGTTTTGTCATGACGCCGCTCATTTTAACCATACTGTAAATGACAACTCTTCCTTAACCTGTTGACAGATTTTCATGAAAAAAAATTGATCTGTTTTGCTGGGCAAGACTGCCACCAGAGCTAAAAATAGATATTGCTCTGTGAACTCCAACTGATTGGCTAATTTTTAAATGAAATTTATGAAGGAGTGACCATTCCCTAACCACTGTGTAGATTTAAATGAAATTATTTGGTGGCTTAATATATATATATATATATATATAAAAAAAGCTAAAATTGTTCAGGCCGATGAACAACATGACAACCAGAACCAAAAAAATAAAAAAAATGATCTTTAAATGACATGTTGTCCTGACTGAAAGCAGATACTAGTATTTTAGTGAGTCTTACAAGGTATGAACATATAGATGAACCTAAGATAGGGAAATAAAGAAGTTAAACTTGACTTAAGAGAACATATTAACCAATGCATTCTTGCCTAGTTTCTCCGGACTGTGGTGGTAGTATTTTAAATGATTCAGGACAAAGGTAACATCTTTGCTGTTGTTTTAAGGGGGAATACCTAAGAAGAAGAGCACAGAGATTTATGAAGAAGAAGGTATGATGCAGAGAACCCAGCGTGAGATCACACCTGAACCTCTGGAGGAACAACAAAGAGAAACACCTAAACCAATCAGCCAGTATGCCGGTATGTTGATAGACTTTGTCCGTGTGTAGTGATTATATGCAAGCCATCTGCAGTATCAATGCCGCTGTTGAATATATTTCAGTCATAAGCTTTAGAAAATGTAACACAATTTTATTTAAATTATTGAAATATCACATCCTAGGCAAAAGTTCAAAAATATACATTTTAAATTCAGTTAAACGGACTGTTTGAAAAAGAGCAATTAAAGTGGAAAGGTAATTGCCTGAAATAGTTTTTCACGCTCGCAATTTTGCAATTTCTTTGTGATACCCATATATAACAGGGGCTTTGATTGAAAAGATAATGGTTCATGGTAGTACCATGTACAGGCATATAGTTCTTAAAAAAATTTGACAAGGATCAAAATGTTTGTTTTCATAAGACACGTTTGAAACTGAATTACATTTTCTTGTGGCTAAATTAAAATCTTGATGGCACAAGGTCTATGCATGATAGTCATGCATTGGATGTTCCATGATCTGTAAAAGTATTAAGATAGTACAGTCAAACTTGTGAACAAAGGGAGACACAGAGCCTGGCCTTTATACACAAGTGATGAATATTTAGAGGTAACTTTGTTCTATTAAATCAGTGATGGTTTGTTGATGAATGGTCTTTATTCACAGGGTGATCTTTATTTGGAGGTGGTCTGTAAACACAGGTTAAGTGACAGGGCTGTTTTTAATCATAATAAAGTAAGGTTAACAATTATGATCCTTGTCAAATTTCGAGTAGATTATTTGTCAAAGGCTAGAGTGTACAAGATAGATTAATTATTAGTTTAGCTTAGATCATTGCTTGAAAAATGTATAGGAAATATGGATATACTTTAATATATGTATTTTAATTAAACAAGACATTTTATTTTTAGTAAAGACATTTTAGAAAGAGGGACAATGTGAAATAACTCATTATTATGGTGTCAAAATACTGTCATATAAATCATTTTTGGCAAAGTTAACTTAGTTGGAGATTTTCCCATATAAACAAAGCAATTCTTCCCATGATAAGAAAGCAAGTGTACATTATTTTGAATACAAAACTTTTTGAATACAGGAACACATGTATTTATCCTAAATTTTTTTAATTTTCAGGAAGGGTTATTTTGTATATAATCAAGTAGGTTAAACACTTCTGCATGAATATATATGCATGAGGTCACAAAATGTAAACATTGCATGAAAATATCATTGTTTTATATTTTGCACAAATTACTTGATAATTACCACTGTTTTTGTTTGTATTGTATATTATTTTACCATTTTTCTTTGGACTTTTATTGGCTTGCTTTGTGCAAAGGGTGTTTTTATTTAATATTTTGTAAAGCATTATTATGACATATCAATAGGAAGATATTTTAAAAGAAATTGAAAATTTTACGTTCAAACTGGTCAAGACAAAATCTTTAAATTTTGTTGCTGTTTTATCTTTGACAATGTAAACAGCCATAGATTCCCATTTGTGCCTAAAATACTGCAGGGAGACGCATCTGAGGTCTTTCTCCACCAGAAAAGCTCGGAAGTCACCATATAACCTCTACTGTGTTGGTGTGACGTAAAAAGTCATCAAATTTATATACATGTATTTAACTAGTTCTGATAAGTATGAACAGAACTATAGAATCTTGGGTCAATATAAATAGAATAAAAACAGTTTTCCAAGATGAACGATGAATATCAGTGGTTACAAAGAAAATTTGACATGAATTTTCTTATTTTCATATAACATAGTTCCTTTTTTTGCTATTTTTTCCAATGTGTAAAATGTATTCATTTCATTAGCTTTTTTGGACTGTATATAGTTTGGTATAAAAGGTATTTTGTCAAATAGATCAGTAGTTTAATTTAACTGTATTATCTTTAATAAAGAAGAACAATCAGAGGAAGAGGTTCCAGTTGAAGGTATTTTCCCTCAAGCTATTTTTCATTCCCTAATACTTTGTAGTTGTTTCCCTTTACCATTGTGTAGTTATTTCTCTTTACCATTGTGTACTTCCCTTGTACATGTGTATTCTAGCTTTTCTCCCTAACCATTACTCCTCCTACACTTATTTCTCCCCCTTAGTTAACCCTATTAATTTCCCTGGTATTAAAATTTTTCTTATGAAGTTATTTCCTTTTAATAATTGTTACCCCTACTGAGTTATTTCCCTTGTGTATTTATCTATGTTGCATGCTTATTTCTGTTGTTAACTTATTTCCATTGTGTATTAATCCCCTTGTAAACTTTATATTTTTATGATTTATGTGTATAGTTATTTCCCTTGTGTTTTGATACCCACTTTTTACTAATTTTCATTGTAATTGATATACCCAATCTTTTTGTGTTATATAGAAATTTTCAAGAGTAACCAATACAAATGTGCATATAAATTTTAGTTTGTAAGTTAAGCGGCCTAAAGCTGTAAGCTAGATGATTTGATTCATTTCCTGTAACAAGCCACTTTAAACACATGTATACATCATTTTAGGCCTCTGTTTATTTTTTTCTAAAATCACTTTTTATAGAATTGAGTTATACATACATTTTGTTAGAAATACTTGCACTCTTTGTGTAGTTCTTTTTGTCTTTAACTATTTTTTAAATTCATATTTTGATATTTCCCCCAACTGATCTTCACATATACCAATATGGTCAATTTACCGAGAAACATTTCTGGAACCCTTTATTATCAAAATAGAATAAATAAAAAATTAATAAACACATCAACTTTATAAGCTTGACTAAAGAAAAGAATGAACTATTGCCGGCGTTGCACTTTGGTAAAGTTTTTGCATGCAAGTTGGTATCTCCAAAACTACTAAGAAAAAAGGGTTGAAACCTCACATACCTATTTGAGAGCATAATAGAAGGTCACTGTCCAAAGCCCATACTTCTGACATAGATTTTGAGTTATAGTATTTTAACAGAGTTATGGTTAGAAAATTTCTTCATTGTTTACTATCAAGCACTGAGATTAGTTGAGTATGCTGTCCTAAAAACAGGTCTTGTTTTGTTATCATGTTTAAAGTTTGTATAATCATTCAGAAATTATTGAAAAATTGTAAGTTACATAAAATAATTGTTTTTACCTATTGTTGATTTGTTGATGTGCTGTGCTAAGTGGCTTTTAGTTATTTAATATCTGGGAAGGAAATATTCCTCAAAATCATTGAGAAAAAACAAAACAAAAACACATGAACATTGCTGACAATGTAGAGTAAGTTCACGAGAGGTATTGAAAATGCAAAATTTGTCATGTCCTCTAGCCAGAGAAATATGCAATGCTCAATATGCTGGATTTAAAAAAGTTAAAAGATGTATTATTCCACATCTGATTCTCTTTTTATGACAAAACAAGTCTAAATTAGAAATTAAGACAAAAGTTCTCTTCCATATGATGTCATTTAATCCTTCTGTAATATAGATTTGATTTAAAATTTAAACGTGAAATACACTGGTTGGTTTTAAGTCAATTCAGACATATAGAATCTTTAGATTGTTTTAAGGTATTGCTTTAAGGTTGTCAAACTAATGGTCAAGATCCATGGCTTGGAATAACTTCAGTCTTGAGTTAATACCCTTCGTACCTCAGATGTTGAATTCTTTCATGTAAGGTGTGCAATCTGGGTGGCTGATAGATAAATTGTGGTTCCACTCAGATGTCAGTTTGTGCTGAGAGGGATATCGGATGTCTTATTCTACATGACTGCAATGTGGCCATTGTTAACTTTTAAGTGACAGAATGACTTAAAACACAACCTTTTGTTAAAACAAAATCAAATACCTGCACTAAGAATATAATAGTAATATTTTGTTTATTTGTTTATTTTAAGATGGAGATTGGAGTATACATGTAAGCTCAATAAGAGATCTGACAGACGGAGATGTGGCATTGGTTGCTTATGGTGAGAAGGGAGGAGTTACTGAGAACAGTGGACCAATCGTATTAGGTGCTCCACCAGGACGTCCAATCTTCCAGAGTGGTAATGAGGATGAATTTAGGGTATGTAATCAGCCTTTCTTTTTTAATGCAAAAGAAGAAAAAACAAGTATAAAATTTTACATCTGACACTAATTTCAATGAAATTAATTAATTTATAAAACTTGAAACTGACAATTGGAGAGAAGAAAAAGTAGATGAAGAAGGTTGAATCAGTGGAGTTCCTTTAATGAATACAAGCAAGCTAAGATGGTATAAACATAGTAAAGTTTTTAAGTTTTTAAAAAGTACCCTGAAACATAAATAAATCAATCTTTTTCTGAAAAACAATTTGTTTGAAACTTGCTCATGCAATATGTAAATAGGTTTATTAATTGTAAAATGTCCAGAAATTCTAATTCTAATGAAGTAAACTGTTTCTAAAGATGAGACAGAAAAGGGAAAGATATTGTCATAAGACATAAAAATGGAAAGATTTTTATGAGAAAAAAATAGAAAAATTCACAAGGGATAAAATGGATTGAATTTTCATAAGACATAAAAATGAGATAAAAATGGAAACAAATTTTATAAGAGATAGAAATGGATTGAATTTTCACATTGAACTCAAAATTTTATTATTTTAAGGATGGGGACTTGTATGGAAAGGTAAAGTGTATTAATGCTAGTTGCTGTTTGTAAGAATATCCCTGTCTGTATATATAACATGTGTAATGTTCTTGTTTTGTCTATATAACAATTTCAGATCAGACATTTTATTCACAAACCTATAAAATACAACAGATAAAATGTCTTAGTGTTTAGATATGTAATATATTTTGGGCATGGAAACGTAGTTAGATACCTGGAGCATTTATGAATACCATTGTACATGTATAAATATTATTATAAACATTTTGATATGTCACAGTATAGCAGGAAATTAAAGGTTTAAGAAACTTTAAATCATAGGAATAAAAAAGCTTAATATAAAACAAAATAATATTAAACAAAAAGGTGCTTAAATTTGGTCAACACTTGTTAAAAAAGATCCCAAAATTTTTCAAATCTCAAGGTCAAGGAAACTGTAATTCAATTATTATTTGAATAATATGTCATTCTGATAGATTGATAACTGTAAAGGAGCAAATACATGATATAAAGACAGTTTTCTTTGGTCTTTCCCAATGGACAAAGACTGAAACAAAAATAAAGAAACTCATACATTCTTTATGATAATCGCTTTACTTCAATCCTGTTTTCTAAGTCACATGATTTTTTAAATTGATGTTTGATTACCTGTTTGCTTACCTTTTGCTTAAAACCATTGTTTTCTTATTTCATAACCTATATGTGTGTCCGTGAACTTTTCCCCAGCTTTGTGTTTGATTTGATTGTAAATCGTTGAATTGTGTTCTTATTTTCGAAACAAAAATTTAGCATATACATGTATGCTAATTTTGATATGTATATAAATTTTGATATGTATATAGTCTTTTCATAAATGCGTCATCACTGACATTTTCTAAAAAAAATTCCCAGTAATATGATATCAAAGATACAGAAAAATGTTTGAAGCAGTCTGCTATAACATGATTTTGTTCTTTGCTTATGTAAAAAACTTTGATCAATTTTCCAGTCATATATTGGGCTGATCCCTGTACAGATTTAAAACAGCCCATTTTTGAAATTTCAAGGATTTAACATTTAGCTATAACATGTTTCTGCTGTTTATTTCTGCAATTTACTTTTTCATCCAGCTAACTTACGAAATATCTGTGATTCTACTCTGGTGCCTGAATTAATGCAAGGAGGAGCACCTGAAGTTTTCCTCCACCAGTAAAGCTGAAAAGTCCAAAAGACCTTAATTGTGCTGGTGCAATGAAAAACCGATACTTTCAGGAAATGACTCTAGTTACTTCCCCTGATGGTCTTCTCTACACATGTGGTTAAGGCCTATGATTATAATAAGCATCCAGTTAATCTTTTGAAAAGAATGGTCCTAACTTTTAGCTTTATGTCAAATGTAGGATAAAAATCAAATTATCATGAGAAGAAACAAAAACAGTTTTTGGGATTTTTTTTTCAGGCTAATTTACTGAAAATTGGCAAGATGTTCAAGATTAGGTTAGAACTTATCCCAAAGATTTCAACAAAAGACCCAAGTTGGCAGGTTAAAGAAGTTCGCATGCAGGACCTCAACACAAATGAGGTGCTGAAATTTGACTTTAATCGCTGGTTAAGTAGAGAAGAAGATGATGGTGAAATTATGAGAGAGCTTCCTGTGCAGCGACCCGGAGAAAATGTCTTACCTGGTTTGTGTACCTTTTATGAATCATCTTTTTTGTTCTAGATTATTTAAAAAAGAATAAACAATGAGTGGTTTGTACTTTGAACATTTTAAATTAATTTCTAATTTGAACAATGTTATTCTTAAAGTGAAAACAAATTTTCAGCAATTGGTCTTTTAACCCTTTACCACATATATACGCGAAACAACGCACTTTCGACCCCCCCCCCTTTTTTTGGGCCTCAAATAGGAAAAAAATGTCCTATTTGGGCCCCAAACATAAGTTTTCGTTTGAGAAATGTTGCTAAAAAAAATTGAGCACTTTTTCGGCGCGCCCCCATCCAAAAGATACATCGGGGGTTTGCCAGAAGGGGTGTGCCCCCTTCTGTTAGAGGGGGGTTGAAAATTTTGGACTTGTGAGAGGCTAAAAATGACCCCAGGTCATCATAATTAACGTTTAAACCCCCAACCGCTGAAAAAGCCTTTGACTTATTCTCCCTTGGAAGTTTGCAGCACTTTGAAATAAATTTTGATGGAAAAAATCGAGGCAAAATAGTGATTTTTTGGGCAATTTTGAGATGCCCCCCTCTTGCCATGGTAACAGGAAATTTAAGACTTGAGCATGCGTTACAAAAGGCAATGGTCCAGTCAACATTTGTGCCAAGTTTGATTGTATTTGAAGATTTTTCATAGTTTCCATAGCAGTTTGAACTTGTAACAGGAGGCTTTTCAGTGAAAACGGCCATTTTTCACAATATGCTCATGGGGGAAAGGGTTAAGCAAAGATCATTTTGAACATTAATATTCATTCTTGTTTGGGATTTAGTTCAGGGACAATGAGTTCATTCCTTAAGGGTCATTGGCCTTTTTGGTGTCAAAACCGTGTTTCCTCCTTATTGATGCCTGCACTAGTCAGGAAACTAAAGAGTGCCCTTTCAGACCAAGACTAATTTTTCCATATCATAGAACTGCATAGAATCTTATTATAGAGTGATAATTGTATTAATTAAATTAACCACTGTGGAAATAATTAATGAATAAATATTTGTTTCACAAAGTTTATCAATCTTCAATGTTTCATGGGGTTTAAACCCTCTTTATCTTTGCTGATCAAGAGGGATTGACCCCCTCTAAAAGCTGGAGATTGATAAACTTTGTGCAAGAGATTATGTATTGATTGAAATATTATTCATATTGATTTTGTTTTGTTTTTAATTTGTTCTTTTAGAATTTCATTCCATATATTTTGTAATATTTATTGTGTATGTTTCAGTTTGTCAGTACATGGTGTCAGTGTACACTGGCAATGAAAGTGGGGCAGAGACTGAGGCCTCAGTTTACATCACTGCACATGGACTGAAAGGTGACTGGGGAAAACGATATCTGCGGAACTTGAAAAGTGAAACCAAATTTGGTCGTGGCCAGGTAAGTCGACATGTTTGAATCATATTTCGCTACAAGATTAAAAATTGAGAACAAATGTTACAAATATTGAATATAACTATGTGCCATTTGTTACGCATTTTAGAAATTGCCAACAGTATGTTTTATGGTTTAAAGTGAATTGATCCATAATGGGAGAGTTGTTATACCATTTATAACTACATGACAGTCTGCAAGTTGATAGTATTTAGACTAGTACTTGTATCATCATGCCAAAAAGAAACACAAAAGAATTGTTTATAAATGTTGTTGGTAATTTTGAGATACACGATCTGATATTTCATATCTATATATAGTAAATCTATAATTGTATAACAAACTTACATAGATTTTCAAGTTCTTTGGATACTTTGACACAGAAGCAATCAGATGGATTAATCTGAGCAGTTTATTGCCTGTCCATTCAACAGGAAACCAGGATGAGGACTGACAGGGAATACTGGGACGTCCCATCTCACCAAGTCAAACACCACTATATTTCCGTTTGGGCAATGACTGCCACAATAGCAGAAAATAAATTTTTCTGGAACAAAATATTTTTTTATCATATAAATATTCATAGTATAACACTCAGTACTCAATCAACATTTCTTTTTTTTATGAAACATTCTACAAGCATATTCAAATGAAACTATTTTTATCACTATTTGAAATGTGTCCATTGCAGACCAATCCATTTTAAAAAATTAACTTTAACTCCTGAGAGAAAGTACTTTTTGAGTTGGCTAATATAAAATTGACTATTTGCAAAAATTGTTGCTTGGAAATCCTGCCAAAGATGTTTTTTTTTCATGTGTAGAAGCTTTCAAGCTAGCTAATAGGAAGTTGATTGTCCTTCCTATTTTCCTCTATTGCCAGAAACAATACATGGATATGGCACCTGGAATATTTTATGTGTGTAGTTCAAAAGTAGGTCCATGACTAACAATATTGTTGTGATTTAAAAACCAACTTATGACAAAGAATTCTAATACATTATGTGATTATTTCAGTGTGATGTGTTCTACATAGAGGCTGTGTCATTAGGTGACCTTCAGAGATGTGTCATAGGTCACGATGGCACGGCAGCAGGAGAAGGCTGGTACCTGGAACAAGTGGTGATAAAGGAAGATGAACAGGCAACAGAGGAATATGTGTTCCCTTGTAACAGGTTAGTCAATCCAATAAATTTATCATTTAGTTAAGCACAAATAGTTTTATAGGATTTTATTTGTCTTGTGTTTATGGTTTCTGATTTTGAATTCATTTTTAGCTCGACTTTTCTATGAAAAGGGGAGCTATCCTACTCGCCCCGGCGTCGGCGTCGGCGTTGGCGTCACACCTTGGTTAAGTTTTTCGTACCACCCCACTTTATTTCAGAAGTATTACAAGTATGGCTTTGAAACTTACCATACTTGTTCACCATCATAACCTCCATCTACAGACAAGAGTACATAACTCTGTCAAGGTTTTTGACAGAATTATGGCCCTTTTTTGACTTAGAAAGTGTATTGAGCTTGGTTAAGTTTTTTGTACCACCTCACTTTATTTCAAAACCATTGGAGGTATTGCTTTGAAACTGACCATACTTGTTTACCATCACGACCTTCATCAACAGACAAGAGGACATAACTCTGTCAAGGTTTTTTGACAGAATTATGCCCCTTTTTGACTTAGAAAATACATTGAATATGGGTAAAATCCACTTATTGCCTTAACCCTTTGAGATATTGCTTTGAAACTTTTAATGCTATTTCACATCATTACCCCCATCTGTACGCAAGAGAAGGTAACTCTGTCAAGGATTTGTTTTAAAAATTAAGGCCTTTTATCGACTTAGAATCTTGGTTAAGTTTTTAGTACCAGTCCACTTTTTGACTGAACTGTTTGAGATATTAATTTGAAAGTTGGAATACTTGTTTACAATCATGATTCCCAAACATGTCCAGGAGAAGGTAATTCTGTCAAAGATTTTATTTGAATTATGGCCCTTAACTGTCAATGTTTTGTATTATAGGCAAGCACTAAAAAACTTAAAAAATCTAAAAAAATTCATTCCTATCCACTTGTTCACTTTACCATAAATTATGTCATATAAACATTGCTGTAATATTCAAGGGTATCAAACAACTAGTTCACTTTAAAAATACAGAGATTCTTGTATTGCCTTTTACTGCAAAAACTTTTTTTATTGGCAAGCAATAAAAAAGTCGAGCGCGCTGTCTTACGGACAGCTCTTGTTGGCCGGGTTGCACAGGTGCATCCACTTCCTGTTTACCAACTTATTTAAATTTTTGACATTAATGGTCAATTTTCATAACATCACAGCCTCATGATATTTGGTATACAAATGCAACCCGGCCATTTTTATCTTTGACCCATTTTCTTTCAATATTCTGGGTTGAAATATCCCTTGAGCCTTTAATTCTTTCATAAGAGAAAGCTATGCATCTAGTTCTCTGTAGAATTGTTTGGTCATTTTGGTGGCAGCCATTTCCAGAAATAATACTTTAGCAGAGAAGGGTCCTTCTCTGAAGTTGGAAAGTTGCACGTGATCATAATACTGCTGGCATGATTTAAAATCAAACCCTTCCCCCTATACCCCACTTAGCTCCTTAGCAATAGAGTCTTGGATTTTAGATACAAATGTATATCTGGATTTCTATTTCATTGATTTGGTACGTTTTAATTGTCAGGCCATTGTCAGTGTAACATGACTGTTATGGGTATCTACAGCATTATATTTTATTTCATCGCACTAGCTGTATACAGTTACTCATTGTGCTTGCAACTACAACTATACTCACTTTCACCTATGTGACTGAACAATTGGTTTTTTAGCTATAGATTCTAAGATAAACGTATTCATAGCTCTGTGCTTAGATTTTATTTTGTATATTTCACAGGTGGCTGGACACTGGTTTAGAAGATCGGAAGATTGAGCGAGCCCTCATGGTGAAGGGTAGGTGATAGTGAATTAACCTTATTTGGAATCAAGTCCCTGTGTATAAAAACCCTTGTGGTGTGAGGCCTTGATAGATTTAATATGACTGTGTATAACTTATACCAGATATATGCATGTGCATGTGTTTTATTGGAAACGTGTTGAAATGTTTGTGTTTTGTGTTAACCCAGATTATGACGCTTACCCCTGATGAAGCATTATATGTGAAGACATATTTTTTTTTTAAAATATCATTTTCATGATAATGTCAAACCATTTTTTCTTTATTTTGGAAACTTTCCATTCTCTGGGAAAATATTAAATAAGTTTCCCTTTACTCAAGGTAACTTAATAGGGTAAAATGCTTGATTACTTTCTTAAAAAGTCATATATGTTCAATTTGATTTTAAATACAAGAACTTCAGTTGTGTAGATTTTCAATAAATGTAGAATATAGGAATGTTATTCTTATATTGATTATAAATCAGTAATGACTGCAAATGATTAAAAGTTAACGAAAGCCGCACTTAAAAAATATTTAATTCAGACATTATCATTTATTTCATGAAAGTTTCTCACAGGTTATATTGAAAAACACTAGGTTTAAGTCTAAGCTTTCTTGCAGCATCTGAACTTGAAATCTGTGCTGTGTAATTAAAATTGTCTTAGCATATAGTGCTTCATTGCTGTATTATTTATACATGTATATATAATAATAACAACAATATTTTATATGATAACAACTAGAAGCATAATAAAACATTTAAGTGTGAGATTGTAGGAAATTATGACATGTCAGGAAAGAACTGACTGTGTTCAATGTGATATATTATTTATTGTGATATTTTTAATGCATGTTTATATTGGTATTTTATTGATAGTATATATTCAGATAAAGTATTAACTTGTATGTGATATATTATAGATTAAATCATGCTGTGAATTAATTTAGTTTTGTAAGTTTATAAGCTTTTATTTTTGTGGTTTTGTGACTAAAAGCAGCTGATTTTTTATGTGTTATGAAACTTTGTATGTTCAGTTAGTCTTTAATTTGTCATAAATTGTAAATTTCATATTTGGTTTAGTTAAGATTGAATAGGAAATATTTGACTTTTCCTAATCATGAATTTTTTTGTTTCCATATTTTAAGTTTAAAGGCATTACTTAATTATATATGTACATGTTTGGCTTGTTTTGGTTAGAATTGAAGATGACATATTGGTATTTGTGTAGTATGGACTACTTGAGGTCTCCCTGCACCTGTACAGCAGGACAGTCGCAATATGACTCAACCAAAAGAAAAAAAAAGTTATTCTAACATAGCAGCCATCTCAAATGACTTATTTGTAGCTTCCATCTTTCCATTCTTTACTAAATAATCATTTAATCATGAAGTGGCGCATGGCTTAGTGGTAAATGCATCATACTAGTAATCTAATGATCACTATATAGCCGTACGGGTTCGAGCCCCTTCAGGAACTAGTTGTCGTTCCCTAGAGCAAAATATTTAACACTCATTGCTTAGTACTGATTGGTTCCAGGAACAGATTTAAAGTGTGTCTATCAATTTACAGCTTCCTAAACAATCAAACTAAAATGAATTCCCTATAAACCAAATAATCATATATATTCATGGTTTTGACCCTGTTTAAAGTCAAATGTTGAATGATTGATATTTCTATATGTGGATATAGCACTGGTTCAGAATTTAGAAATACAGGTTCACATTATTTCTGATGAAAGCAGGTGTTTAAAATCAAAAACCATTCTGTCAATCATGCAATCTGCACTAAATCTTTTTGATGTATATACATTTGCAGAAATATGCTTTTATGTATTTGTGAATGTAATGATAATTATTATGCTTTCAAATTAACTACTTTACCATGTATAGTGAAATGAGTGACTCATCTTGTACTTCCATTGTTTTGTTCAAAGAAATCAAATGTTGGGTTTTTTTGTATTGTTTTTTGTCATCAAAACTATCATTCTGCCAAAACCAAAGAGGGTTATTTTTCATATTCCATAAACTGATATCCAACCGTGACTTATCATTAAGTGATTATGAAAGAATCGATATGTCTCATTAAATTATGTTAGTAAATCATGTCTTTGCCATTAAATAGCTTACTGACTAAGTCATAAGGGTTACATATACTGCTTAGACTTACAGTTTTAGGGAATAAAAACTGTGTGTTAAGGAATTCACAGAAGTTCAAGGATTTACACATGTATAGATATTACTAGTAGTTTGATGAAATTTTCAGGTTTAAATTTCTTTACTTATTGAATAAATAAATTACTATTGGTACCTTTGTTCTGATAGTAATTTTCCCTTTTTTGTTGGATTTCCCTGGGTTATTGCAGTATGAAAGAAATATACTGTGATTGTATTTTGAAGAGGCTGCCTTAATAAATACGACAGTTATGTAGCAAATTTCCTGAAAATTCTTTTTCTGTTAACTTACCAGTATTAGATATTATATTTTCAACAATCTGTTTAGATATCTGATAACTATTACATTTGTATTAGGCTGACCATGATGAAATATGGTTACAGAAACATCATCCAGAACATGTTTGTGTGTTTGTTATATAATTTTATATTCCTGCTATTCTTGCATCAATTTAAAATCAGCATGTTCATTCTTAAAGCTGCATGCCTCCAGATGAGCCAACATATTTTAAGAATAAAATCAAACTTGAGAATTGTGATTTTAGGAAAAGAAAAAAAATCAAATTCAAATACATGTTTTGTAGGATTAATGACTTATTTTTGCCATATTTATCACCATATTTCGACTGTGTGACTAATGCAGTAAGGGCTATTTTTGCATATTTTGTCCTCTTTGGTAATTTATGTGGATTGTAAATGCCATTTGCAATGTGTCAATTACTCTCTTTGTTCACTTCACAATATTTTACTTTTAATTTTATTTTTTTTCAAAATTTTCATGAAAATTAGCATGAATCTGGAGGCATGCTGCTTTAACTGGAGATATTTTTGTATGTTTTTTTTTTCTGTGATTGTATGTGAACATAATGCTTACTGTAAGAATGTGTTTATGTTTGAATTTATAATAAGGTGTCATAGTAAATTGAAAAGATCATGTACATGTAAATATAAAACAGATATTGTATAGTTAGTTTTAGACAATATTTATTATACAGGGAAGAATTGAAATAGAAATAATAAAAGAATTACTTAGACATTGTGTGCTGTCTCGATTTTAACATCATTCCTACATATTTAAATGAAGACTACAAACTCTTATCTGATTGGTTATTATTAACTTAGCACAGATTAAATATTGACTAATGGAAAAGCAGAATTCACAGACTGGTTTGAAATTCTCCTGTTGTGAAGTTAAGAAACATTAATAATGGCAATTATTTCATATTTCTGATAGAATGTTTTCTTGGAAAAAAAAAGAATAATAGCATTATTTCTCTGGTAAAGTTTGTCACAAGGTATAAAATGAGTTAAATACAGTAGAATAGAAAAAGGAAAAATGGAAGCTTCTGGAAAGTAATGTTATATAAAATTATGATGTAGGTAGACCTAGTCATGTTTGGTGTTTCAGAAATATGTTGTTATTTTTGTAGAACCTTCTCCATCTAAAGTGAGAGTTAAAGGTAAGACTGGTGTAATGTGTTGATGCTTACAGTCATTTAACTCAAAATAAGCTTGGTATTTTCAAAATAAAGAGATGATGAATTAAAATCTTAATCCGACCTCACTGTACATGTACGTCCTTATCGATTCTGGGCACTGTACATATTTATTTCCGTGTTATTTAAACTATGTATCCATAGAAATTAGTTTACAAGCATTTGTGACACCATGATTTTCAAACAGTTGCTCATGTTAAATAGATGCTTGGGTTTATTGAGAATGCAGTGAGGGTCTTTTTAATGTCTGTAAAGCTTGCAAAAAAGATGAATTTAAATTTTTGTTTTGATAAATCTGGTTTTTTTCTACATTCCAACATCACCTTTTCTTTAACTAACATAACTTACAAGTTTTTTTCTTGTTTGATGAAATAAAAATATAAGCTAAATGCATGAGATTGATGTGAATAAAGCTTAACTAAAGGTCATGACCTTGTTGTATAGCCCCGCCCTCAGCACTTGATAAGATCATTGAGGAAGAAACAGCTGATTCTTTAACAGTAAAATCACCGGTACCAGATTCTCAGCATGATGGTGAGTGAAATATCTGTCGTCAGTGAAATATTTTTTTGTCGTCGGTGATATATATTTATTTGTCTGCAATGAAATTATTGTTTGTTGTCGGTGAAATATTTGTTGGTGGTAAAATATTTGTTGGCAGTGAAATATTTGTAAGCAGTGAAATATTTGTCAGCAGTGATATAATTGTTAGCAGTGAAATATTTGTCAGCAGCTTTATTAATTGATCCTGGCGGGAACAACCGGAATGGTGCATGTTATATTGAAAATACTCCAGAGTGTTAATCAAGTTGCTTGGATGATTGGAAGAATCTTAATTTAAGCATAAAAAATTTGGAATGAAGTGAATACTAACTTGTCTGAAATGATTTGATGGTCACACAAGTGAATGCTATGTGGATGTATTGTAACGTAAGTTTAACTGTTGTGTATATATATATCTCTCACTGCATAGATCATCAGTATTTTAGCCTTAAATTGCTTGTATTTCAGTTAATATTGAAATTTTCAAATGAGCATGGTAAAATGTTGTTTTTTTTCTTCATAGGGAACATTGATCTTTTTGTTTTCTTCAGTTTTTCAGATTTCATATGTGATGTAAATGATATATAGATATAATAATTAATGATGGACTTTTTAAATGTTTTGTAAAGATAACAAATTATACAGGAAATTTTGTAACAAAAATCTTCATTATGATCTTTATATATTTATTATTCATTTAGTCACCATAGCAACAATACAGGGCTACCAGCAATGATGCTTTTATATGAAATTTAAGGTACTTAGCCACCCACTGTCAAACTTTTGTCTTTTCTAGAAGGCTTTAGATAGCACCATCTATAGTCACTAGATTGCCTGCTTTCATCAATAGGACCTCTAAATGCACAAACTTTGGTCACATGATGTCTTAAAACCATCACTAGAAAGTCCAAAGTCACTATCTTTTGTCTGTATAATATTTTCTTTCACACCTGTAAAGTCTAAATATCACTATCTTTGGTATGCTAGGAATATATTCCTTTAATGTTAAAAAATCTAAATTAACTATCTATAGTAAATTAAATGGATTTTTATAACAGAAAAGTATAATGATCAGTTTCATTGACAGGATGTTAAATTTCACTAGTAATGTTCTCTTTCGCTGCCAGAATGTCCAAGGACAAGCTATCTTTGGTCACTAGAATATCCTTTACCATCAACAAAAAGGCACATTTCACAAGATTTAGTCATTAGTGTATCCTCTTTTGATCCCAGAATGTCCAAGGACACTATCTTTGGTCACTAGAATGTCCTCTAAATCACAGTCCTTCTGCTGCCTGAATGTCCAAGGATACTATCTTTTGTCACCACTAGAATGCCCTTGACATCAACAGACAGGCACATTTAACTATGTTTGGTCACTATATAATGTCCTGTTCTGCTGCCAGAATGTCCAAGAACACTATCTTTGGTCACTAGAATACACAACATCAACAAAAATGGCACATTAATTTTCACTAAGTTTGGTCACTAAATGACCTCTTCTGCTGTCAGAATGTCCAAGGACACTATCTTCGGTCAATAGAATGTCCTTTACATCAACAGAAAGGAACATTTCCCTAGGTTTTGTCATTAGTATGACATTGTCCTCTTCTGCTGCCAGAATGTCCAGGGACACTATCTTTAGTCACTAGAATGCCTTTTACATCAATAGAAAGGCACATTTCACTAGGTTTGGTCACTAAATGTCCTCTTCTGCTGCCAGAATGTCCAAGGACACTATCTTTAGTCACTAGAATATCCTTTACATCAACAGAAAGGCACATTTCACTAGGTTTGGTCACTAAATGTCCTCTTCTGCAGCGAGAATGTCCAAGGACACTATCTTATGGTCACTAGAATGTCCTTTACATCAACACAAAGGAACATTTCACTAGGTTTTGTGATTAGTATGACATTGTCCTCTTTTGCTGCCAGAATGTCCAGGGACACTATCTTTGGTAACCAAAATGTACATTTCATCACTAGAAAAATCAAATTTTACTTAAATGTAGTTTAGTCACTTTTATATTTGCCTTTAACTAAAGGGACTAGATGTAAGTCTCTAACTGCCACTATTTGTTATCTGTTTTAATGAACAAAATACATTGCAGTATCTTAAGGCTTTTACTTCTTACTTTGGACTTTTCAGCCATTTATGTCTTCCGTCGTACATTTGACTAAAAGCACTATTTTCAGTCACTAAGTAGTCAGACAATGTCAGTTTAGTCACTAGAAAGTAGTGATAGAACTGCACTAGATAGTTCCAAACTTGAAGAATTACTTTTTTGTCACAAGAAAATCAGTTGCACTATTTTTGAGTACCTAGATTACTTATTAACTATGTAATACATGGCTTTTAGACTTGTTGTCATAATAGACCCCTAAAACCTCTAGGATATAGAACTTTCCTACATGACTGCAATACTGTAGTTAAATGCATTCAGCTGCAATACTTATTTGTTTTGTCTCTAAAACATTAGTAAATGTTTTAGATGCTCTTATTACTTTGTCTCTAATTCCATGATGCAAGTCAACATAGATATTTGTAAAGTTATTCTTCCATTGAATGTCATGGAAAAACAAAGAAATATCTCTGCCATAACAAGTTTCTGTAAACTATTCTGTTTTATTTCCGCTCTTGTTTGTATTTGTACTTAAGGAAGAACTTAAGGAAACGTTTTCTAATAGGTTTTATTTCATGGCCTAAAAGGTTTTCATTTAAGAGATAATGATTTACTCAACCTATATACAATGTAATGGCATATACAACCAATACTAGTAAGTTCAAGCTAGGAATTACAAGGTATAAATTTATTGACAGTATGTATTTCATTGTTTATACGTTAGTTCTTAAAGATATAATAATATAATAGCATATTATATTTCAGTTCACTTCTGTCACAGACGTAGACAAATTGTGTCTGTCTGTTTCATTCACTAGTATATATATATGATAAACTTGCACACTGCACAATTAATAAAAAACTTGGCTTCTTTCAGGCTCAAATAATGTATTCATAATCGTAGATGATTCAAAGGCAATTAATGCTTTAAAAAAAATCATTGTACAAACAAATTTCAATAATAAATAATAATTATACAAAATATCTGAAAACCGAAATCCTTTGAAAACTGGATTTGGTCAAGTCTAAGCAGGGTCCGGTTAAAACCTGAAAACTGGAATACTCTGATAACTTAATTTTTGGTCAAGTCCTAGCAGGGTCCAGTTTAACCCCATGAAAACCAAAATCCTGTGAAAACTGGATTTTTGGTCAAGTCCAGGCAGGGTCTGGTTAAAACCTGAAAACCGGAATCCTCTGAAAACTTGATTTTTGGTCAAGTCTGAAACTATGCATAAAAAATCAAATATTCCAGTTATAAGTTTAATGAAATTTGCTGGAAGCTTTGCTGAAAGAATGGCAGCTCTACAAATCTATTTGGATATAAATTAGGGCCATATAATATTAAAGGACAATATTAGTTACATGAAAATTTCTTATCTTTATGTCTCATTAAACATTGACCTTTTCTGTGTGTTTCTTCTTGTTGTTGTTTTTGTTGCTCACAAAATTCAGGAAATTTTTGTGAACCTTCACCATGATTAGCATATTTGAATTTTTGTTGTCATTGCTGACTGTCATTGCTGGTGGTTTTTGAGGATTTGGGCATTTTACTCTTTATACCTGACAAACACTATAAAACACAAAAATTTCCTGATAAATTTGGTATCTCACACTTGATGTTGTTATATATATTATATGCAGTTATAATGTAAAGTTTGTTGTGAATACATGTATGTATATATGGCTGTTGTGTACAATGCAAAATATGCAGAATATATGCTGTGTGTTTTAAAGTGTGTAATCAAATTGTTTTCAGCATAATGACATCTTTATCTTGTTGTGTTATATAATTTTTGTTTCAAAAGCAAATCTTTTGAAAATAATAAGACATATTTGTAGTAGTTAAAAGTGACTTTAAAAGAATTACAAATGACAGCTTCAAATGTTGTTATTAATAATACCTAATAGATTGTATATTCTAGAAAAAAATTTAATTAATAAAATCTTGTTGATATGAATTTTGATAAATTATCTCATTAAATAATCTATTTTTAGGTTTTTCATTTCTTTTTCAATCTAAATAGAAAGTTTTTGTCTTGCAAACAGTTATTACATTAACATAGATTTTTTCCACTTATTCACATAACCAGTTAAAGTATTCTTACTATACCTGTTTTATATTTCCTTACAGACAAAACAGAGGAAAAGAAAGAAGAACCTGTTTCAGGTAGATTTAACATGAACTTTTTTATCTTTTTAAACCAACAATAGATCACTTGGTTTGACCCTCTTGTTGGGGTTGGCTTTGGCATTTGGTTAACCTTTTAGTTAAGGTCCATTTTCTCAGAAACTGTAAAAGCTATTCATTCCAAACTTGGTATACATATTTATTGTCATGGATTGAGGCAATTTCAAAAGGGCAGATAATCATAAAATTATCTTTTGCAAAGTTCTGCTCCTTTGTTTAAATTGCTTTTATTTGCTTTTATTTAACTATTCAGCTCTGAGGAAAAAAGGAATGCCCAATCCAAGGACAGGTCATGTTTAATGAACTTGACTTATGTGGAATTTACTCATACCATTTATTTGTCCAACTTTTATATCTTTGTTACCTACTATTTATTTTTAAAAGCATTTACCAGAATGTGAGAAGATGCACTGTTTCTCCAAGTCACATAGAGGCTTGACATCGGGTGAAATGTACTGTACTATGATCTCAGAAATTGTATTTTTTTTTCTTTAAACAGCAAATAAAAAGTACGGCCTGGAGATTGTGACTGGTCAGGAATCAGAGACGTCTAATGGTGGAAAAGTTCATGTAACATTGTACGGAGAAAAAGGAAAATCTGAGCAGATAACTCTGTATGCAACAGATCCCAACAACAAAACATTTGAACCAGGAAATATTGACCAGTTCCAAGTTAGTATTTAGAATTACCGTAAGAAAAAATCAAGCCTTTCTTTTGATCAATTTTACGATTTCTGTTATATTTAATATTAAATATCAACCATGTTTAGATGGGAAGGAAGCTCTGCATAAACAACTCCTTTTGTGCCCACCTCTTCCTACATTTTCTCAAGGGACTTTAACCAGAAGGACTGTCTATCAAGAATTAACTGCCCTTGCATATGCTTTCAAAATTCTGTTTTTAGCAGGACTATTAAAAGAATAGGGAGAGCTGCAATGTATTGTACTCATATTGGCATCACAGTCACACTTTGGTTAATTTTTGCATAGATTGTGAAGTACACTTGTATTCTGTGATTATCTAACATGATGGGCATACGTTCCATAACTCTGAGTAACCTTTTGTCAGAGTTATGCCCCTTTTCTAACTGTCAAATAAGTCTTAGAAGAGATGAGCATGCTGTCTTATGTACAGCTCTTGGGGGGGGGGGGTTTATGTTGTTTTTTTGTTTTTGTTTTTTTTCACAATTGTATTATTGATGCTAAATTTATGGTAGTTTTGTTTTAAGTTGCTGTCTGTTGCTTTTATGTAAGTTGTGTATACATTATAAATACTAACCATTTGACTGCTGTACTGTTGATTGTCCAACTTAAACTTTTCATTATGATATTCTAAAAAAATAAATGGACAGTTCCAAAATAGAACGTTGACAAGTCTGTTTAAATGTTAAATATGGAATAATTTTTTTTCAGTTGGATATAGCTGACATAGGAGAATTGTATAAGATACGAGTGGGGCGTGAAGACTCAGACAAATGGAATAGATGGTTCCTGGAGGAGGTATGCTCTTTATTTTGTAGTCAGACTACCCTCAGAATAAAGATAACACTGTTAATAAAGGCCACTTTTTGATAACCCTGCATTGAAATAATGGAATAAAGTTACCTCATAATAAAGACTGCTTCTCAATAAAGACCATGATTCATCATACACTTAGATGGCCTTTGTTTGCAGGTTTGACTGTACATGACTTAGCATACAATGTTAAGTTTTTAAATTCTTTGGGTTAGAATCCTCCTAGGATCATCTTTGTGCTGGGAATATTGCACATGATCACACCTTGTCTCTGTTTTTGTCAGTAATGCCAGGAAATTGGCATAAAGTATTTGTTGTGTTATTGTGACTTTATAGCCAGTAACCTGTTGTTGTATTAATGATATTTATTCTTAGTTTTCTCTATGGAAATACATTGTATATTAAATTTATACATTGCTTTAAATGATTTTAAAAAGATAAAGCCTCCATATTGAAGCAGTTATAATCAGTGACTTTACATTATTTGCTGATCCATACTGAACAGGGTTTTTGATTTTGTCATCTGACTAGTTTACAGAAAGTTATGGAGCATTAATATCCGAGAGGTTGAGGTCTTTGACTCCAGACCACTTGCCCCTCAAAGCTAAACAGGTCATTGATGGTTGTACTCTAACGCCAGCTTGTGCCTGGAGGGGCATCAGAGGTCTTCCTCCACCATTAAAGCTGCCATATAACCTCTCCTGTGCTCCTGTGTTGGTGGGATGTAAAACTCTATAAAAAAATTACAGAAAGTTTGTTTTTCATATGTTTCTAAAGTCAGAAAAAAGGGATTTTCTGAGGTTTCTTATGTTAAGAAAAGCTGGAGAAAATCACCATATGACATTTATATTGACATTTTAACTTTTAACCAAGCAAAAACAACTTAAATATTTTTATTTTATTTAGGTGAGACTAACAGATGAACTTACTGGTGAGAAAATGGTTCTCAGTTACAACAGATGGCTAGCACGTGACATGGATGATGGTGATTTATGTAGAGAATTACCTGTCATACGCACGGGAAAACCAATACCCATGTGTATGTATTTTTTAGCCTTACATTTGTTGCATATGTTTTAGATATAGGATCAGTTTATTATCAGTCGTATGATAATGATCAGTAATAAAATTAAGTTTTTAAATTCTGTACAAACACTAACCTGTCTTCCTTACAAGTAACTGTCAACTTCTCCAAGCAAATTACTTTTGTCATCAATATTGAATGAATGAACATTCTTGCATAAAAACTGAACATGCAGGTATACACTGAATGAGAAGAAAACATGAATTTACAGATAGATTTTCCTGTTGTAAGTCTTTTAAAATACATGACTCATTGCGAAATGTAAATACAGCTTAATGCAATGACGACCTCTGTAGTTTAATTATCAAAACATAATTGTCAAAAGACATTAACTACCACATTGAAAGCATGGCAAAATGGTTTATTTATATGAAATACAGATAACAAAATGACAAATTAGTGATTTAGACTTATATGCAAGAATAGCGCTTATGCAAGAAAAAAGATGCATTTACCCTCAAATTGTCAAGCAGTTAAGACTCAAAAATACAATTTTTACGGTTCATAAGTCCTTATCTATCAAGCTTACTGTGCAGGCTTCAATATTTATATGTAATACATTTTATGAACAAAAATATTTCCACAATTGAGTAAATTATTCAAACACGTAAACTAAGTTTGAACCATTAGATATTTTACAACATGTAAATAGAAATCGTGTGAATTATTAGATTTTTTACAATTTTGAATATGTTTATGTTTAATGCATGTGTCTGGTATGTGCAAGGATATGCATTCATTACCCTTTGTAGCTAAGGGGTTTCCTTTAAGGGTTGAGGCATGAGAATGGCAGCCACAGTTTTTCCCTGTGTGATCGTAAGAGGTGACTAAATGGGTTAGAATAACTAGAGTCTATGCATCTCTAAGCTCAAGCAGGTGAGGTGTTCTTGACCCCTAGTGTTGTTTTAAGTTTGATATACCAGAGGTTAGCCAAAATCTCTTTCTTGTTAAGGAGCCATATGATCTAATTTGTGTTGGTGCACTGTAAAACCAAATAAAAATTATATATGCATTCAGTACACTTCTAAGGAGAAATACAGCACTAATTTGTATGTAATAATTTTGATTACAGTACAGGTGTATCAGGTGCAGGTACATACAGGTGACCACTGGGGCGCGGCCACTGATGCCAACATGTTTATTAACATATATGGAACCAAAGGTGATGGTGGGAAAAGACTACTTCACAAGTGTGTGAATAACAGAGTTAAATTTAGACGAGGCCAGGTGAGGCTTGCTGTTTTGCTTTACTTGAAACATCTCAAAGTGTTTTGATGAAATAAATAAATTTTTTGACTTGTTAAGCATTGGAATATAGAACTGAGCTCTGAATATTTGGTCTGTCATTATTTAATGTATCTGTTTATTGTGTTGGCTGTATTTTGAAGTGAAAGCAAGAAGAAAATTTTGCTGTCTTGTGTTTACAAGAAACATACAGGAGGAGCATTGTTAAATACTTATACTTATGCAAAGGTCATGTTGTTTTGAAAAGAGAGCATTCATTTCTATGGAAAAAATTGTAGACTTTCATGAAATATAATTGAAATCTTAATAGTTTGCTTCTCATATAGATAGTAAAATAATTTTGCATGCATTAATATTTTAGTTTAAAGACTGGTTTGATAAAAAGGTCTATAGTATATGTAAATATTTGTTACTACAAAATTTACTAGGTTGTTTTGAAATTTTGTGTTATTTGTTTTGTTTTGTTTCTGTTATTTAACCTTTGCCCTACTGGAAGAGTTTGCTTATCAGTGTAGTCTGACCAGCCTCTATACTATCAACAAACTTTCAGTTTCATCTTGATGCCCCCTAAATTTATAATGGATAGTTCCAAATATGGAAGTTAGACTTGTCCATTTAAGAAATTCAGCAGGTTAAGGGTTAATGAATTTAAAAGAACTATGGTACCATGGTGTCATTTGATTTCCATGAGGCTGAAACTTGTTTCACAATCAAGCTAAAATGAATATGTTTAAACTAAGTTATTTTTTATGTATTATTCAAAAGGTAGAACTGTTTACTCTCTGTGCATACATATCAGAAGGTTACACTGATATATTTCGTTAGATGTATTGCTGAACTTTATGTAGAAATATCTATACTTTAAATAATATACACTTTAAAAGCAAATTTTTTTAGGTGAGCATTTCAGTACCAAATTTGCACTCTTGTTTCATTTTGTATTGTTTATATGTTCAGTTAAGTTCTTGCATGTTTTGGTTATTTAAATGGATTTGCAGTGTTAAGTATCCACATATTCACAATTATTTTGTAAATAAATTAATTTTACAAGACAATCTTTTTTTATAAAAAAAAGTTTGGGTTACTTGTTACAACTTTTTTAAGTGGGTAGGTTGAAAATAGTCTGGCATTTATTAAGTTTTTACAAGATACAAAAAATGTTCTAATCAGCATTGTGCTAAAATCATTAGTGAAGAAAAATGTATTTAAATATTTGGTAAATCAATAAGTTTTTTTTTTGTATTTTTAAGGTGGACACATTTGAGTTTGAAATAGTTGATCTCAATGAGTTGACGTCAGTTTTGCTGAGTCATGATGGACGTGGCCATGGAGCAGGTGTATTTGTTGACAAGGTTGTCGTGAAGGAGAAAGACACGGACAAGTCAAACTTGCAGTATGTGTTCCCATGCGGAAGGTGGTTAGATACACATGAAGATGACTGTGTTACTGAGAGGACATTGAGAATGATAGGTACAAAACTAATAATTCCCATTGTAAGCTGGGTCAAATACTTAAAGGGGATTTCCTATTGTTTTTTGGCAGTGATACATACTGTGAATTAACTTAATTTTGTGGACATGAAATTTCGTAGTTTTGTCACAAAGAACATTTTCTTGGGTACTGTTTATTTTTTCCAAAAGGTACACTAGACTTTTGATTGCACACCATTCATGATTGTCTGATATCATCCTTTTTTATGTGCATCTTTAACCTGCCCTTGGATGAAAACAGTCTAAAGTTGCTGTTTTTTATTAGATTAATAGAATGTGTTGCCAATAGAAATTTGCATTACTATTAATTTCCTGACAGGATATATGGGAGAATATAGCCGTACTGACATAGATTGGCTAGCACCTTGGGTCATATTTATTTTATTTGAGCTGTATTCTCCCATATATCCTGCCAGCATCTTCTATAACCTGTAATATATTATATATATAATTTTGTTTTCAGATGTCATTGATAGCAATCAGCCAGCCCCACAGAAGAAATCCAACAAGTCTGGTAAGTTCTTATTGTTTCTGTCCCAGTTTTTATCACATACAGACTTTGAATTATGTTATTTGATTTATTATATTTGCATAAAAAACAACAAAAGTTTGATATTTGAGAAAATTAATGAAATTTTTCATAATGGTATCTTTCACAATCTTAAATCGGAAAAAGAGACTTCCTGGATATCAATGTTTGGAAGTGTTATCTTTTGAATGAACAAAAAAGATGTTAAACATTTTTTTCAAAGTGTGATTTTTTATACTATAATATTTGCATACAATAATTTAATACACAGGTTTTGTAACTGTAAAACATTGTTTAGAAATTACATTAACATACACACAACTGATATTTTTAAGCATGACATGTGACATTACTAATTTTACCTCTAGCTGGTTCCTGGTCTGTGACAATAAAGACCAGTGATATAGAAAGAGCAGCTACATCAGCCCGGGTCTATCTTACTGTGTATGGAACCAGCGGTCACTCCCAGAAACTCAAGATGACATCACAAGATGGGTCTGCAGAGTGTTTCACAAAAGGAACAGAGTCACAATTTCAGGTAGATTATTTCATGACACACAATTTCAGGTCACTTATTTCATCAAATAATTGATCATTAAACATTTCAGGTAATTTATCTTATTTCACATATAACATTGTCCACCATATAATATATAAAATAAAGGAAGGAGCATCTGCATTCTCATGTAAAAGTTAGAAGATTTCCATTTTTATTTTTAACAGCTAGCTGTACCATAAAACCAAACAAAGCCCATTTATGTACCCAACCTCTTGAGACCATTCCCAGAAATACAAACACTTCGATTCCTTCACAAACCTAAATTCAATATGAATATGCAATCACTAGCCTAAATTTTGACAAGATATTTATAAACTAGTAAGAGAGAATACATGTCTAGGCCCTGTAATAATGGTGTTATATTTTCAGGTTCAGACTGGTAATGTTGGTCGGTTGACAAAGATCCGGTTGGAACACGATAACTCTGGTGCTCATCCGGATATGAGAGTTGATTATGTAAGTGTAGATGTATAATGTGGTATTGAAACAATTATGGAGTCATAAGTCCTAAGTCATTGTCAATGAAAATTATCAGTTAATCAACGAAAAAGGAAAAAAGTTACACTTTTAGTGTTACACATTTAGATAACAAGTTTAGAAATCCATTAAAACAGAATCAGGTGGTTAAAAGGAAGAAAATGATACTGGAAATATATTTTTCTTGACTTGGAAACTTTAAATTTTGGGAGATAATGCCTGTATGTTGAGGTATATCAATCAAGTCTATACATGTACTCTGTAACTAACTTACCTCTATCTAACATCTGCTGTATGAAGAAAAATGTCAATCATCAACAGATGAAGGATGTTGTTAGATTGATTGTACCTAGCCAGATTGTAAAAAGATAATATATTCTGGACCTTGGACTAGGAAGTTCAAATCTCAAGGCTCAAGGCCAAAAAACAGTGCCTACACCTGTGGATAAACAGGACACATTCATTCCATGCCATCATATTATGCTAGAGTATATATAAGCGATTTCGTCAATTCGGGAAAATTGACAATATTTCCGCGTCGCTAACTAAACCACTTATACAGTAAATAAATTTCATATTTGTTACGGGGTAAGGTCTTTGCCATTAAATATGTTATTATTACAACAAATGTAAATTTCATGTCTTTTACAGGTAAAGATGGAGGATGCAGACACTGGTGAAGAGTTGATATTTTATCTGGACCGATGGCTAGCCTTAGATCAGGATGATGGTAATATATTACGAGAAATGCCAGTTATAAGGAAGGGTACACCAAGTTTACCAGGTAACTTATATTTATTAATACCCTCAGTTTTAGATTAGTTTGTATTGCTTTCTACAATAGTTGTAAAAATTGTCTTTATTCAACCAGATGTATATCTTACATTGACAGTTTTAGTGATTTTGGTTGTATTATTTCTACTGTTTAGAATATTCTTTGCATAATGGACTTGCTCTGCTTTAGACTCAGATGTATCCATTAAAAATGATAGGGATGTCAGGATCAAAACACTAAAATTGTGAATCAGACAGTACCAAGATCTGCAGATAGCATTTGGGGTGTTCTGTAAGTTTTACGGCTTGCAATTACAGAAGCTAAGTAGGTCAGAAGTCAGATAAAACTACTTATGAAAGATTCATACCTGTGTCACAGGGTGAGAAAGATGTGCAGCCTGACAGGGAGTCAGACCTGGGACCCTCGGAATACAATTCCACAGCTCTGCCGACTGGGCTATTGGGCCGCTTACGCATCTTTTTCTCCGAATAGTGAACAAGTTTTGAACCATGACACCTGGTATTTTGGATTTTATGTAGATTAAAGTTGTTAGTTAACCCTATCATTGTTAACTTTTTCTTGAGTTTATTAAAACAGTATTTGTTTTGTGTTTTCAGTCCTAAGATATGTTGTTGCCATAACAACAGGAAGTTATAAGGATGCTGGGACAGATTCAGGGAATATAAGCATTAATCTGATTGGTGTAGATGGCGACACTGGCCTACGAGAGCTGAATGGGGCAATCTCTAAGAACAAGTTACCATGGCAACCAGGGCAGACAGATATTTATATTGTTGAAGCAGCCTCAGTTGGCAGGGTGAAGAAAATAGAATTAAACTTGAACAGTGCAGGTCAAGGTAAGGAATGTGTGATATAACATACCTATTTTAATGAAGTATGATTTTTGTATGTGATTAAAAAAGGCCTTATGAAAATGGTCAAATTGAAAGGAAAACACTTACCAGACATTCATTATATGTTTAAATATGATATACATGTACCGGTATATGTAAATTTTACCCAGTTAAATTTCTTTAATTGAATTGACTTAGTATGAATATGGATCAGTTTAAAAGTAGTATAAGGGGTTAAAGTATTAAAATACTGAATTTGAATAGAAAACAGTAGACCCTGATTAGATTGTATGGACTGGCCCAAAGCTGTTGGCATAATGGCAGTAGATAGTTATTACCACAAGCATTTTTATGCCACCGCAGCATCTGCGATGCGGTGGCATATAGCGATTCACCTGTGTGTGTGTGCGTGTGTTTGTGTGTGTGTTTGTGTGTGTGTTATATAGGTTATATAGTGAACTTAAAAAATCTTCTTGTGAAAAACCACGAGTCCAATTTCAACCAAACTTGGCAGGATTGTTCCTTGGGTGAAGGGCTTCCAAAGTTGTTCAAAGAATTTAATTCCATGCAGAAATCTGGTTGCCATGGCAACCAAAAGGAATTAAAAAAATTTAAAAAATCTTCTTGTATAGACCCAAAAGGCCTAGAGCTTAGATATTTTGCATAAGGCATTGTCTGGTAGACCTCTAACAAGATTGTTCAAATTAAAGCCCTGGGGTCAAAATTGGCCCCGCCCCGGGGGTCATTGATTTCACTATGTACATATAGTAAAAACTTAAAATACCTTCTTGTAAAAACCCAAAATGCCTAGAGCTTAGATATTTTGCATAAGGCATCGTCTGGTAGACCTCTACCAAGATTGTTCAAATTATAGCCCTGGGGTCAAAATCAGCCCGCCCCGGGGGTCATTGGTTTTCCTTATATGTATATAGTAAAAACTTAAAAAAAAATTCTTCTAGCAATTGACAAATGCTAGAGGTTAGATATTTTGCATGAAACATTGTGTAGTAAACCTCTAGCAAGATTGTTCAAATTATAGTCCTAGGGTCAAAATTGCCCCCGCCCTTGGGGTCATTGATTTCAATATATACATATAGTAAAAAATAAATAAATCTTATTGTCTGAAGGTACAAGGCTTAGAGCTTTAATATTTGTTAAATAATATCATCTAAAGGTACTCTACAAAAGTTATTCAAATTTTGCCTCTTGTGTCAAAATTAGCCCCGCCCCCGGTGGCCATAGGTTTTCCTTATATATATATAGTAAAAACTTAAAAAATCATCTTCTCTAAATTTACAAAGGCTAGAGTTAAGATATTTTGCATGAAACATTGTGTAGTGAACCTCTTGCAAGATTGTTCAAATTATAGCCCTGGGGTGAAAATTGGTTCCGCCCCGGGGGTCATTGATTTTCATTATGTACATATAGTGAAAAAATAAAAAGTATTTTTGTCTGAAGGTACACGGCATAGAGCTTTGATATCATTTATAGGTCCTCTACCAAAGTTGTTCAAAATTTTCCCCTGGTGTCAAAATTGGCCCTGCCCGGGGGCAGTGATTCTCATTATGTACACATAGTAAAAACAGAAAATAAAACAAATGTTTTCTGAATGGGAGAAAGCTATAGCTTAGATATTTGACTTGAAATGTTGTTTGGTGGACCTGCATCAAAATTGTTTTGAATTAAACCCTTGGGTCAAAATTATGCCTTGCCAAGGGGACAGTGACCTACTTTCTTGTCCTTTGATGTACAGCAATGACATTTTGACCATGTGCACAGTTTTAGTTGTAAAATTGAACTTTGATATCAGGTGACCTAGATTTTGATGATGTGACCTACTTTCTTGTCCTTTGATGTACAGCTATGAAATTTGAACCATGCGGTGGCATAGCATTTTTCTCAAATGCAATCTTGTTTAAAAGTTGAAGTTAAGCAATAACAACCTTACCTTATTGTTGTATTCAGTATCTTCGTTTTTTTAGTCCCCTACCGGTTTACCGGAGGGGACTTTAGGTTTACCCTCCGTCCGTCCGGCTGTCCGTCCGTCAGTCCGTCCACAAAACTGGATCCCGTTATAACGCAAAAAGTACTGAAAATATTTTTATGAAACTTGATATATGGATAGATGGCAGTATGGAGATTATGCACGTCTTTTTCTTTTCTTCCTATGTTGAAAATTCTGGTTGCTATGACAACAAATAGACTGAAAATATGGCAAATTTTACACATAACCTGGATCCAGTGATAGCACAAAAAGTACTGAAAATATTTTTATGAAACTTGATATATTGATAGATGGCAGTATGGAGATTATGCACATTTTTTTCTTTTCTTCCTATATTGAAAATTCTGGTTGCTACGACAACAAATAGACTGAAAATATGGCAAATTTTACACATAACCTGGATCCAGTGATAACGCATAAAGTACTGAAAATATTTTTATGAAACTTGAAATATGAGTAGATGGCAGTCTGGAGATTATGCACATTCTTTTCGTTTCTTCCAATGTTGAAAATTCTGGTTGCTATGGCAACAAATAGACTGAATTTCAAGATTTCTGATTCAAGTTTTAATGTTTTTTCACTATAAGTTCTTTATTTCTTAAGGTATTTTCTTCAAACTTTAAATATAAGTTTCTAGTCATCAACCACATCAAATGTGACAAGGTTTTCAACTCTAGCATAAAATTTATCAGAATTTCCTCCCTTGAACTTAGAATTTTCATGAAAAAAATATTGTTTTTTTTTAAAACTTCCTTTTTTGTGAATGTATCTACTTCAAACTTCATATCTATGTTTCTTATTATCATTCAACATTTGTGAAAAAGTTCAATACTCTAGCAAGACTATTTCCAGAATTATCCCCCTTTTGAACTTAGACTTTTTTTCGAGAAATTGGTAATTTTTACTCCCAACTTTTTCAATCATTATAGGATTTTCTTCAAACTCCCACACCATAATAATATGACAAGGTTTATAAATCTAGCATCCATATTTCCAGAATTATCTCCTCCTTAAACTTTGAATTTTTTCTCATTCATTCTTTTCACTTTCTTTAAAAACATTCATTATCAACACCCCATTACTAATTGTTCTTTGTTACACTCACATCATGTATGACATCTTGCATCTTTATTTCAAGAGTTATCTCCTCTTTAAGAATTTGCTTTTAAAAATGATATATTTTGATAACGGATGTTTAAAGAAATAACTTTAGAGTGTCCTTCAGTCTGTCTGTTTGTCTGTACGTAAAAACTGTTTCCTGTGATCACTTTTAAAAGACTTTTTCAACAAATTAGAAACATAAGTGATTGGCCCTTCAGAATGTTGCTGGGGTTTTAACCGGTAGGGGACTTATGGATTGCTTGCAATACTATGATAATTGCTTGTTTAACATTGTTTTTATATAATTATTTGTAGCGTCCATTTCTGAGACTCAAATTTCAAATATAGAATGGGGAGGCCATCTTATTAAAAAGATTTCTACAGAAAAAAACTTATTGAAAAATTAAAAAAAAATTCTATCTTGTGATTACATCATGTTATGTACCTTCACTTTTGCTTTCATCGGCAGACATTTGTTATTATTGCAGATAGATGGTATGTTCAGCAAGTTAGTATAGCGGAGGGGACGAGGGCAGACTCACAGTTTGTTGTCTATTGTCACCAGTGGATACTGACAAGTGACTCTCAAGTCTCTGAGTTCCCGGTTGCAGGTAAGATTTTTGTATGGATGTTGCTTTTTCTAAGGTCAAACCAACAATGTTGAGGTCATATGGGGATTCCAGCTATTAACTGAAGAAAATGGCCTGATAAACATATTCATACAGTGATTGAAACATAGACTGGTGCTTATGATCAGAAACCTAACTCAATAGTTCTTCTACTTGGACTGGATAAAATTAAGTTTTATATACCAGTCCTGTATGGTTTGGTTGCTCAGTGCATTTATGGGCTATATCCTGGAATAAACCAAGGGGTCTTAAACCAAGAGTAAATTTAAGTTAAGTTTCATTCTGTTTTCTTTAGTTTATTATATACAAGTTTTACTTTTCAAGAGGGGTCTAAATCATGAGATTGCCAATTTGCGATAACTTTTGATGTTTTCAAATCATAAAGCTTCATTATATTGTTTATATACATTGTTTCTCCAGAAATCCAGCCATCAACAAACCTAGTAGAGACATTAGAATCCATACCAAAAGGATTTGAGAAACCAGTCCGTAGTAAAGGAAAGTGGACAGTCTATGTTCAGACTGGTACCCAGAATGATTCTGGTACCAAAGAAAAAGTGTGTCTGGTTCTCTGTGGATTAAAGGAAGAGTCGGAAGCAGTCTGTGTCAATTCAAAGGAAGACTTGAATCCAGGATCTCTAGTCAAGTTTGAGGTTAGTATATATTAGATGAATGATGATTAGGATACATTATACAATGTATAAACTTAGTTTTAAAGTTGATTAGTTTTAAAATTAATTGAATTAAATGAGTGATGTGGTTGTAAGTTAAAGAAAAAAATCTACCTTGAACTCACATTTACTATACTGTAAGGTGGTGTCTAATATTCAGTCTAACTGATAATGATTGTCAAAAGATGATGTAATTAATACATTTACAAATCTTGATTCAATCTCTGTATTTTTTAATTCATAATCCTTCATTGAAAAAATTGTAATTGTGCATATTGTAAAAGAAACTAGATATTGTTAATAACTGTTATCATATATTCACTAAAGGTTAACCCTTTAAAATATTTTGCTTTTGTTTTTCAAGGCTAAAGTTGGAGACATTGGTTTGTTATTCAAAATCAGAGTGTATTTCCAAGACAAACATCAGGGGTCATCTTGGTTCTTAGCTAAGGTAAAAGTGTATACATTTTTAGCTCGACTTTTCTATGAAAAGGGGAGCTATCCTACTCGCCCCGGCGTCGGCGTCGGCGTCGGCGTTGGCGTCGGCGTTGGCGTCACACCTTGGTTAAGTTTTTCGTACCACCCCACTTTATTTCAGAAGTATTACAAGTATGGCTTTGAAACTTACCATACTTGTTCACCATCATAACCTCCATCTACAGACAAGAGTACATAACTCTGTCAAGGTTTTTGACAGAATTATGGCCCTTTTTTGACTTAGAAAGTGTATTGAACTTGGTTAAGTTTTTTGTACCACCTCACTTTATTTCAAAACCATTGGAGGTATTGCTTTGAAACTGACCATACTTGTTTACCATCACGACCTTCATCAACAGACAAGAGGACATAACTCTGTCAAGGTTTTTGACAGAATTATGCCCCTTTTTGACTTAGAAAATACATTGAATATGGGTAAAATCCACTTATTGCCTTAACCCTTTGAGATATTGCTTTGAAACTTTTAATGCTATTTCACATCATTACCCCCATCTGTACGCAAGAGAAGGAAACTCTGTCAAGGATTTGTTTTAAAAATTAAGGCCTTTTATCGACTTAGAATCTTGGTTAAGTTTTTAGTACCAGTCCACTTTTTGACTGAACTGTTTGAGATATTAATTTGAAAGTTGGAATACTTGTTTACAATCATGATTCCCAAACATGTCCAGGAGAAGGTAATTCTGTCAAAGATTTTATTTGAATTATGGCCCTTAACTGTCAATGTTTTGTATTATAGGCAAGCACTAAAAAACTTAAAAAATCTAAAAAAATTCATTCCTATCCACTTGTTCACTTTACCATAAATTATGTCATATAAACATTGCTGTAATATTCAAGGGTATCAAACAACTAGTTTTTTTTTCTTTCTTACCAGCCCTCTTTTGACTTAAACATTTCAAACTTTGCTGCAGTGTTCAAGGGTATCACACAATTCAGTAAAATAATTCTTCACTAAATATCTTAATGCTCATGGCCATTGTTCACTTTAAAAATACAGAGATTCTTGTATTGCCTTTTACTGCAAAAACTTTTTTTATTGGCAAGCAATAAAAAAGTCGAGCGCGCTGTCTTACGGACAGCTCTTGTTTATACCAGTCATGCCTTAAATCTATTAAAGTCATTTATATTCTGTAAGTTTTAAAGAAAAACATAAAAAGAACACTAAATATTTACTTTAAACGATGATGTTTTCTTAGATTTGAGTTTAACATTAATATATGGTTGATAATTACACATACATTGCAAAAACAGTGTTTATATTCAATTGATGATATGTTATATTTAAAAAAAAAAGATAGATATCCAATTCTTTCTTTTTAGGTGGTGCCTTTGCTTTTTGTATAGTTGCCATATTTTGTTTTCAAAAATGAAGTAAATTGTATATCACATTTAATTTTCTTGTTGCTTTCATTTGAAGATGAAATTGAAAGACCATGAGACAGGGGAGGAGTTTATTTTGGAGCATAATGATTGGATAGAATCAACCAATGAAAACCCAGAAGGTGCTCTAGAACTACCTCTTTCACGCCCAGATCTTCAGCCATTAAAAGGTAACATTTTACGAGAGTGTAAAGAGAATGATCACTGTGGTCTGTGAATTGGGCAACCCAAGATCAATTCCTGTACAGTGCAGGTCACTTTCATTATGATTGATCATGAAATTCTTTATACAATCATTAACACTGTACCTCTATATTGGCATGTACAGAAGGTATGAGTTTTTTGCGAAAAAGAAGGCAATTAGTACTGGTAAACAGCCTGCCCAGGAATGATGCGGTGGCTGAACTGTGCTCTGGTAAATTCAATGTGGCTTACTGCCATGATCTGAAGTGTAACTACCAACACCACCACTGTGGTCCAGTGGCAACAATGTCCAAGTACAAATCAAGGGGTGCCTGTTTGAGCCTCACCTAATTAATTCAACTGGTGGAAAATATACATAATGAAATTTAAAGAATTTTTAATAATTCCTCTTCGAATTATATTTTGAATAACTTACTTTGATTTCAATGTTTACTTGCCATTAATGATATAATCACTTATACAGTTAGTCCCATTTAACAGCTTACATTATGTTAAAAAAGGGTTTTGTTCCAAATTATTGTCTTCAAAATTTTTCTAGAAATGCTTTGTTCTTTTTCCAAGTAGTTATTATAAGTAAATTGCATTTACATGTAATTGTAAGGTATACAAGGAATGACTTGGAATCATTTAGTCATAAGTTCATCAGTAGAATAAAAGGCGCTGATAATTTTAAAACATGAAAAGTTGTTGGTTTTCTTTCAGAACAAATCTATATCATAACTGTGAAGACTGGGTTTTTGCCTCGAGCTGAGACTGAGGCTAATATATTCTGTAATTTGATTGGTCAGTGGGGATGCTCAGGTCAAAGGTCACTGTCAGCGTCAAGTAACAAAGAGGCCTTCAGAGCTGGTCAGGTAAACATTACAATTCATCATATTTTAGTACGGAATATTTGTTTTTTTAATTCTTCCATTTTGAAGTAACCTTAGAATTATAAAGTGTCCACATGTAAACTTTATTAATCTTGTTGACTGCTAAAAAAGTGTTTGATAATTTTTTATACATAGGGAAAAAGTAGTGTGTTCACTTCAAATTACACTTTTAATTTTAGGAAGACACATTTACACTGACCTGTATTGAGCTTGGAAATCTACAAAAGGTCATCATAGGTCATGACTGTGTAGGGAGAGGTCAAGGTTGGTATTGTGAGTATGTCAATGTCAAGGTCGCTGAAGAAAGTGAGACTGTGTTCCCATGCAATAGGTGTGTGTTTATATATCATTTCTTCCTATATTTAAATATAGCCTTTCCCATTTCATTTAAATATTAATATTTATATGTCCATGTATATAAATACACTTATCCATGTATCTAAACACACTTATACTCTTCCTGCAAAACTATATTAAAATGTTAGTGTAAACATCCATTCTGGTAATAATTTTTCTTTTTCAAAATTGTCTTAATTTTTGTCAGTAAAAGAAATTTTTTAGTATTTAATTTCTAAATGTGCATTTTCTTATTTTTTCATAGATTTTTTACCTTTCTTGCAAAAGTACAAAGAAATGATTTATAAATGATACTTTATGTTTGTCAGATGGTTAGATACTGGTTGTAATGATAGAAAGCTGACAGCAGAGTTACTGCCCCTGAGCAAGTTACCCCTCACTGCAACAGTGCCGACCAGATATACCCAATCAGGTAGAATTGACACTTCATTTTTTATTGTCTAGAAATTTGTTTCTCAGCTGCACCCTTGTCAAAATATAAAATACAAGGTATATTTCCTGTTGAACCAACCTTAAAAAAGTTCCTGATTTATAAATACAAATCTGAACTCAGTGCAAATGCTCAAAATAATTATTTATTATCAGATTTGAACAAAAATATATCTCTTGTTTTCAATGTGGTTGGTTGTAACGGAAGTAAGGTTTTCTATAAATAAAGGAGAAAATAGTCTTTGATCTAAGAAAAAGGCTCCTTACAATGAGTTTTAATAAGTATATTTTATACTATAGACGGTGAATGGAATATTCATGTAACAACTGCGGGTCTGGACCGTCTGCCGATGCTGAAACCGGGTACACAGGCTGGTGAGGTTTCTATCGTAGTGTATGGGACCGAGTCAGTGAAAGGTCCTATACAGCTTGTGCATGAAGATCCAGATAGTCCCATCACTCTGGTAGCACCAGGAAAAACACAACACTTTTATGTATGTATTCTTATTCTCTCTTCCACAAATCTAAACTTTTCTTGTATGATTTAACTTTCTAGCTATTTAGATTGAGAAATTCAGCTATCCAGGTAACTTACGTAAGTCAATTGGTTGTTTTTACCTGATAAAATGAATAGCTGGCTCCTGAGAACATTATCCACAATTAAAGCTTGGCAATCACTTTTTGACACCAGTAGTAAAATATATTGATGAATTAACTCTATAAAATATTTAGAAATTTTGGAAAATGTTTAAATACAAATAAGTTAAAGACTTAATTGTGTTAAACTAGATCATTACCTGAATTCAGATATTGAGATAGTAATATTATATTGAGGTATTTTATGTCTGTTCATTTTGTCTGTTTTTTGTCTGTTCATGTCTAAAGTGTAAGTGATGCATATTGAGCGGTGGCCTAGTGGTTAAGGTGTCTGCCTCTCAACCCAGAGATCATGGGTTCCAGCCCTACTATGGTCACGACCATGTTTCTTCATATGACACCAGTACTGCTTGGTTCCAGGAAGAAGACTCGAAAGTGATTAATATAAGTTGCAAGAACTTGTTTCTCAATCGAGCTTAAATAAATATGTTGAAACCAATATTATGAGTAATGCATAATATTGTATGGGTATATGTTTATTCCGGAGCTTTATTAACATATTTAAAACTATAATGGAGATTTAATTTATATTTATTTTGAGTGTATTTGATTAAAATTAGTATCTTCTTAAATGTTTATATTTTAAATATTTTTTTCTTTTGCAGGATTACGAGTTCAAAGACCTTGGTGAAATAGAGAAAATTAGAGTGTCGTCTGGTTATGAAGGTGATACTGAGGCTATCTGGACAATAGAAAAGGTCATTGTCATAGTAACATTTTAAAGATCAGGGTCACCGTAGCTAAAAATAGAAAAAATAGAAACTCGTTAAGAAATGCAGAAATTGTATTACCTAAGATATTTCATTTTAATAAAACTGCATTCAAAAGAAACCAAGAAGTCTGGACTTCATATTAAATTTGTTATTAAGGTCAAGGTCATGGGCATTATTTCTAAATACAGATCTCATCTATGATGTGAATTGATTTTTAAGCCAAACTTAATGATTTATTATTGATAAATAAGATAAATAATTTATGATAATTATGTATTGTTGTTTTTTGTTATGATCAAATGTTAGAAAATGATGATTAGCATTATGGATTGAATGATTCTAGAGATGTTAAATTCTGTCACAGTTTTAAGGAATAAATCACAAAGTATTTCATATCAATACTTCTATGTAGATATTGAACATTATAAGAAAAAGTATCATATATATATATATACTGTCAGTGAAAATTGTACATTTTGAATTTGTTTACAGATTGTCCTTGAAGAGCATAGTTCACATGAGTCGTTGACCTTTAATTTTGGAGCATGGGTCGGTGAAGTTGGAGGGGATATACGCAAAGAAATGCCACTGGTGAAACCAGATAAATCTAATCGGGAAAGTAAGTTACAAAGTTCCTTTTAAACAGGTTTAATTTTAATGTATATGATTGATTTTACTTGAATGGCCTTGTGCTCCCTGGCCGTATTGAAAAAAATGGTTGATTTTGTATCTTTTGCCCTTTACTGATGTGTGTTTGTTGACATTGAGTTCTCATAACCTTTCTTACGAGCTGAAGAATGATTGTTTTACCTATATTCCCACCTGTACCTGAAATAAGTGCTCTACCATCAACTTTACTTTTGAAACCTGAAAAGTCATTTTAATGTCTTAAAACCAAAGGAAAATTCCTCAATGCTTTTTGCCAAAACATAATAAAAAAAGATAGTTACTATTTTCCATAAAAATCAGTTTTCAACTATTTGTAAAAAAAAAAAAAAAATAGATATTATGCTATATTGATGTTATATTATTGCTCAACTTACAGTCGTGAAGTATTACATTGAAGTCTATACAAGCGAAGAAGAAATGAATGCATCAACAAATGCCAATGTTTTCGTCACTTTGTATGGATATAACTCCGATTCAGGAAGACGGCATCTCATGCATAGTAAAAATACAGATAAAAGATTCCAGACCGGACAGGTTTGTTCTATACTTATAATTCATTTTCATATGAAATTTAGTTTAGCTGATACAAATTCAAAAGTATTCTCATAATAACCATATTCAAGTATTTTTGTGGTTTGAAAATGAAATGATAAAAAACAGTTTTTAGATTTTAAACAAAATTCATTCGCTCATTTTATATGATAATTTGGTTATCCAAAAGAGTAACTGTATGTTTGGTTATAAGATTTTATGATTGTATTCTAGATTTTAAATGATAAGTTACAGTTTTTTTGTTTTTTTTGTCATCTTAATGTATTTGTTGTGTTGTATTTTTTTAAAGAATGCCCAAATTGTAGTAATGCACAAGGTAAAGGCAATATGCAAATAGATTTGCACTCAATAGAGGACAGGGCCTGCATTCATTGGTTCCACATTTTTCTATCTATATGGTAAATTTAAGTGTCAATATTGTGTTTTAGGTCGCATGTTTAACAAAAACTTGTTAGTGCTATATGTTTGCTGGCAAGATCCAGTTTTACCTACGGTACCTTAGCAGTATGCCAGAGGGTTGCACTTAAGTCTAAAATTATGTCTTAAGACCAAAACTGAAACAATTTTCCTTTCAATAAAAATGTCAAAGCTTCTGACTCTTATGTCAAGACTTCAATTTCTGAATAGTGCAGATAAATATTTACACATTGCTGATTGAGGCGGGTTCCATTGTATTTTGTAACTTTTCTAAGGAGAATGAATTAAAACAAAAGTCGAAAACTTTTACTAATGATGAAAATATTTATTGAAACAGTCTTAAGTTAGTCCTATAGTTTGGTATAAGTCCTAGGACTTAGGATACACTTAGGACTTTCTGAAATACAGCCCAGTTGTTGTCTTCTCTATTCTTATCTCATTACGCCTCTAAAGTTGTGGAACCAGTGACCTCAGGTCATAGAAAAGACACTTTTGCTTTAAATTTAAATACCCCTGATTTATTAAAACCCTGGCACTGATGAACCTTATAGATGATGTAGGTGTTAATTTCATAATTTGACCTTAATATGACCTTACAGACTCAGTTCTCAGAGGTAATGTATATAGTTTTAATGCACTACAGAATCCTTTGGTGTGAGTTTCATTAACAAAAGTTTCCTCTTTACTCTTCCAAACTTACCATTTTTCAGATATATACAGTCATTTGTATAATAACAAGATTTTTACAATTAAAAATTTAGTCTCTTTAAGGGTCTATGCTTACAATAAGAGTTAAATTGTAATGGTATATGTGTTTGTCTTAGAACTTTACAGACACAGAAAAAGTAATGAACAAAAACACAAAAAATACTAATTGTAAATTTTTATATATTTGAAGTATTGATTTTCAGGGTCCTGACAGTGATTGTTCTTTTGCTAAGATTTTCATAGCAATTTTTTTTTCAAGATACTTTTAAAGAACTGTTTGTTGTTGTTTTTATCACTGGTCTCTATCATTCTAGCACATAGAATTTGTTGTTGTTTATTTTGAGAGGAAAATATCACCTTAGAAGTGTGAATAAGTCAGTTTAAACCAATCAATTCAAGATGTTTGTATTAATCATGACCGATTTTAGGATATTGATTTTAGTCATGGCCTCTATAGCATTATGTTTGTTTTAGTCATGGATTATTGTATGGTGTTTATCTTAGTCATGGGTTATTGTAGGATATTTATCTTAGTCATAGACTATAGAAGAAATTTATCTTAGTCATGGACTGTGTTATGATTTTTATCTTAGTCATGGACTATTATATGATGTTAAACTTAGTCATGAACTTTTATAGGTTGAATGTTTAACCCAGTCATGAACTTTTATAGGTTGATTATCATGGACTATTTTAGTACTTTTGTGGTACCAGTATGTGTAGCTTAGTCATGGAATTTTGTTAAATGTTTGTCTGTGTATGGACTCTTGTATGATATTTATTTTATTCATGGAATATTGTAGGATGATTGTCTTAGTAAGGGACCATTATAAGATGTTTATCTTAGTCATGGTGGACTATTGTAGATCATGTTTAAATTAGTCATGGATTATTGTAGAATGTTTATCTCAGTCATGGCAAATTGCAAAATATTTCTGGAATTATGGTAGGCTTGTAAGTATGTCATGTGTTATAGCTGGAACAAAGGTCAAGGTTACATAGAGATCAAAATTCCAAGCACAGAGTCTTTTTGTGTTTGATGGATAAGAATGTCATTCCTTAATTGATTTTGAATTAACTTTGCACAAATATTCACTTTTTATAATTCTAACACAAATTTTATTTCCAGGTATAATATTAGGTAGTATTTATAACCTTAAGTGATAGATTGAAATAGTTAATACATTTGTACAGTTAAATGGCTCACCTTTCCAAAAATAATAAACGATTTCTTTAATTTTATTTTTCAGTACAGGGATAAGGTTGAGTTAAATTTCAATGCTAGTTCAAAAAATTGAATAACTTTAAGTTATCCTTGATAAATTAAACATTTGTCAATCAAACCTGGGTTAAAGAAAGTTCTGGAAAATGTGAAGGCCACTGTGGTATTATTTATGAAGATTTTTAACAGGATATATGACCGATCATCCGGTAAAAACAGTTGTAAGTTGATAAAACTTGATCTCTTAGTAAACAACCATGTGCATGTATTTATAAATGGCCATGTATAACCTGTTGAAAATCTTTATTTCACTTGTTAATACTTCACAATTAGCATAAAAATATTAAGTAATGAATTTCTTTACGAAACTGTTCCTTGAAAATTAATGTTACAAAATTGCAGCGTTATAATTGCCAATTGAGACAATTGGAACAAAATTATTTTTAAAGGCCACCTGTTGACAAAGATCACATTTTCCAATTCCAAAAACTTGTCTTTTATGGCAGGTTTGACCGTAGTTTATTTGCTAAGTTGTATATATTTAGATAAAAGTTATTGATATGATGATAGAGTTTAAGATGCTCAGATCAATGCAGCATTACATACCAGTTAATAGACTTACTCCAGAATTAAGTAGGTTTTGTTTGTTGTCCCCTAATCCAGGGGTACAAACAAACTTTTACGGTTACAGCTTCAAAGTAAGCGCAACAGGTTGTGTTTTGTGACCAGTAGTGCACAGTGAAGCTATAATGGTCAAAATTTGTTTGTAAGGGGGGGGGGGGGAGGGTGTTGGACAAGCTTGGAAGAACCCACATATGTAGAATTCAGATAACATCTATTGTAATCAAAGGCCCAGGGCAGTATAGGGAATAGTGGGGGAAATGAGCCGATTTTCTTTACATTCTGTCTATCATTGCACTTGTTACAAGTCACAGTAGCAGGAAATATTTCCAACTTTCATTGTGGGGCCATTTAATTGTGATTTTACCATATTCTGACCCCTCAAGTGTGGGTTGTTGTTTTTTGAAAGGGTCAAAATCGAAATGGTCAAAGTCCCCACTATTCCCGGGGGGATAGGGGCTGGGGTAACAATAAACGGCTGCTTTTGATGTACATTGTGCTTGCTTTCTTTAATTTGTCAATCGAGGTGTCACAGGTGTTCTTTCAATTTAATAGATTTTTATATAGAACAGATTCCTTTAAATGAATGGTTAACGTGACTATTCTTATACAGACAATTTGTGAAAATAAATAGGGGCTATTTCATCATATTAGATTTTACTGAAGGGAAAACTTTTAAATTACAAAATGATTTCCTAGGCTGCAGTTTGCTTTTGATAGAATAAGTGTGCCAGAGTTTTGCAGTGTTTTGTGTTAATTTGAAGAAAGATATTTGTTCTTTACAGACTTTTGCTTATAAATCAGCTGAACCCTTCTTGTGCCACCAAACTCCCCTTCATGATTTATTTACATGTACTTGTTGAATTTAATGTGCTTTTTTTTCAGTTTCTTATTAATTGTTACCTTGCGAGCGTTTCACTAAGATTTCTTAAGTTTTGCTTATCTTTTTTACGTAAATTTGGACTTACGCAAAATGTAAATTTACGTTAGTTGCGTTTCACTAAACAGAATGTGCAATTTACGCCAGTAATAAGTGAGCATATCACAAAACTTATGCAAATGCATAGCTAAGAAAGTTTAGTGAAATGCAAATAAATATGTAAGTTCTGCTTACGCAAAAAGTTACGTTCAAACTCGAGTTATGATAAAGTAAGTACATTAGTGAAACGCACCCCTGATGTTAAATATCTTACATAGACTTGTTCATCTTTCAATCTAGACTAAACCATTGATCATTGTTTTGAAAAATTTCAAAATAATTACTGACCGAATAGTTAACAATGCAGGCCATGATAAAACTACACGGATGTGCCAGCTGATCTTGGTCTGTATCAGTTGCGTCAAAACATTTTATAGTTTCGAACGATAAAATGATTCATTTAAATTGAATAGAAATTAATTTATTTAAATTAATAGGAAAATATAGAAGATACGTTGATATTGTTTATACATGTATTGTTGACAGCTCTATAAATCGTATATAAGATCCAAGACCTTTCATAAACAAAACATAACACATATATTTATGTCTAATATCTAGTATTCCTTTTAAAATGACTGACACAAGTAGCTATATAAGTGGTTAAGATATGATATACATATCAGTATTCAAAACGGTATTGTAGTGTTTCAATTATTTAGCAACTAATATTATTTGTCCACCTTTACTGACCTTCAAAATATACTTACAATTCAATACAAACTAATGTTATATTTATAGTGACAAATGCAAGGTTATTTACAGTTATACATGTACGTTTCAGGCTGTTTTATGGTGACAACTTTAAGACTGTTTAAGTTTAGATCTCTGAAACTCTTGAAAATAATTAACAGACAAAAGGGCACTTGACCCTATTTGGATGTGAGGTGCTTGTTTAAGATATGTTTTGATTTAAAATGGGACTGGATGCAGCAGTCAGAGTGTTATAATTATAAGAAACAATACATGTATATTAGAATTAAGGATTTTGTGGAACATGATCCAATATCACTATGCATTGTCCAGTTATTGCAATGGTGTGCTGTTGCCCTGACTGATTCTTCACTTACATGTATTTGCTGTTACAAAGTGTTGCTTTGAAGCAACAAGCATGTTTTTTCAAGAGTAGGAGTACATATTAGAGATTTTACAGGTTTGTATGTATTATGTTTAGGCTTTAGAAAACATGACCCAAATATTTATTTTTTTTAAATTAAGTTAGTGATAACATAGATAGTGCCAATTTCTTACAAATTTATGTATAATATATATTTATATTAAGATCTATTTTAAACTTGCCAGGTTGACAAGTTTGAAGTAGAGGCTGTTGACCTTGGTGACCTTGAGAAAATAGTGGTTGCTAAGGGACCAGGGAAGCCATGGTTACTGGAGAAAATAGTGGTGAAGAAAGGACAGTTTGCATCAGAAGAACATGTTTTCATGTTTCAAGAGTAATTTCTTTTGTTTTCTCTTATTAAAATGCTTTTTTTTAAAAATTATTTAAGTAATTTAGAAGGAAAAAGGTGCTTTACTGAAATTATTATGATATTATAAAATTTCAGCTATACTTTTTGAAGAATATGATTAATAATATACTGCATGTACTCACTTTTGTATCCATATATATCTTGTTTAATGTATGGCTTGCATTTCTATACCTCTGAACTAAAAAAACTTCTGCTTTGCTCTTGTTTTACCATCAAGCACTGATATAAGTTGAGCATCCTGTCCATTTGACAGCTCTTGTTTTAAGTATTTTTGTAAAGGAGTAATGTTATTGGTGAGTTCCCTATCTTGATTCTGAGGTATACAGGAGTAGTATCTCTGTTTTTTTTAAACCACACCATTATGAATGGTAGCTTTCCTGCTTGTGACTGTTGGGTTGCCTTTAAAGATTGAGGCATAAGAAATGCAGTCACCATTTATCTCTACATGATCATAAGAGGCGGCTAAATGGGTAGGAATAACTGGAGTCTCTGCATCTCACAGCTCCAGGAGGTGAAGTGGTTTTTACCCCTGGTGTTGCTTTGAAGTAACACCCGAAGTTGACCAAAATATCTTTCCTGTTTCAGCGCCATATGACCTGTACTGTCTTGGTGCACCATAAAACTAAACAAACCAGCTAGGTTATGGAAGGTTAGTGGTTCCACCCAGGTACAACGTTGATGCTTGAAATAATGCATTGAAAAAGCACCTTACGATTTCCTCCAGTTGGAAATTGGTCATATGACATTTGCAGTGTTGATGTTACTTGAAATCCATCAAAATCATATGACCCCATTAAGGGTTATAAAAAACATAAACTGCAGAGTGTTAAGTATGGTATTTGAGTTTTTTTCTACACAATACCTAAAGGAGATATGTTAGTATAAAGGTTATACTTTTATTACAGTTGGATAGGTGATAAATCCAGACAACAAGAGGAGATAGAAGAAACACTGAAACCTACCGCGGTTATACCCAGCCAGGTAGCAATACCTCTCACTGATGCACCAGACCTGGAACCATCACGTAAGTTAATGATGACTAAAATACATGTTTACACTCATGAAAATGCGACTAAAAAACCAATAACATTGGTCCTGACAGTATCTCCATGGGCTTCTTAATTTCTATGCCTGAGTGGTAAAAAGTGCTGACTACAAATTTAGTTATTTCTTTCTCCATTTTGTTCATTGTTCAACACAGATAATGAATGTGTGTATTTGTTGAAGCCGTTTAGGTATTTTATATAATGAACAGAACAGAAGATTGCATTATTTAATTTAGAACTTAGAGGAAGCTATCCAGCTAGCTTACAAAACGTCGGTGGTTCTACTCAGGTACCCGTTTGTACCTGAAATAATACATGGAAGGGCACCTGAGGTCTTCCTCCACCAGTAAAGCTGGAACGTCGCCAAATGACCTGTACTGTATCAGTGTGATGTAAATCCCAAGAAACAAAACAAACAAATTTAGAACTTGCAACATTTATACAAGGTCATAGATTCTGCTCTTGTGCTATTAAAATGAAATATGAAGGTCATCTCAAACCTTTGCAAGTTGTTTTTCATCTATTTAACCAGACATTTAATTAAATTAATATTGAATTGCTTTAAACAGCAATTTAATATTTCAAAACTTGTGATTATAATACCATTGCAAATCAATGTATTCCGGTTATATGCATGATTGTTTTTCCTTTATAGCATAAAATTGTCATTCAGTCTTTCAATTATTCATTTGTATTGTATGTTTGCATTCTCATTGGTTATTGTTTATGGCAGATGGTTCCTGGCTGATAGAGAGTGTAACTGGTGGACGACGGGGACCAGACGGACCCCTGGATCTAGTGGTTGTGTTCTGTGGACAGAATGCTGAGAGTAAACCCCTACCTCTACAGTCGAATAAAGAAAACCCGTTCCAGATTGGACTGACTGATAATTTTAAGGTTGAATTTCTGTGATATATCAATCATTTTTTGCCTTTTGTCACTTCACTTGTGGTTTAAATGAGCTCCATTGAGGTCAGAAAAGGCTAAAAGCATAAAATTTGAAATTCTTGCATAGATGAAGTGATGCACTAAAAATGAAAATATCGGCAAAAGATAAAAAAGAAAAATTATTCTATGGAGACAAAGTGAGGAAATAATTTGATAATTTTCACTTAAGTTATTAGTCCAACATCAAATGAAACACAAGTCTGGAAAAAAAAATACAATTCCTTCATGTGAAAAAACCTCAATGGAGTTGTATTAAAATAAAAACATATATCAGTATCTATTGTCCCTTTAAGTATTGTTCAGTATAAAGTTATATTAACCTTTTTTACTGAAAAGCATGTAATAAACTGATTTATATGATTTCTATGATTTTATAATGAACAGGTACAATACACAGAGAAGATCGGGGAGTTGAGAAAAGTGAGGCTAGGTTTCATAGATCAGTCCATTGTTAAGGCATGGTATGTTAGAAAGGTGCGTGATTTTCTGATTTCTCCACGATATTAGTTTTGTTTTAGTAAAGTTGAATTTCCTACACTTTTAAAAGATTTAACCCTTTCACTGCCATAGGGACGGCATATGCCGTCCATATTATTTTCGGCGTATTTGCCATATGGATGGCTTTTGCCATTTCTATAATAATAATAATTATTATAATAATTATAATTTTATTATAACACTCATAACAAATAATAATAAAAATATAATTTAATAATATAGTAATTTCTTAGAAAGCCTTCTAGCAAATAGGTGATCAATAAATAAATAACCCTCTGGCAGCGAAAGGGTTAAAATAACATTTTACCATATTATTTGCTATAATATATGAAACTATATCAAGTCTTGGAAAACAAATTTATACAGTTTTGAGCTGAGGACAGTTTTAAAATTTTATTTAAAAAATGCAACATGTGCTTTTGAGATGCCATTTATGATCTTTGTTTAGAATTTACTTCATTTGATATCCTCTTAGTTTATACATGTTTATCAGAATGATTTGTTGAATATATGAAGCAATGTGTAGCTGGAGGTTTCACATGCATACAAATATTTTATTAATAGGATGGAGAAGAAAAGCTTGAGAAACGAACAATATTTCTCAAAGTTTTGTTTCTATTAGAATAATTCCATAATATATTGGGAAAAAACATGTTCTGAGGGATAGTTGAGGTTTTTCTCCCTAGTAAATGAATGCGGAGAGTTGCCATTTATTATATGGCATTTTACAGTATTATTGTGACAAAAATATTGAGAAATTAACAAAACACTACTGCATGTTTTATATCAGATGACATTTGAAGACTCGGACACACATGACATGTTTTGGGTGGAGCTTAATGACTGGGTGGCTATAGACCAGAAACTGGATGGTTGGAAAGAGTTCCCAGTTCCCTGGCCAGCAGTACAGTTATCAACTGGTAAGTACACATCTCCTCTGATTCTCTTGTTAAGGTTCAGTTTTTGTAGTAATATACAGTCAGACATGTTTTGAAGACCACTAGTAATCTGTGTCTGCAATTTGTGTCTAAAAATCACTACTACAATATATGCATAACATTTAATGTTTATTATTGGAAATGTCTGAATGAACCTCTTCTGGAGGGGCATTCGTGGCCGAGTGGTTAAGGTTGTGGACTTCAATCCACTTGCCCCTCACAGCTGTGGGATCAAATCCCGATAGGGTCTTTGGATTCTTCATGTGATGAACCTTACCAGCTAGCTTACGGAACGTTGGTGGTTCTACACAGGTGCCCGTTTATGCCTGAAATAATGCATGGAAGGCACCTGAGGTCTTCCTCTACCAGTAAAGCTGGAATGTTGCCATATGACCTAAAAAAAAAGGTACATTACTGTATGATTCCTTTAAAAGTGCTTGAACATCTTCACAATTTTGTATACTGTGATGAATTGTTTACATTTGTTTATGTTGTATATATAACTACATGTACAAATATAATTTAAGTAGGCAACAAGTCATGTATATATGAGGTTAGTTTTAGTTTATATACATGTATATAAAGATGATAACATTGATTGACATTGAGACCTTTAATTACACTTTAATAATTATATAATGTAGACTATGCAAAAGTTTCATTGTTTCTTTGAGATAACTGTCTTTTTTAATCGTTTTACAGTTATTGTGTACTTGATAACAGTACAACTGAGTCAAGTGAACCCAGATTCTGCTGGTAATGAGGTATATATATACATGTATGGTGACCAAGGTGGTACAGGAAAGAGGTTACTCAAACAATCTACAACAAACACAGAGAAGTTCAAACAAAGCCAGGTAAGTTCACTAGAGCAATACAGTACTAACATACACACTTCTAAACCACCTGTGTTTTAATGGAGTCTTATGTAAAACATAATATCCATACTTATTTTTATGACACAGTATTGACACAGTACCATTACCTGGCACAATTTACAAAACATCCATGAATAAACAAAAAATTTTAAGACAGAAAATTTATCAAACAGTGGTAATTAAGAAGTGTGTACCAGTATAGATATGTCCTTTTAATCGCTTCTGCATAACACTCATTAGTCTTAAAAGTAACAAGTAAATATAACACACATTCAGAATTTATGGGTTCATGTTGCATGTACATTGCATTTTTAAATTTCATGTATAAGATAAGGCACATTAAAAGTTTAGGGTATAAATTATTTTGAATTTTCATGTAAAATATAAGGCACATTTAATACAGGGATTAAGTTATTTTGAAGTTTCATGTAAAACATAAATCTCAAAGTTTCAGTGCTTAAGTTATTATGAAGTTTCATGTAAAACATAAGGCACATTCAAAATTTCAGTGTTTTTTCAAGGCTTGATGTACAAGATACATTTAAATTGTTATGTTTCAATGTCATTGTCAAGTATCTTATTAATGATAAGGAACATTTAAATTTCAAGGTCAAAGCCATCTTAAAAATTGTATGTGAAAGATCAGGATTTTTTTCAGTATGTTTGTTGATACATTCATCTCAGTTTTTTTCATGCAAACCTCAGGGTTTTTTTCATGAAAAGATTGACATATTCATGACTTTGTTCACAAGTTCAAGTCATTTTTGTTTCAGGTGAAAGAAAAAGATTCTATCTATATTGCTGATAGAAATCTAAAATTTTTGCTCAATTTATTGAATTACTAATTGTTTAAGTATTTTATATACATGTATATGTATGTTTTCACAGGCAGATGTATTTGAGGTGGAGGCAGTTCATCTTGGAGAGCTGGTGAAGATTGTAATAGGGCATAACAATACAGAGAAAGGTAAGGTTTTCGAGGAGACAGTCATTTTAAGAGAAATACAATCGACTCCACTTATAACGAACTCGCTTATAACGAATTATCGTTAATAGGGAACTAAATCTGACATCCCCAGCTGATTCCTTCTTTATTTTATATTAAATCATATCGCTTAATACGTACTGGCTTATAACGAATTTTCGGCTATAACGAACCATTTTTTTAAGCTCAAAATGATGGAAAACATGTAAATTTCCTCGGTTATAACATACTGTTATAATTAAAATATCGGGATGCGCTTGATTAGGAGCAGTACATGAATAACGCTATCCGATAATTATACAATCGAATGATTGCACAGGTTAGTAAGGGCTTCAGGGAATAAAGATTTTTATGAAATGTTCTCACAACATCATTTCCTAATTGTTACGGAAAATTTGTATTTCGCACTCTCAGTTGATTGCTGTAAATACCCGATAATTACCAAATAGCAAAAGAATACTTTATAGACAAGTACTACATGAATAAATACATGTACCATGTTCTTAATATATTGTTTAATAAAATGTCCTGCATTTAATAATCATTTAATAACCACTGCAGTAAAATACCGGTTACACCCGTCACCAGTGAAAAGTATGGCTTTTTCACGGCAAATTTCCCCAACCAAAGAAGTCAACAAGTTGTTGCTACTTCGCTTTTAGCGAACTTCGGATATGACGAACGATATTTTGATGTCCCATTGAGTTCGCTATAACTGGAGTCGACTGTATAATACTTTCAGAAATCTAAACATGGATTTAATATTGCTGAAACAAAGTTTTTCACCAACTTTGCATACCTAGAAATTAGTAGTGTGTTTAAATTTTTTCTGAATTATCATCTAAACATTTTAAAGAATAATGAACAAATTAAAAAAAAAAGTTTGTTCACAATGCTTACCAATTGTGTTTACCAATCCATTTATATATAGAGGATATTGAATGAGTGTAAGTTCAATACCTAATTTATTGGGCAAGTTTATATTTGAGCTGTGTCATGACAAAACCAACATAGTGGGTTTGCGACCAGCATGGATCCAGACCAGCCTGCGCATCCGCACAGTCTGATCAGGATCAATTCTGTTCGCTATCAGTTTCTCTACTTGTTCGCTTACCAACTCTATTACAAGTAGAGAAACTGATAGCGAACAGCATTGATCCTGATCAGACTGTGCGGATGCAAACCCATTATGTTGGTTTTGTCATGACGTGGCTCATTTATATTATGCGAGCATTAGGTGAGTATTAAGTGTTATTTTAATCAACAAGTTCAACAGATTTAGTACTGAAGCTTCATGATAATATCATTCTATGTATCACAAGATAATAAAATATCATTGATATGTGTATATTATAACGTCTTTATGCTATATTTGTATAATGCAAACAACGTCACATCAAAAAACATTGTATGGTTATGCAATACCATTTTTAGCTCGACTATACGAAGTATATGGAGAGCTGTCCTACTCGCCCCGGCGTCGGCGTCCGCGTCCGTGTACAGATTTTAGATTTAAGTTTTGGTGCAGTAAAATATTTTTCACTATAACTTTGTCATTTCTTAAGGTATCAACTTCAAACTTCAAATATATGTTCCTTATCATCAACCACATCTTATGTGACAAGGTTCATAACTCTAGCACCAATATTTTCAGATTTATCTCCCCTTGAACTTAGAAATTTCCTTAAAAAATACTATTTTTTTACTGATACTTCTTTATTTCTTAAGGGATCAACCTCATACTTTAAATATATGTACCTTATCATCATCCCCATCTTATGTGACAAGGTTCATAACTCTAGCACCAATATTTTTAGATTTATCTCCCCTTGAACTTAGAATTTTCCTCAAAAAATACTATTTCTTACTGTTTCTTCTTTGTTTCTTAAGGGATCGACCTCATACTTCAAATATATTTACGTTATCATCATCCCCATCTTATGTGACAAGGTTCATAACTCTAGCACCAATATTTTCAGGTTTATCTCCCTTTGAACTTAGAATTTTCCATAAAAAATATTATTTTTTACTCTAACTTATTTATTTCTAAAGGGATCAACTTCATACTTCAAATATATTTACGTAATCATCATTCACATCTAATGTGACAAGGTTCATAACTCTAGCACCAATATTGCAAGAATTATCTCCCCATAAACTAAGATTTATTTACTAGAAAAATGTTATTTTTTATTTTAACTTTTTTATTTTTAAAGGTATCTACCTCAAACTTCAAATACTTATACCTTATCATTAATTACATTTTATGTGACAATGTTCATAACTCTTGAAGCAATATTTACAGATTTATCTCTCTTTGAACTTAGGATTTTCTTTAAGAAATATAATAACTTCTTTACTTTTTAAGGTATCTACTTCAAACTTCAAATATATATTTCTTATCATTACACAAATGTTGTGTGGCAAGATCCATAACTCTAGCATGACTATTTCTATAATTATTCCCCTTGATCTTGGAATTTATGTTAACAAATGTTTTTTTTTTTACTATAACTTAATACGTAATTATACATAATTGATTTTTCTTTCATAGTTTTGTCCTCCTTACTGCGTCCAGTATTTTATTAGTCGAGCTTCGCTGTCTCCTGTGACAGCTCTTGTTTACAGAGCCACAAAAAGCAGCACGGGCATGTAATCAATTTATATATGTATAACACTTTTTTCTTTTCTTTATTCCAGGAGGAGGATGGTGTTTAGATAAAATTGTTGTTCAGGAATCAAAAGATGGAAATAGAATTATGTTTCCATGCAATAAGTGAGTACATAAGACATCAATTACTGTACAATGATAAGAATTATGCCACATGCATTTGGCATCAATTTAAGGATTATATGCCTTTGAATTGAATTTTAGGTCTAGACTCTGATTATGAATTTAGTGGGAACATTCTGAGTACCTGTTTAGTCAAATATGTTAGCCTGTTCCTGAAATAAAGCTTGAAAAGGCAAATAAGATTTATGATTCCACCTGTAGATCTTAAAAAAAACTGCAGTATGACTTCAACAGTGTCAAAAGATAAACAAAAAAACAAAGAAGAGAAAGGGCTGTATTTCATTTATTTTTGTTTTAAGTAAATTTATACAATTTTATTCATATGAAAAAATTATATTACAGATGGTTTGATACTGGGGATGGTGATAGGTTGATAGAAAGAACTTTGTTGCCAGATGCCACAGCTGAGAACACCAGCAACAATGCTCTTACCCAGGAACAACTTCCTGACGTCCAAGTACCATTAGTTTCTACAGCACGGGAACCAACTCCAGTTAGAGAACAAACTCCTGCTAGGGAACCAACCCCTGAAAGAGAACCAACTCCAGTTAGGGAACCAACTCCTGAAAGGGACCCAACCCCTGCTAGGGAACCAACTCCTGAAAGGGAACCAACCCCTGCTAGAGAACCAACACCTGACAGGGAACCAACCCCTGCTAGGGAACCAACACCAGAGAGAGAACCAACCCCTGCAAGGGAACCAACTCCAGTCATGGAAGTAACCCAAGATAGGGAACCAACTCCTGAAAGGGAAAAAACTCCTGAACGAGAGCCTACTCCAGTTAGGGAACCAACCCCAGCAAGGGAACCATCTCCAGATGTTAAGGTAGAGCAAGGTGAAGTCCAAAAAGATCCAACTCCACCTCCACAAGGTAAGCATATTCTATTGTTGGTTTTGGATTCTTTCATATTAGGAAGCTTCCTAGCTATCTTACAGAAGGTTTGTAATATTATCCTTGTGTCTGTGCACATGCTGGAACTAGTGCATGGAAGAGAACCTTTGGTCTTCCTCCTCCAATAAAGCTGGAAAATTTATTCAGATCCATTTGTAAGGAAAATGAATTTGAGGTTTTAATACATTGAACATAATAAAACCATATAAAAGCATGACTCATATTTTACTGCTCATTAGAAGAAAAATTTTATTTTAACTTATTTGTCTTATCCAAAACATACATTTCTATACCATAAAGAAATAATTCTTTTATTTGAAGTCTTAGTTGATTTAGGAGTATCATTTAGCACCAATCTATTATTCTGAGATCATCATCATGCTGATTCAGGTGGAAGGTAATAAGTTGAAAGTTTCAATTTTTTGGTTCAGTTCTTATATATTCACCATAATAAACTGCTTTTTTTTTCCTAATGTAGGAGCGAAATACAGTATAACAACAATAACTGGAGGTGATGTTGGTGAAGGTACAAACAGTGCTATTGTTGTTGTGATGTATGGGGAGAAAGGTCATTCTAATCCCTATCTGATAGGAGAGGAACCAGACTTCAGGTTTAACATGGGAGAGACAAATAATTTTGAGGTAAAATAGTTCTGTTACATCATTTCTTGCCTATAGATATCAGTAATTGAATGGTTATGCAAGTGAATTATGGCAGTTATTCATTGTTTTGCTACAGAAATTAATGTTTGTATCTGTTCTTGAACATTTGTATTGCATCAATGATTTTATGAATGTATGATCATATTATAAGACCTGTATTTGCTGGATTTGTAGATAATGGTGTCAGAAGAAATTGGTGAGTTGTATAAAGTGAGACTCGGATTTGATGATGAAGGAAATAATCCAAGTTGGTATACATCTATAGATGATTGTCCGTCATGGTTCGTTGAAAAGGTAATTCAAAATATTTCATCTTGTTTTATGTGTTATATCATGTTTACAAAACAACATCTATTATTTATACTTTTAAAGTTTTGAAACAACATTTGTTTGATTTTTCAAACAGGGAAATATGCAAATATTAGTAATCTTGCTTTGTTTTATTGTATGATTTAGTTATGTATTGAGCATGAAAATGCATGAATGATAAAAGCATAATAAAGTTTAGCATCAGTATTGAGAAATAACTTAGTATTCGATCACATTATGTCAATTATTCTTTAATGTTTGATTGACAGATGTCAGAAATGTCAATCCTGATGATAACTGTATGTAATACTCTTACATTATAGAAATATCACAGTTAAAGCTGTTTGATCGATTTCTAGACAAGGCACACTTGCCAGACTGACCTTTCTGTACTAAGCCTGAAAATTTAAAATATATATAAGTGTATTCCTTATTAGAATTAAAAGAAAACCATGATACAAAACTAATTTTCTTGTTAACTGTAGCTCACCATTAAGAATGAGGTAGACAACAAAGTTTATGAGTTTGAGGCTGGAGTCTGGGTGAAAGTTGATGAGTACCAGGACTTCTGGAAGGAATTGCCAGTCAAAAAGGAAGACCAGTTAGAAGGTGGGCAGTTTTGTCTAAGGGTGTTTTCATATGTGTGTATTTGATTGAAGGAATGATGTTTTGTTTTTTTCCGAAATATTTAGTTAATGACTTGTGCAGAATTTTGCAATAAGCAATTTAGATTTGTATTTTAGTACAATACTAGTAGAAAAAATATAATAAAGAATTACAAATCTGTGTGTATTTGCCATTGGCAATGCTAAAAGAAAAAAGTCTTCCTATAGACTTTTTATAAACTGTGCACTGTTGGGTGCCCAGTTTTAGTATTTGCCAATGAAATCCCTCAACAGTTAAAGATTCAAAGAAGGACGTTTCTGTTAATGCATATTTAGTAGGGTAATACTTAGACAATTTTTTTTTTGCACAGTATATCAATATGAAGTGAGTGTGTTCACTGGGGACGAATCAAAATCGGGGACCGATGCGAATGTTTACCTTCAAATCTTCGGAGAATGTGGAGATTCTGGGTATCGTAGGCTGATGGCCTCCAAAACTCATTCTAACAAATTTGAACAGGGAAATGTAAGTTTTCAGTTTTAAAACTTTATTTTGTATCTGTAACATCATAGAGAAACTCGTGCTGCAAATTTTTACATACTCGATGAAAGGTCATTGTTACAAAATTTGTGATAGTTTGATTGTGAGATTTTAGTTTATGATTTTGTTTTTAATTTTGAAATAGTCAGGGCATCCTTTAATTATTAAAAGTTTTGTAATGTGTTGTTTAATTTTTTAATTTTTTGAAAAAATAAGAAATCTGTTTTCAATGTTTTAGAATGTTACCACAAACAGATTATCACATTATATAGACCCATCTCAGTGTGGATTCAAATGTGAATTATAATTGTATAATAAATTTTTTACAGAAAGATATATTTACAATCGGAGCTGTTGATCTTGGTAAATTAACCAAGATTAAAATAAAACATGACGGTTCAGGTCCAGGTTCTGGCTGGCTGTTAGATCGTGTTGTTATCAAAGAGTCAGAGGAAACTACGATACGATACATCTTCAGATATGAGAGGTAATTGATTTATACTTGTTTATGTAGGCTGTTTCATAGATAGGGGAACCATTACTGCATTGGGTTCCATTCTCCGTCTATTTGATTGTAATGTCATGGTTTGTAGCTTGACCCTTCGAAGTATAGGAAGAGCTGTTGTACTCACCCAGGTGTCGGTGTTGGTGTCAAACTTAGGTTAACTTTTTACATGCAAGCCGGTTTCTCAAAAACTATTGAAGGGAATTTGTTGAAACTTCACACACTTATTTGATAGCACAATAGGAGGTCACTGTTGAAGGCCTATAACTCTAACATTGATTTTGACAGAATTATGACCCTTTTTGAACTTAGACATTTCTACATTATCCAGGCTCTTGTTTTATTATAAAGCACTATAAAGAAGAGTAGAATGTGATGTCCTACTGAAAGCTGTTGTTGTTTCTGCCAAGATTTCCACTTAAAGTAATGCTTGATAAACTTTCCCTGAAAAGTTGTCATACAAGTATGTCCTCTTCTGCCCCTAAATGCAAATTGAAGGTACAATAGGGCATCTTTTTAAAGCCACTTACGGACCATAGTCTTAAAGAATTGTCATCCTGGCATGAAAGAATTAAACGTCCTTGAAAATTTAGGAATCTTATGCAGTTAACAAGGACTTCCACAAAGTCATGAACAATTACCTAGGTCACTACCTGCCAGTCTATGAGATATTTTTACAAACTGGTAGTATACTGCTATAAACAAAATGCAAATTCACTGCACCTATTAGTATATAAAGGATTATGTTCAAGTCCCTGTAAGGATTAAACTCTTCTGCAATAATAGTGGATTTACACAACATCCAGAAGGTTTAACTATGTCACTACGAGTCTATGACTGAGATATTTTATTACAAACAATCAGTATATTTCCATGAATAAAACACAAATACCTATGATTATATGGGTGATATATTTTGATATTACTACCAGCCAGCCTATGACTGAGATATTTTATTACAAACAAGATGTATATTTCCATGAATAAAACACAAATACCTATGATTATATAGGGTGATATATTTTGTTATATTAGATGGTTAGATGAAGGAGATGGGGAGAATGGTATAGAACAGACACTAATGTTGTCGGAGATACTGGTCAGTGATGAGGAGGAAGCTGACGAAGATCTTCCAGGTCTGTTATGATATGAGCCATGTCATGACAAAACCAACATAGTGCATTTGCGACCAGCATGGATCCAGACCAGCCTGCGCATCCGCGCAGTCTGATCAGGATCCATGCTGTTCGCTATCAGTTCCTCTACTTGTAATAGAGTTGGTTAGCGAATAGCATGGATCCTGATCAGACTGCGTGGATGAGCAGGCTGGTCTGGATCCATGCTGGTCGCAAACGCACTAAGTTGGTTTTGTTGTGACACGGCTCATATTATTTCTTGTTGTCATATAACTGTAACATGCAAGTATTTGAGATAAAGCTTCAAACTGTAGATTTACATGTAATTAGCATAATTTTTCTGAATATGCAATCGATTTTAGTAAGATAAACAAAACTCGCATTATTTTCTTGGCAAAATGCCAACTATATTCACTACTTTTGAGAAAAGTGCTGATCACTGTTTCTAAGGTGTTTAGGTGTAGCATTCTTGTTCTATATAATCATAGTTTGTTACTCTTTCTAGAATTTAAAGCTAATTTGATGTGCCAGTTTTGGCTAGAATTTTACTTTCTTAACCTACTTTGACATAATTCTCATTATTTGTACCTTGTTTTCTAAAATGATCATTACTTGCAAGTTGTTTTGCTGAATCATTATGTACAGTGTAACTGCTGATTTCCGGAACTTCTAATATTCCGGAAACTATCTAAAATCAGAACATTTTTCAGGGTCCCGAAATTTCTCCTGTTTTCTATGTAATCAATGCCTGTGAATTCCGGAACTTCTAAATTCTGAATTCCAAACGATTTTCTGGTAAAATTTGGGTTATTTCAATTCAAATTTACTTCAAAAATCTGGAAATTGAAAAAGATGTAAAGGAATTGAGATTGTAAAACCTTCAAAATGTATCTTCCACTTAGCAGAAACCATTTATCTTGACACTAATATTACAATCACAATGTCAAGCATGTCAAACACTTGATTTAAGTGTGAAAAATAAAAAATGAGAAGTATAATTGTGATGAAAAAAAAAAAGACATGAAATTATGCATTTGTATAAAAAATTCATTTATAAGTGATAATGAAATTTAATATACAGTTTAGTTATAACTTTTTAAAAGTCCTATAATTTTGCCATTTTATGGATTTAATAAGCTTCAGGATACGGACAAAAGCCCCCGCTCCAACACCCACCCCACCCCCACCCCGGACGAAAGCCCCGCCATCTAAAATGACAAGGTGGACGAAAGCCCCCCCCTCCCCCATCTATATGACAAAAGGACAAAAGCCCCCCCTCATCATATTGAAATTCAGTTCGAATAAATAAGACAATAAATGGCATATTGCAGGTTATCCATGGAGGATTGAGACTATAACTGGAGGGGACGCCCCGGCCGGTACCCAGTGTCCTGTAGAACTGGTGTTGTATCAAGAGAATGGTAAAAATGACACAGTTATCATAGGAGAAAGACAGGGTTTCAAATTCAAACCAGGTGCTTCAGATATATTTAATGTAAGTACATGTTATATTTTCTTTTAAACTATACCTGTGATAAGAAAAGCTGATAAAAATTTTAGTTCTAGTTTAAAGGAACTCCACTGAGGTTCAAAAGCTATAAGACATAAAATTTGAATTTTTTACATAGATCAGCTAGGGTACTTTACACAGAAAGCTATGCAAAAGATAATTAAAATATGGTCTATTAAATTATTAGTTATAGTAAATTAAAAATCAAAATTTAGTGTTATTCTTGGCCCAATTTGAGTTTAAAGCATTTATTCTGGAAAAAATGGATTGAGCAAACGATCTAAAATTTTGCTTACAAGTTATTCAAGAGGAACATAATTTTCAGTCCCGTCATGTCAAATAACGTCAGTGGTTAAGTAGTTAACAGACAGATTCTCCACACCTCATTGATATCTTACACTGGTTTTCTAAATTTGGCTAAGGATGTTAAAGCCTTGTATGTGAAGGAGCCATACAGGCAGTTTAAGTGATAATGGAGATTACAATTTATGCCTCTTCATAACCATGACGGTAACAGTGTCTGTATAACAAAGAACAGAAATACCATAAAAAAAAGTGAAGTCATACATCATAGCAAGTTTGACATTTTCTGTAGACATGAGTTAGTTGTTTCATGTATTTGAAGTAGAGTAACAGAGTATGATTCTCTTTTCTAGTAATATCAGCAGATAACCTATTCTCAAGTCTACAGAAGAAGCTTATTGTAAATGTCATATTTGTCATAATTTTTGAAGAGACATATATTGTAAATGTCATAATCGTTGAGGAGACATATTGTAATTGTCATATTTTTCATAATCTTTGAAGAGAGGTATTATAAATGTCATATTTGTCATAATCTATGAAGAGGCTTGTTTTAAGTGTCATATTTGTCATTATCTTTGAAGAGGCTTATTGTAAAAGTCATATTTGTCATAAACTTTGAAGAGGCTTATTGTAAATGTCATATTTGTCATAATCGTTGAAAAGACATATTGTAAATGTCATATTTGTCATAAACTTTGAAGAGGCTTATTGTAAATGTCATATTTGCCATAAACTTTTGAAGAGGCTTATTGTAAATGTCATATTTGCCATAAACTTTTGAAGAGGCTTATTGTAAATGTCATATTTGCCATAAACTTTTGAAGAGGCTTATTGTAAATGACATATTTGCCATAAACTTTTGAAATGACTTATTGTAAATGCCATACTTGCCATTAACTTTTGAAGAGGCTTATTGTAAATGTCATATTTACCATAAACTTTTGAAGAGGCTTATTGTTAATGTCATATTTATCATAATTTTTGAAAAGAAGTATTGTAATTGTCTTATTTGTCATAATTTTGTTATTTCTATGTTAAAACCATTTCTTGTATTAGTAATTTAATGTTTTTAGGCCCGAGTGATGGAAGAATTGAGTGATTTATATAAAGTACGCATAGGATTTCATGGTGCTGATTCTGACAAAGACTGGTTATATGATTATACACAAAGTCCATCATGGCTTCTTGATCAGGTTTGTAAACCATTCTTATCTGCCTAACTTTATTTGCAACCCATTCTATTTGACTCATTAGAATAAATGAAAAATGCTATAGCCATGAAGAGTGTATTTCAGTGATATCTAAATATAAATTATATAATCTGTTAAAAAAAATACAAACACTTTCCTTAGCTTTTGACATTTTATTTTAGTCTTCTTCAGAAAAAAATAAGGTTTGTAAAATAACAAATGATGCAGCATCTGTTTAACTATAAGCTAAATGGAATGTGACGTTAATGCAGAAATAAAAGTCAAATAAAACAGAATGTTTCGTTTAAAACATATACATTACTACATGAATTCAGCAAATATATATACAATATTATATACATGGAATATGGATCAATATATGTGATGCAAAATTTCGTATGTATAGATATTATTTTGTCTTATAATTCAGATAGATATAACAATAAAATTGCTGTTTTCATCACAAATATTGACCATTTATACTTCTTGAAGATTGATAAAAAATTATTATAAGAAGTTGAAAGAAAGTGTTTTTTCAGAATTTAATAACATTGAAGACTTCATGTCTGTTTGTTAGCTGCTTCTAGTCAGTTTTAGATATTTATGTCTTCATAAATCCCTGAAAAAAACTATGATCAGTTCCAAAATCCAAGTAAAATATGTTTTTTACATGAATTCTGTACTAAAATTTTGTTTGATCTATGTTTTATTTATGAATTCACAGTTAAGATTGACAGATGAAGCTAAGAATAAGGTGTATGAAGTACCATCTTCAACATGGTTAAAGATGGATGCATACCAAGACTTCTGGCGTGAGCAGCCAATTAAACAAGCAGACGGTCCTACTCCAGGTAAATCATAAAAAATATACATGTTTACTCCACATGCTGTGTTCCACATAAGACAAAATTTTAAAGGTTTTCTGTTACTACTTTTATATTAACATGAAAATTTACCCATAACTTACTGATTTTGCCTTATTTGTGCCTAGTTTTGAATTTTAAAACAATCAATATAAAGTTAAAGAGATTTCAATATCAAAATACAAAAATTGAGCTACCAACAGTTTAGAGCTTGGTCAGACTGCATGGATGTATAGGCTGGACGAGCTCTAAACTGGTGGCAAAAGGTAATCACTATGTTCTTGCAAGTTAAGGAAGGATAGTATTGATCAAAATATTGTTAATTTATTATGGCATCAGCGAGCCGGTCCCAAAACTGTTGTAGATGATTCGGATTTTCTGCGGGACATTCTATGTATGTTTTGTTCCTTATGATGTCAATGATTTCCAGAGGCAGACCAGAAGTTGGAACTTCTTCCTTCATTAAGATACATATCACTTCACGTCCTGTCTGAATCCCTTCCATTCTTGCCATGTTCATTTCGTAACAACACCACTTGCTTTGAAGAAAATGTCGTGACATGATGATAAGTGTTTTACGGGACGTCGTTATAGCCTTCATGATATTATCATTCACGTAGTTTCCAGCTTGAAAGTCTCTATCATGTACAAGCAGATTTAATCCTCGATTATTTTCAAGTTCAGGAACTAGATTACGACGCACAAAAGTTCCGTCACCATCTGCATAAGATATAAACACATCATGTTCAAATTCGTCCTCTTCTGTATTTCCGGGACTATAACCTTTTAATTTGAATTTGGCAGAGTAGTACATATAACGCAGATTCCATCGGTACCGATAAGCTATCCCTGAAACTGTTAAAATTATTGTTGCGAGCAGTGCCAAAGATGTTGATAGAATAAGTGTCATATAGTTAGCACAATCCTTAGTAAGAGATCGGCTTATGACATCAGCACTGATTAAGTTACCACTGGTATTGTTGTTGAACTTACATTTGTACCCACGGGGGTTAATAAAACATACATTTGTGTCTGAAAACCAGTTTATTTGATCTATATACATACAGTTGCAAATGAAAGAGTTGTTTGCCAGGTTGATGTACAGGGCATGTTGTGAGGCGAGATTATTCCATTGATGACGAACATTTCCATCAATCTTTACTATCTGATTGTCACTTAAATCGATGAATTTTAACTCCGTCATGTGATCCATATTCCAGTTGACGATGTTTATTTGATTAGAATCAAGGTACAACTCCTGAAGTAGTTCCAGTCCCTTGAAAATAATTGTTGGCATGAACTGAATTTTATTTGAGGACATATGAAGAATCTCAAGTTTTGAAAGTTTGCTGAATATTGTTCCGTCGTTATCAGAACTAAGTGGAAATCCAAGATAGTTTCCTGATACATTTAAAAGCCTGAGTTTTGGGAAATGATGAAAAAAGTCGAGAGATATTTTTTGACAGTAGTCCCATGCCAAATTTAAATGTGTCAATTCATTTAACCCCATTAGAGGTCCTTTCCAGTACCAAAAGGTGTTTCCATTTAGGGACAGATTTTGTAGTTTGTTTTCACAGAAGCAAAGGGGTTTGATTATAGTTTTTATGCCCAAGTGGCTTAGATCGGCAACTGTTAGATTCATTGGTAGGGGTAATGGTAAAATCAATGGTGAAATATTTGTGCAACTTTGGCACCTACTTCCAAAGAATCTCAGTAGAAGTCTTGAAAGAAATTTTATGCCTGTGTGATACGTATTTGGACTTGTTTCAAGGACATCTCTTGGACCAAAGAGTTCAAAGTTTCTTGTATCATATTTCACATTTGCTACTGATGATCGTTTGTCTGAATTAAGAGATCGTTTGTGTTTTTGATGATCTCCTAGCATCGTAAGTATCTCTTGCATTGACATATGGCTAAACAGTTCTTTGAAACTATGATTTACTCTTTGCGAAGCAATAAGAAATACTTTTAGATTAGCAAAGAAGTCATTAAATGCTATATTTATGGCTATTTGAATGACATATTTTCCGAGCATTAGTTTGTTGTCATTTAGAGATAAGCCGATTAAACTACGAGGGATGAATTTGACAGCATCCCTTTCAAATAAAGCCAGTCTGTTTGAGTCTAAGAATATGTACTTCAAAGACAAGTTGTATATATATCTCAAGTTATGAGCTGTAAGTTTCGTACAATCCCCAAATGTTGCATGAATTTTTCTTAAAATTAGTGTTTTAATGTTTGTGAATTGTAACCCATATGATATATTTGCCAGACTTTTGAACTGAAGTTCTTCATTGTTTGAAAGATCAAGGCTTTCAAGTTTTGGTAATTCAGTGAAACTTTTGTTTTGAACAGACTTCAATTTGCAGTCTTGAATCGTCAGATTTCGGAGGTCAGGCAGATTTTTGAACATACCCTGGAAGATTTCAGGAATATTACATCTTCGGTTGATTCCACCTAGTTGTAAATACTCAAGTTTGAGAGATTGATAATTTAATGTGGAAATTGACATTCCTTCAGATTGTTTATGAAATGCGTTTGTTGGCATTACATCTATGGCAAGTTGTTTTAAGTTGATTAAGTGTGCTAAAGCTTCTTTCGGATACCGTTCTTTATTGGAAATTTCGGATAAATCTTGCTGTAAGTTAATGGCAGATAAATGAATCAACGGTTGAAATGTTTTATAATGGATTGTTATATTTGTGTATCTGACCTGATTCATTTCAAGGTTTAAAATTTTGAGGTTTTCTAATCCGTTGAAGCTATCTTTTCCGAGCTGCGTTATCTTGTTGTAGGATAAGTCTAAAAATGTCATGTTAACATAGTTTTTGAATATATTTGCTGGTATTGAAGAAATAGAATTCATTGACAGTATAAGTTGCGTTGTGTTGAGTGGTAGTTTGGATGGAATTTCGGTCAGATTCTGTCTCTTACAGTCAACGAGTAACCCTTGCCCTGAGCCTGGGTCAATACAATGGCATTGTGGGATATCATGACATTCTTCGGCTGTAGTAGGTTTCTCAAACGACTGTCCTCGGTAAACGCTGAATATGTCGTTGACATTTTGAAACATTTCATTTAAATCATCTGTGTATTGCACAACACATGTTGTCGTACTTATCATAAGGAAAATAATGTTTGTATACATCAACATCTTAATCTTACCACCCTGCTTCCTTTTTTATCACTTTGAGGATGCTAATAAATGTTTGTAATCACTGTTTATCTGAAAAATAAAAACAGGTTCAAAATAGAATGTTAATGTCAGATTTGATTAATGCAGTAAATAACAATTTATAAGGCATGTAAAGTTTATCCTGTAATACAGACGATCTCCTTATAAAGACCACATGCAAGCAAAGGCTGAATAGAAAATTATAGTTTAAGCATGACTTTTAGGATAGAGGTGATATTTATCATTCATTGGAGCAGAATTTTTTTTTTCAAATATGACACTATGTTTTTGTGAAACATTTACAAATGGGTACTGTTTCAGAGAATTTTACAATACATCAGTTTCTATGTATCAGAAAATATTTAAAAAAAACAACAAAATATTATTGTAATAGTGTTTATTTATTTATTAATTTTTTGTTTAATTAATTCTGCTTTTTGGACAAAGAAAATGTCGCCATATGACCATTACAGTGTTGTGGTATTTTTAACTACACATGTATCAGCAAAGTGTGAAAATCATCATTAGTCATTTACATTGGGACTCATTGCATTGTATCAAAAGTATTTAGATTTATAACATAAACCACAGCATAAGAGTTTAATAAAACGATATTTACAATAGTGTAATAACGCTTTGATGTGACATTATTTGTACTATATATAAACATAGCACATAGACCACGGCACAGGAGTTAAATAAAACAATATTTACGATAGTGTAATAACACTTTGGTGTGACATCATTTGTACTTTATACAAACATAGCACATAGACCACGCACAAGAGTTTAATAAAACAATATTTACAATAGTGTAATAACACTTTGATGTGACAGCATTTGTGAGGCCCACATGGAAGATCGGGAAACAGAATGTGTTAGCCTTGTTAAATAAAGTCGTTACTTACTTACTTAATAACTTACTTATACAGGCGTTTGCCTGAGGGGATTTGTTTGAGAATGTTTGTGTAAAAGTGCTCTGATCATTTTTGTCAATTACATATGGATAAATAAGAGAGAAAATGCCAATTTTTATATGATGAGGAAGGTGATAATTTAAAGTATATGATGCTGAAATTTGACTAAAAAAGGAGCTACAGTTTTAGAGATATTAGTGATGATATGAAAATTTCTTTGTCTTCTCTTTTTTTTTTTTTTTTTTTTTTTTTACATTGAGAGAGCTGTATAAAGTGGATTATTATATGGATTATTGAATAGCTGATACAGTGGTCAGTTCATCTATTATTATTGGATTATTATTGGATTATCTCTGCTTTGGATTAAAATACACTTGTGAGATTCTCGGTTTTTTGTGTTTGGCCTGGAGGTTATTGCTGTTGTAAAAAGCACAATCAAGACTATATATATATATGATATATGACCAGAGGGACAAAATTGTAATAAACAGTTATATAGTGAAATGATATATATCTACCTAAGATCAAGGTCAATAGTCTAAACAGGGATAGTTTTAAAAAATTCATTACAATGAGTACCAAAAATATGGCTGCATCAGCTGGTACATGTCAAATTCGAACACAAGAAGGAGGAAAAGAGAAAAGCAAAGCTTTGCCAAAAGCCCAACAAACACACACCAAATCAACAATGCAACAACCAACTAAACAAACAAAAAGGACATTATCAGAACTAAGTGACACCAGCAATGAGAGTATGAACTTGTCAGTGATCCAAAACCAGCTGGACATATTACAGGAATCGATGCTCAGAAAAGAAGACATAGAGACATTAATAACAAATACAATCACACATATAATGAATAAAATGGAAGAGAAGATTTTAGAGACAGTAAGCTCCAAAGTAGCAGAAAAAACCAAAGACTTAGAAGAGCAAATAAAAACTTTGAGGTTTGAAAATGATATTATGAAAGATAAACAGACAAAAACAGATGAGGAATATAACAAAAAGATAGAAGAATTAGAGGAGAGACTGCAAAAGTCTGAAGACATGTGCATAGATGCCAGTCGAAGAGCAAATAGAAACGAGCAATACTCTAGGAAAAACAACATAAAGATATTTGGCGTTCCAGATGAAAGACATGAAACCCAGATAACTTTGACAGAGAAAGTACAAGGCCTTCTTAAAAAGGAAAACGTCGAATTACGAAAGGAGGATATTATGGCCATACACAGGTTACCAACCAAACCGGGACATATCAGACCTGCTATCATAAAAGCAGTAAACAATGCTGTTAAAACATCTGTGATGAGAAAGAGGAAAAGTATGAGAGATGCTGAACATAGAATAGCTGAAGATGTCACAATTATGAACTCTAGACTTATAAATAGATTGTCATTTCATAGGGAAATTAAATCAGCTTGGTTTTTCAATGGCTCAGTATTTGCAGAAACATTGACTGGTGAGCGTATTAAATTTGATGTGTATGATAACATTGATGAGACAATAAGAAGATCTCGTGAGAAAAAAAAAGTAAACAGAAAAGAAAGTCAAGGTATGAGACTATGGATTGCTTAAATGTAAAGGAACGCAAATGTAATCATTTGGATTATGACTTATAAGAATTGAATATTGTGATTGACTAGAATATATTTGAATATTGTGATTGACTAGAATATATGAGTATATAGAATTTTAGAGAGAAAAAAACTATAAAGTGAATGTTAATTGCTGTAAATTAAGTTAGTTAACTTACTTGAGAATTTTAATTCTTAATGACATAGATAAAGATTAGTTTTTCTAATGTATTTTTGAGATATGATGGTACAGTATAATAAAAAAGTTAATAATAAGGCATTGAATTATTGAAATGGCCCAAAGTTCATTTTCACAACTTTGATTACACTTTATTGTACATATCCCTGAAGTTCATAGCATTGCTGATACAGAAATTGTGTGTTTAAAGTTGGTTTTTATCCCCTTCTTTTTGCTTACACATGTATATTGTTGTTTAAGGTGTCATATAGATGGATGCTTTAATGCTTATAGAAATAAGATTTCATATACTATTACCTAGAGTATGCTTACTTGATTGTTAAAATTGTAAATTAAAGTTATAGTTTTTCTACTATTTTTTTTTTCTTCAATGAAAACAATAATAGTATTATACTTTGACAAGAAATTATACAAACACTAATAATTTTTTTAATCACTTGTAGAACATTATGGCATTTGGAATTTATGTTATTTTTTTCTTAAACGGCAGCAAATCTTTTGAGGAAAAAATGTCACTTTTTTAAAATAAGAGTTATATGTGTATGAAATGGTACAAATTATAAATTATAGAATGGTTATTCTTTGTTGTTTGGCACAATTCTAAAATTAATTGAGAAAAATCCTAAAAAGATTTTGATAAAACAACAGAATTGCATTCATAAATAGCTGTACACAAAATAAGGTTTTTCTAAAATTAAAATACATTTATAGTTTAAAATTAAGTTGTTAAGCTGCATTACCATATGTAATTGTACAAATTGTTTGACAGTTATGTTGTTACTTATTGTTTATACAGTTTATTTTCTGTTCATATTTTTGTTCATTCTTTTCATGTATAGCTTTGTAAACTATGCTTTTCTTTTTTATAATATATTTCTCAGATTGTTTATTATGTTATACAGGTTTTTTATTTTTTTCTCTATGTCTTCACTTGTTTGTTTGCTACTGAACCTTTCAGTGTGCTTTATGTCGTCTAACTGGGTTTATAAATCTATTTTAATCAGCTGTAGTTATAAAGGAAACTGGATAAATAACGAAAAATGTATTTTGGTTCTTAATTTCAATGTCTAATCTTAAAATTTTTTCTTACAATTGTCGTGGTTTGAATGATAGCATAAAGAGGCGTGATGTTTTCAATTTATTCAATACAAAAAAGCTGATATACTTTGTCTACAAGAAACGCATTTTGTAAAAGATGTTGAAAAAAGTCTACTCTGAATGGATGGTTTATGTTTTTTTAGCCATGGAAAAATCTAATGCTAAGGGTGTTGCAGTTTTATTCAGAAAAAAATTAAATATCAAAATCAAGTCAATTAACACTGACAATTTTGGAAGTTTCATTATTTTACAAATGCTTTTTGAAACTAGATACTTAACGTTAGTTAATATATATGCTCCAAATACAGATAGTCCAAGCTTTTTTAAAAGTATTTTTGATACTGTAGACTCACTTGATGACAATAACTCACTTATAATTTGTGGAGATTATAACCTGGTTCAAGACCCAGATCTAGATTATCATAATTATAAATCCAAAACTAATAATATAAAAGCCAGAAATTTTTTATTGGATATTATTAAAGATAAAGATCTTATTGACCCTTTTAGAGAATTACATGGCGAAATTAAAAAATTTACATGGAGGCGTACAAATCCTATACAACAGGGGAGATTAGATTTTTTTCTTTTATCAAATGATTTGTATCAGTATGTAAGAAAATGTGATATTGATGTGAGTTATAAATCAGATCATTCAATAATATTTTTAGATATTTGTTTTTCTCATATTTGTCATGGTAAAGGTTTGTGGAAATTTAACAATGCTTTATTACATGATATTGAATATTTAAAAATTATAAATGAAAAAATTGATGAAATAAAACTTCAATATTGTATACCAGTTTATAATATAGACTATATAATAGATACAAAAAATAAAGACATTAACTTTACAATCAATGATGAACTATTTTTAGAAACACTTTTGATGGAAATAAGAGGTAAAACTATTTCATATAGCTCCTATAAGGTTAAAGAGAAAAATAATTATGAAAAACAAATAATGGAGGAAATATCACTCATAGAACAAAATTTGACAATTGATAATAAAGACAGACTCTTACATTTACAAAATGAATTAAATCAGATAAGACATAATAAAATAAAAGGTTCTATGATTAGGTCAAGGTCACAATGGATTGAATCTGGGGAAAAACCTTCTAATTTTTTTTTGAATTTAGAAAAAAAATACTGTGCTGAAAAAAATATTCCTTTTTTAGAAATGGATAACGGAACATTTATTTATGATCAAAAAGATATACTCACACATACTTGTTGTTTTTATGAAAATCTATATAAAA